AAATATATATCTAGGGTTGGATGAGTATGAAGGTATACTATATATATATATATATATTCAATATATCTATTAACTAGGATTGGATGAGGATAAAGGTATTATATATATCTAGGGTTGGATGAGGATGAAGGTATTATATTGAATATATCTAGGGTTGGATGAGGATAAAGGATGAAGGCAGTCTGGGGATTCCACATTGGGTTCCCTTTCAGATTTAAACTTGATTTGATTTCATTTGATATATCTAGGGTTGGATGAGGATGAAGGTATTCTGAGTCAGGTGTTGGCTGAGTCCCAGCAGGAGTACCTAGAGAGTTTGAAGAGGAAAGCTGAAGAGGAGAAGGTAAATATATTGGTATAATGGATCTGATCCGAACCTATTAATCTCCTCCTGGAATGATGAGGGCATTATTCAATAAAACATCTCACCCTGTGAATTTTTTATGAAATGATTCTCGCAATTACAGAAAATTGAGAATTTGGCTAATTTCTACCAATATAGCCTTTCAAACAAACTTCGCTACCGTAATATGAAAGTTTTTGTGGGATAATTTTGTATTGGCAGCCCATGGTCTTCAAAAATGTAAGAAATAGTAAAAAAATCTTTAAATGAACTTAATACTAATTTAAGAAGTCTACATCAATAGAAATATTAAATAATAAGTAGTCAGACACTGGTTGTTGTCACCTGTCGTGTACAAGATCTAATAAATAAACATTTTTAAACAATCCCAAGTAATCAATTTTAATCCTAGCTCGTGAAGTAATGGTTGTTTTTAAATGACATTAATATAACATTAATTAAAAATTAACTTTTTAACTATTTTTTGTTTCAGGAGTAAGAGTTGAGAATTCATCCAGACAAAACAAAAATCTAAATTTAAATGATTGCAAAATTTCTATGCATTATTGTATTTCGGGTAGCTAGTAATTGTATTACTATTACTAGTTGCTTTAAATCATGTGATTAACAATATAAACAGGACGTCAAAACAATATTTTTTTAGAACACTATTTTTCTGGTATTTTGTCTTTTCCCCCTCTTCGGTCACGTTTTCCTTCAACAGTATGCTTCTCTTTTATTGACTGATAAACGCAAAGTATAATCCACGTGTCTTAGTAAATTTGATTATGTCTACTTAAATTGCTTGCATTAATATCTGTTTTTATTAATCAAGCTGTTTATAGAAAATTTTCTTTTCGGCCATCTTTTTCTTGTTGAATTATTATTTAAATTTGCATATTTCTAGTGTTTTTTTACGTTAGTTTTGGAGCTGTAACTTTTCATTTAAAAATATTGTTTTCGAGAAGCATCAAATCATGGGTGCCAAAGCACAAACTGATATTAGTAAATGGAGAAACATTTTTTGTTGGCATTAAGTATTTTTTGTTGTTGATTTTTCAGGGTTAAATATTGTTATACTTAAAACACCAATTATCGTAAAAAAGTAAATAGTTTTTTTAAAGTTTTATTTCGTTGAAAGTTCAAGTTCCATAATTAAAGAAAATATATACCCTTGTAATGATCACTTCGGCTGTCGTAAGGCAAAAAGTAAATCACTTTGAATATTCAAGGATTGTCAGATTTCGAAATATATAATTTAAAAATATACATTTTTGAAGCTTCAGAAATACGAGATATACGAGTATATTTTAATAGAAAATTCATGTTCTCGCGTACATGTCTTCTTCTTAATTCATGTACTCCTGTAATTGCTTTTTAATCCTACAATTATATTATGTCTATTTTCTCGCTACTTCTGCTTGTGCATAAACCTATCCACACTCTATTTTCTATTTTCCTGTTTTTTCTTCCATTTTTACCTTGTTTTTCCTGTTCAATTTTCCTTTTTTAATAGATGCCATTACTCATCAAACCTGATGAACCTTCAACAATATTTTTTTGTGATTATTTGACAGTAAGATATTTGTGTACACCGGTATCCAACAGTAAACAGTAAATTCCAATGCGAAAGTTATTTATTTTGTTTTCAGTTTAATCTATAGTACTAGAGTTGGGTATCTTTCTATCCTTTTTTATTTGAAGTTTGCTTTTAGAAGGCTTCATGAAAATATGGTATTTCTTACAAAATTAAAATTTTAATTATACTTAACTTTCATAAAATTGTGCACAAAGTTAATTCTAATATAAGATTGTATTACATTTACAAGTACAGGTCATGGTAATTTGTTTCTAGGTTGATCGTTAATAATAATAAGCCTGAACGAAGCAAACGCAAAAGTGAACTTACCATTTTTAACGTGTTAAAATATAAAGATTTTTCTGAAACCATAATACCCTCGGAACGAATTTGATGAATTTTAACTGCCTACCGTCGGTTTAAACTTAAATCACCGATTTAAATAAAAATTCTTCTTTAATCTTTAACTTTGAATCGGTGATTTAAATTTGAACCGGCAGTAGGTAGATCAGTCACGTAGCTCAAATTCATTAAATTCGATCCTTGATTGTAAAAAACTACGGGAGGAAACTATGCCCTTCTCTACAAATTACCAATTCACGAATATAAAATGGTCAAATTCACGAATACCTTCTTCTGTGGTTTGGATACCGGTATTTGATGTTTATGTCGAAAATAAATATCTAACTTATGTAAATCTGCTAGTGACAAGTATTAAAATTTCGGGGATTTTCTTTCAGAACAAGATGGCCGGTGTGTTGAAGAACTGTATAGTCCTGGGACAGGTAGTTCCTTCAACCTTGAAGAACGCTGTCAAAGTCAAGGTTCCCTTCTTCATATTTGACGAGAACTTGAAGGCCTACTTCAAGAAGACTGAAGATATTATTGCAGAAGATTTTAGGGAAACCACATTTTTAAGATTCATTGAATCTGGATAGGAAAGCAAAACCTTTGGCAGTATTAAAAACTGATACTAAAAGATTGATATCTATTGGTATCTTGAAACTAAGCACCGAAAATGTTAATCGTTTTACATCCGCCCAAATATACATACGTCACTACGGACCTACCCGCACGTGGTTTTTCAGCAGCTTCGCGCTGCTGTTGGTCCGATGTACTGTAGGTAGGATACACACTTCATTAAAAAAAAAGTTAAGTGTATCCGACCTACTATAAAGGTCGGTTGCACAGCTTTCTTAAGTTGGTTTAAGTCGGATGCACAACATTTTAAGTAGGTCGGATGATTAACTTTAGTAGGTGGATGCACAACTTTAGCAGGTTGGATGCACAAATGCACAACTTTAGTAGGTCGGATGCACGAAAAAGTTAGTTTATCCGACCTACTGTAGGTCAGTTGCACAGCTTTCTTAAGTTGGTTGCACTCAATTCTGTAGGTCGGACGCACAATAAATGTCTTATTTAACATAAATCCACAAACTAAATAGTCTATACCTTGGTCATTTTGATAAATGTGGCCGCAGCGCTCGGCCTCCTATACCTGACCTAGCCACAGCGCTCGACCCAGAAATTGTCTTAACATAACCCCACATATTGTCTTTCACTTGGTCATTTTGATAAATGTAGCCGCAGCGCTCGGCCTCTAGTCTGTCCTAGTGCATCCAACCTACAAAATCTGTACATCTGACCTACGTGTGCAACCGGAAAATCGATCCTTATGGTAGCACGGTCAACTAACTGACTATATATACAGTTCCTGCGCTGGTCGGATTAACAAAATAGAATGTTCATCCGACCTACAGTTGTCGTAGGTCCGAAGTATCGTAAGACGGAGATGCCGTAGAACAGAACTAACACTACCAAAAATATTTTAACATTTTTATCCAAAATAAAGCATTACGGAAAAAGTGATAGGTTCTAATTGAGTTTACTCGCACAATTTTTGCTTTACATTTTTTAGAAACTTCCCCGGCCCTAAAATATTAAATTTCGGAAAAGTTTGTATTCCACAAGTAAAAAATTTTGTGGCTTGACTTGACATGTACATTACAATGTATGCGATGTCTACGTTATTAGTTCTCAAATAACTGAAATAATAAGAGAATTTGATTTCAATATGGAGGGGAGACTATTTTCTGTATAAGTAAATCCCCCAATCTTTAAAAAATATGTTTTGTTAGAAATGATTATATTTAAACTTTTAAATTGGTTTTAAAGGGGTTAAATTTCTGAATTTGGAGAAAAAAGTTCTGTCCTTTTAAATTAAGATTAAAGATTAAAACTCGGAACTCTTCATAAGTTTCTGAAATTAACGCCTTTTCAAGTCGTTCTTGCTCCAAAAAAAAAATTCTTTGTTGGACAAAGCTTTAAAGATGTATCTAATCTTAAAATAAATACAAAGTATGTAAGAGAGAAAAAGCTTGAAGGGAAAAAAAGATTCCTAAAAATTCAAGAAGTAAAAAAAAACCTTTAAGTTTTATTGGAGCTAAGAGGTGGGGATATATATATTAATTTTCGTATATATTTGACACAGTTTTATATCAATTTCTCGAGACATGAACATCAGATATGACTTTCATGGGTCGCGATCAAGAGCTAAAGTGATTAGCTTTCAGCCTATACCCCCTTTCATTTTTCCTTTACTGTCCCTTTAAGGTTAAAAAAGAGATAACACACCGAGTACTGGAGACGGTCTTTAAACTGGGAGATATTAAGGAACCTTTTCTTCAAATTCTCAAGTTTATATTTTTCAATTTATCATTTTTTTTTCTTTTGATTTGCTCTGTTTTTTTCGTTTAGTGAGCACAACGCTAAATTCATCCTATGACCTAATTTCCTTTTTTCTAATTTTTATAATATTTTCTTTTCAAGCTTGGTTCTACTCTAGTTCTTGTCTCTTCTAATCTTGACAGTTCTTGTCACTTCTAATCTTGACAGTTCTTGTCTCTGTTTCTGCTCTTGGTCTCGTATTTGAATAAGGTTGCTGAAGGATCCTATATCTGGAGAGCTGGTGGTAGGAAACCAGTATAGATCTAACAGAGAACAGGTTGGACAATTTTTAATAATTTTTCAACACTTTGATATAAAATTTGTATTGAATTAAATATTATGACACTTTATTTCGTGTCCTGATATAGAATCATCATAAAACGATGTAGTATTGAGTGAACTTAGGGATGCTTAGAAATATTCAGACAACAATCTTTTCTTGTTATGAAGTTTTTTGATTGTTTTTTTTATCAGTGCTTAGGATCCGGATCCGTTAGATCCGCAAGATTTTGGCTTCCTGGATCCGGGTCCACAAAAATAAGCGGATCCACGGATCCGGATCCAAGGGGTAAAATAACAGCCAAAAACTGCAAGAAAAACTTTTTTACTCCTAAAACCCAATTCTGAACTTTTGAAAAAAAGAGATAATTAAAATTTCCTCATTTCTGAATGGTTAATCAAGTTTTAAAATAAAAATAAGCGAAAAAAATTAAACAAAAAATTTGAAAATTTTTTTTGTCAAAAAAATTCAGTAAATCTTTAGGACAATGACCTGGATCCGGATCCGGATTTGGATTCGGATCCATTTTCTTCCAGTTCGGATCCAGGATCCGGATCCGCATCAAAATTAAATGGGTCCTAAGCACTGGTTTTTATTTGGCCTTAATTTTACTGATTCATTGTTGTTTTAAAACACCCTCCTGGTTTTAGCATCTGTAAATTTTTTTTTTAATTATTTTAGATTGATAAATTATACAGGATAAATTTAAGGAACTTAGATTAAAAATCTATTCCTGGTGCTGAAAGACATTAAGAAAAATGTTGGTCCCTTTCTAAAAAGTTATTTTTTGTTATGTTTCAAGTGTTTATTCAGGCTGCATGTTACTGTATATTATTATTTATATATTTATTATAAACCTTAGCATTCAATGTTCATTTTATTTTCAAGAATTATGATGCTCTTTGAGAAACAAAATGAAAAAAAATGATTAATTTCCATAATTCAGCGAATAAACCCCTTAACATAAAACCTAACTTACAAATTGTGAAAATTTGTTTTAAAGGGAGAATGTTGGATAATTTTCAAGAAAATTTCTAATCTTTGATTTTCTACTTCTTGATCTTAGATTGATAAACTATATGGGATGAAGAAAAGAAACTTTGATTATAAATCTGCTCCCGAGAGAGGAAGATTGGAGGGAACCAGGGACTTCACAGATAAACCTGTTTACAGGTAAATACTAGATTAAACGTAATTTTCTTCCAGTAATTTTCAAGGAACTGTAGACGAAGTGAACCTCTTTTTAAAACATGTCTTCTTAACCTTTTATCGGAGTAACAGCTAGAAAGAAATAATCATTTTCCTATGTTGAAAATAGATATTGCGTTTCTATAATCCACAAGCCTTTGTCAATTTTCAGATAGAATAACGACGATATCTTCTTTCTTGCTAATCAGACAGAAATTGAGGGTCACATAAAAATACGGTTACAGCCCCCCTTTCGATGAAGTGATTGCATTTTTTTACAATTTAGTATTTTACATTTTTACTATTAATGTTTTTGAAAATAATTCAAATATTATTACTCAAGATATTTTCTAAAATCAAATAAGTTTTGCCGGAATTCAAATTTCTAAAATACTTGAATCATTGATTGAAAATCAATAAATGATTAATTTTATTTTCAGGAAATGGAATAAGTTTGCAAAAGAAGATCCGTACAGCATAAATAACTAGTCATCTCATGTCTCTGTAGATATTTAATAATAAAATCAAAATTCAATATAATTAATGCATTATTTCAGAAAATCCACCAAAAATGTTTTATATCGCAATTTGTTAGAATTACGGAAAAAGAATGAAGCGTAGCGGAAATTATATTTTGGCAAGAAAATCCAAGCGACAAAGAACATCGAGCAAAAGCATCATATTCACAGCTGATAATATTCCTACACCCGCTGACAAAATATGTGCTTTGTCAGCGAGCAAAGACGATTCCGCTGACGCGTGTACCATCCAGCCCCCCATATCGTCCGCTGACAAGAATATAATATTATCCACTGACAAGAATATAGTTTTATCCGCTGACAAAAACATAGTAATATCCGTTGACAACAATATAGCGTTATCCGCTGACAAGAACACAGTATTATCCGCTGACAAGAACAAAGTATTATTGACTGACAAGAACATTATATTGTCTGCTGACAAGAACATAGTGTTATCCGCTGACAAGAAGAAGAATGTCGTGTCTCCTGACCGCATTCTGAGGCAAAAGTAAGTTTAAACTCACAACATTTAATAAATTATGTTTTTCTCGAAAATTTATTTGTTTGTTTCCCAAACAGGGCAACAATCTTTTATCTCTGTTTAACTGGTTGAATGAATTCAGACCGGTATCATGACTCAAATTTGATCGTGAGTCCGACGACGTTAGGCTTAAACTAGGTCAGGCTGAAAATCCTTGATGTGGAAGGGATTGTGATGGTATATCCCGACTAGATCGAGGAGACGGTGGTTTGATTTTAGTTTAAGCTATGAGAGATGTTTTTAACCCACTCTTCCCGGGCCTGCATTGTACAGACTAATAGCTGCCTGACAAGGCAGCTCCCTTTTCCAGGATTATATGTTTTGTAGAATTAAAAACAAGGGAAATGATATACGCAGATTTTGGGTAATAATGAAAAATTGACCTTATTACTTTAAAAACATTTATTTTCTTCAATTCAGAGGTGAAAAAAAAACCAGTCTGGAATGTTATTTAAAGAAACATTAAATCTGATAGAAATGATAATGATGCCATTCGATTCATAATTCTGATACGATTTATCCTATAAACTATCCCTTCATTCTATACTAGCTTGCCTTAAACAAAGTTTTTTTATGAGAGTCAACATATTCAACATATAAACCTAGCTAATAACATTTCAGGGGTTTTACAGAGTTTCCAAATCAAAATTTGATGCCAATCGGTTAAGGGGTTCCTGAGTTATGATCGGACATAAAAACAATTAAACAGTCCGAGTAAACTACTTCATAGGCTAACATTGAATTTAACCCTAAATCTTGTTTACTGTACAGGTTGTTATGTACAGTATGTGAGGTTGTACAACCAGATACTGTTGGTTTAACGTACCATTATCTCAAGCACACCCTCATAGAACTGGCGCAAGCTCTCACCTATCTCCAGGTAAGAAAGGGAATGTTCTCTAATATAATGATAGATTGTTTGGACAATTATTTTAAATTATCTACCGATCAAATTTCTAATTCTTCTGAAATATAAATTTTCTACTCCGATGACCTCAATAATGTATAAGAGACTCCGATTTCTTTTCAGTGAATTGCCTACTGGGTAATAATCAGTGCTTAGGATCCATTTAATTTTGATGCGGATCCGGAAAAAAATGGATCCGGATTCGGATCCAGGTCATTTCTTTAAGATTTACTGAATTTTTTTAATAAAAAATAATTTTCAAATTTTTTGTTTTATTTTTTCGCATATTTTTATCCCAAAACTTTATGAACAATGAAATTTTTATAATTTCTCTTTTTTTTCAAAAGTTCAGATTTTGGTTTTAGGAGTAAAAACGTTTTTCAGTTTTTGGTTGATATTTTACCCCTTGGATCCGGATCCGTGGATCCGCATATTTTTCCGGATCCGGATCTAGGAAGCCAAAATCTTGCAGATCCAACGGATCCGGATCCTAAGCACTGGTAATAATAATAATCATAATGATAATAATCAGTCAAATCTTTCAATCTAAGATTTCAGGCTTACAGTAGAGAAAATTTTACGTCCTCGTCGGAAACATTATAGAAATATCTTCTTAAGAGAGAAGTAGAAAAGATGAAAATTGTACTTCACGATTCACAATTTATTCACCTGACACTCTATTTAAGACACCACTTACTTTCAGTGGTAGGCGATTATATCAATACAATGAAGACGACTTCCGATTTAAATTTTTATTTATACCAAACTGTTAGACAGTATAGACTATAGATACACAAAAACATAGAAATCAGGAGAAGCTGTCAATTAAAATATCTTTTTGATCGAAAAAAGCTTGTGAACAATCAAAACTTAAATAAAAAGTCGTCTTCATTGTATTGATACAATTGCCTGCCACTGTATGAAGGGCTAATCCTGATAAATTTTCTAAACTTCTCCTGCTTAGGTTCAGTTGTACTCCAGGTCCTGTGATGAACTGGTGGAGAAATCAACCGGTGCTAAAACTGATAATGTATTAATAAAAACTCGTAAACATGAGGAGGAACAGCGACTAGGAAGGTTCAGCTTATTAATTTAATTTCAGAAAATATCAGTTTGACTCGCTAACACGGCTTGGCCTTCAAGTGCTTTTGGTACTATTTTTATTTAGATCATCGTTTTTTTTTTGTAAATCACCCTCGCACTAGAACTTGATCAAATCAATGTTAAAATGGTAACCTATTAGAGATATCAAAAAAACTTCCCCCATCGAGGGAACCTCACCAGTGTACAGTATGCAACAAACTACTGGCATCCCGGAGTAACTTGAAGAAACACATGATTATTCATGGCTCGAGCAAACCGTTTTCTTGCACTGAGTGTGAAGCAGTCTTTAATCAAGCCAGAGACTTGAATGCTCATAAGATGCAGGTGAGATGATGATAAATGGAAATCGAATTTGGTAAATAAAATCATTTTTTTGCTTTTTTTTATTATTTATTGATGAAATGATTGATTAATTAATACGTTTACGTTTAATGCGTTGCTTGATTTAAATTTTAGAAACACAGTCTAGAGCGTCCCTATTGTTGCCGAGTGTGTGGTAAAGGATTTGTTCATAAATTCTATCTTGAAGAGCATTTAACCTATCATACAGGTATCCATAGTAGTAGCGATGTGCATAAAGTTGTTCTGTTTTAGATTGGGTTTAGTCTATATTTTCTTTCAGGATTATACTTTTCAAAATTACATTTACTTTTCTTACACTATGCCAAATTTTGACCCTGACATAGAAAATAGGCAAAAAAAACGAACCAAATACGTATTTGTATTTTAGCAACAAAAAAAATATTGACAATTTTTAAAAAAGCAATTGAAATCTTGAAAGTTGAAGTTTAAAAAAAAACGTCAGTCGTTGATATTGCATTTAAATCAAAAATTAAAGAACTCATGAAAAGGAAGATTATCATTCTGAAATGATTTTGTAGTGATCAAAAAGAGGTTATAGCATTCTCAAATGAAACTGTAATGAGCAATTTTATCCCCCTTATCGAAAGTTTACCTCCCCCTCTCCCCCACCCTTTTTGTTTAAAATAATATGATAAATATTTTCCCCAGGTGAGAAGAACTTTCAGTGTACAAAGTGTGGGAAACGTTTCTCGGCTTCATCGGCTCTGACAAAACACATGAAGAGACATGCTCTTGTTAAACTGTTCAAATGTGATCGTTGTGAAAAATCATTCTGTGTTAAAGAAGATTTGAAAGGTTTGTTTTCATTTAACAACTGCAATCATTCAGGTTTTTGCCGATTGCTCCTTGCAATATCAAGTAAACAAGAGCATAATACTGAATTTAAAGAGAAAGTTTTGAAAAATTCATTACTTTTTTAATTTTAATTTATATTTGATTACCCATTTTCAAAGAATCTGAAAAAAATGATTTGGGTTCTATATGTCAAGATTGGTAGGAAATAGGAATTCATCGGATCAAAATAAAAGTATTTCGTCTTTATTTTCCTTGCACTATTCAACTTCACTTCTTTTAAAAAGTTATTGTCTGTCTTATATTTTTTTTGTAATTATTTTTATATTTAAAAAATAATTCTAATTATTATTTAGCTCATCTCCGCCTGGTGCACGAAGCTGGAGTTAAACTTCATCAACTAGTATCTGAAATTAAACCCAAGAAAATAGTTGCTCATGAATGTTCTTCTCTAGCCATTAACTCACCTGCTTCAACTTCTCCTTACGAAGATCCGTGTTCTACTGATAATGAAAAGCTTGAGGAAGTTAATGATAACCCTAATGTAACACATAAATCTACCTCGGCTGATGTTGTTGGTAATCACTTCACATCAAATGATCCTCTCTCTGTTAAAGATTTCGAGTTAGTTAATGATAAATCTACTGCATCCGGAACTGAATCTATCAAAGTTCAAGATTTGTCCATTGCAATTGATGATAAAAATGTGAAAGTTGATTATCAATCTATCACAAATACACATACTGAGGAGCACAAATATACCACACTTGAAAAAAGCCTTTCTTCTGTAAATAAACAGAATACAATTGATTATAACCTCTCTACAATTGGTTATAGGCACTCTGGTGAAACTAAACAAACTGCTTTTGATGATAAATCAACATTAGTTCATGAACCGTCTGAACTTGATGACAAGGCTTCCAAAATAGATGATTTCGTTTCTGCACTTAATCAAAATTCTACAAACAAAAATGACCTTGTCACAATTGATAACTTTTCTACTAATGATCCTGATCTAGTCAGTAAATCAACCACAGTTGATAATAAACCACAATAATGTTGTCAATTCAAGCTTATTTAGTTGATTAATCTAATCCAGCTTGACATTTAGTTTATCTTTGATCTGTTTCTAGAAATTTACAATTTCAGATGTATTTATTACTATGGGGCGCCTTCCTTTCCTGTCTATCCTCCATTACAGCTCCAATCACTAAATATCTAGGTTAATTCTTTTCTATAAATTGTATTATTTATTGTTTTATTTTTATGGAAAAAGCTTCATTTAACGAATTATTTTTTGTAGTGGAGTTGAGCTCATCTGTGACAGAATTTGAGCAGGATTTAAGGAAACAGCTCAAAGAGCTACAAAAGGTATTACAATTAATTAATATTTCAATGAATTTGCAAAGAAGTACTAAGTGCCCCTGTTAAAAGAGTATAATAAACAAATCACACTAGTGCCCTTCTAAGAATTTGCACCTGGAGGTTAAACAAAATTTCGGTTCGATTTTGACCCTTGAAGGCCTTGCCTTACGGAACCCTTCTGAAGCTGTTAAGAACTATAAACTATTATTAACTAATTGAAATAAATTGCGGACCATTTCTTAACCAAATTAAGAATACATCTACCCCCTAGATGCTTCACAGAGCTTTAAGTAACATGCTGAAAAGAAGTTTACGGGACGATTTTTCCGGATTAATTCCATAATTCCATAATTCCATAATTCCAAACTGTCACACCGAGCTCTGTGTATTATCTAAGGGGTAAATTTTTCTTAAGATCAGTTAAGAAAGCTTGAGCCGTTAATTTCCAAAATTTTGAATTCTTACCAAATTGAACTGGAAAGAATTTAAACCATAGAAATTGATATGTCGTTTTATGTTTATTGTTTAAATACCGTTCTATCTACTCGTCTATCGTGTGATGTGATTCGATTTGAATGATATAGGAACTGAAGGGAATATCAATGATGGACGAATTTGCAGAATACGCCAGAACAGAGAGAAAAATAAATAAGGTACATTTAAAAACAATTCTCTAATTCAAACACAATTTTTTTTCATTTTATCTAATTTAATTTAGGTAAATGAGAAATTAGAAGCTTGCAACAGCGCCAGAAATGTCCAGAGTGGAAAAGCAAAATGGGCATTTACCCTAACAATTCATTCAATAACAGGTACAGTTATAGTTCTTTATCACCAAATGTCACAGTAAAAACGAAACAAAACATAAAGAATTATAAAGGGATAAACAAGAAGATTTGTAAAGTTTAACTGATAGAAAAGTGACCCTGTAAGAAGAAATGCAATGAGAAGTATTTTCATTGTCAATACAAACAGGGCTTTAACTGATGAAAGTGATTTTATGCACTCAAAGTCAAACACACTGAAAAATTATCTTATATCTAAAAGAAACCATAACAAATCATTTCATCATTAGAAAAATGCCATCATTTTATAACGAAAGACTTAACAATCCTGGTTAAGTTAGATTGGTCTTATTTTTTATTTTTATGAACACCGGACCTACACATTTTTCTCAGTTAGTTAGTACCACTTGTTAGATTGAAGTATTGGAGCCGGTACTCCTTTACACCATATCTTTAAAGGCGGCTAGTTCGCCCTATCAAGGTTTTTTTTTAAATATCCCGTTTTTTCTTAACATTAAAATTAATGCAAGTTTTAACTAGGGTTTTTGTTATTTTTGATTTTGGTAATTTGAAATAATTAAAAGTAATTTTCTTTTAGTTTTTGATTTAGAAAATAAACACATGCACAAGAAAACTAATGCTCAACAGGATTAAATTGTTAATCTTTTTCATTATTTTTTTTTCTCGAGAAACTCTAGGATGGCCATTTTAGGTATTAATGTCTGGTATTAAAATATTTAAAATACTGAGGTTTTGTGTCATCGATGCTATAAGAGTAGATTAGCAGAACAATCTGAGAGAAATCTTAGATGCACGATGGTTGGAATACCTAAGCCCCAAGATTCCAGAAGAAATTTTGCGCCTATTCTTTTCTAGGGATGTATAATAAAAATAAATCCTTATTGTTTTTTTTGTTTTTTTTTTACAAGTAACTGGACCCATCAGCCCCCTAAATTACTGAAATGTTAGCCTCAATAGTTTGGCCGGTTTAGATCACGTCACATAGTAAATAAAATACAAAGTGTATTATAGATGATACACTATGTGTTTAAAGAATGTCGTCTTATTTTCAGGATTATTGACTTTCCTAAGTGTTTGGTCTTCCTGGGGTGAGCCTGTTGTAATTTTGCCAGCTGAGTGGGTGTGGCCAGTTGGTTGGTTTCTCTCCAGCCCTGGGGTAGGTGTGTCAGGAGGCGTTTCTCTCCCTGCCTGGATGGCTTTATGCAGGAATGTTCACATTTTTTTCACCTCAAAGTTGAATATTAAATTAAAAGTATCAAGTTGACATTTATGATTAAAAAATTATTAAAGATTGAAATGTGAATGTTTAGGACGAGCTACAAGATGCTCCCGTCTTTTCCTTCTGTTTTCAGTGCTCCTAATTATTCCCAGTTACCCCTAGACTAGTATTTCCAGTTTCCATTCCAGCTACCTTTAGACTAGTATTTCCAGTTTCCAAACTATTCCAGCTACCTTTAAACTAGTATTTCAGTTTCCATACTATTCCAGCTACCCTTAGACTAGTATTTCCAGTTTTCATGCTATTCCAGCTACCTTTAGACTAGTATTTCCAGTTTTCATACTATTCCAGCTACCCTTAGATTGGTATTTCAGTAACCATACTATTCCAGCTACCTTTAGACTAGTATTTCCAGTTTCCATACTATTCCAGCTACCTTTAGACTAGTATATCAGTTTCCATACTATTCTAGCTACCTTTAGACTAGTATTTCCAGTTTCCATACTATTCCAGCTACCCTTAGACTAGTATTTCCAGTTTTCATACTATTCCAGCTACCCTTAGACTAGTATTTCAGTTTCCATACTATTCCAGCTACCTTTAGACTAGTATTTCCAGTTTCCATACTATTCCAGCTACCTTTAGACTAGTATTTCCAGTTTTCATACTATTCCAGCTACCCTTAGATTGGTATTGCAGTTTCCATACTATTCTAGCTACCCTTAGACTAGTATTTCCAGTTTTCATACTATTCCAGCTACCCTTAGTCTAGTTTTTTAGTTTCCATACTATTCCAGCTACCTTTAGACTAGTATTTCCAGTTTCCATACTATTCCAGCGACCTTTAGACTAGTATTTCCAGTTTTCATACTATTCCAGCTACCTTTAGACTAGTATTTCCAGTTTTCATACTATTCCAGCTACCTATAAGACTAGTATTTCAGTTCTCAAACTATTCTTAGCTACCCTTAGACTAGTATTTTCAGTTTCCATACTATTCCTAGCTACCCTTAGACTATTAAAACCAGTTACTGAACTATTCATAAGCAGCTGTAGACATGTATTTCTTGTTCTTAATCATTATTATTACTAGTCCTCCTGTCCTCGTTATTCCTAGTTATTTTTAGTTATTCCTAATTATTCTTAATTATTCCTAATTATTCCTTGTTATTAAAGGAACTGTCGACCTAATTTAAAGTGACTCTTTATTTAAAAAGGGGCGTGAATGATTTACAGGGTTAGTTTTAAACCTTCGTTTTAAAGATATCCTTGGTTTTTATCTGAAAATTGATATTTTATTTTTAATTGTTGCTTCTCTTATTCTTATCAAATTGAATTGCGGAATTGTGAAGCCGAGACAAGTGAATGAAATTTACACAATTTTTAAATGTCTTCCTCTTTTTTGTTCAGATTAAGGTTTAAAGGGTACCGTTGTCAATCAGATATAAAATTCCCTAAAGGGACTAAAAGCGAAATGCCATGTGACCCACTATGCAAATATGGCATTGCCCGATTTACAACGCTATACTTAACAGTTTTGTTTGATCAAGTATAAATTAAATATCCACGTGGTTGTTCCTTTTAACTGTTAATTTTCATTTGCGGGTCCTCTACGAAAGTGACTTCATTTCTTGCTTATAAGAAGCAAAGAAGAAATTATGAAAATTAAAACTTTTCGAGTCAAAACACCGACGTTATCTGCACATTTTTGATCAGATAAAGGTTTCAATGGTACCGTTGTAAATCTAACATTGCCTTGTTTGTAGGGTAACAACAATTAACATTATTAATCCCCCTAGCTATGTATAGTTAGCTACCTTTACATTTGTATTTTTAGCTACTTTTTCCCTTATCCTTGTATTGTGATTGTCCTATACCCTCGAAGAAAGTAATGCCCCTTTTTTTAAATGTTTTTGTTTAATGTTGATCTTTTTGTAACTTTTGTTGTGGAATTCTGTATTTCCCTTTGTACGTTGGTAATAGATATATTTAATTCATTAAAAATGCGCATAAAACCACGCTACGCTACATGTACGTCAAAAAAAGCACATTAGCATGTTAAAAGTTGGTTTCTGTTTTGTTTTATTCTAATTTTTTCATAGTCTAAAAAGTAAAAACACTCAACTGATTTTTAAAATAAATCAGAATCAATCAATAAATCAGTGGAACAAAATACTGTTCCAGAATATCTTGGATTTTTAAGTTTCTCGGTTTTTCTATAGCATCTGTGTCTCTTAAAATAACGTTTAATATAATTCTAAGTCTGAAATACGTTATGTTGTATTTATAGTCATAAACAAGAATCTCGTTTAGATTTTGTTCTATTTGAAATTTATTCTAGACCAAAAAAATGCTGTTTTTAAGTGATGCGTACATTGTGAACCCAATATTACCCAAGGATCAAATTATATCATTAAAAAAAAACATTTTTCTTTTTGTTATCCTCAGATATTTGAAATACACTTATCGGATCTATTGAATTTAATTTTAGATTTTTTTCTATATATGCTATACAGAGAGTCCCATATCATATTAGATTTAATACCAAAATACGCATGTATAACTCGAAAATGCTAGCATTTTCTGCATGCAAATTTTTATATTAGCCGTTTACATTTTTTAAAATGATTTCTGATTATTCCCGAAAATCGCAATTTATATGATGCCAAGTGAGAAAAGAATAAAATCTAATGGACATGTTTTATACCTAATGTTTGATATCATGATAAATTTTGATGTTTTCATGATCCCTAAAATATGAGCTTTATTTTAGACATCTAGTGTCCGACGTTTAGTTTTATGAGAGATTTTGGTCCTTTAAACGGTTACGCAAAAATCTCCAAGTTAATCAAAATTCAAAACTGTTTATTTTAAACAATGCTTTTATTATACTATGCCTAAGAGAAAATATATAGATAAAAATATTCAAATGTTTAATATAAACAAACTTTAACATGATACAGTTTTGAAATATTAGGCACTGTCAACTAGATAGAGAGAGAGGGCCACACATCATAAATTCAAAACATTTATGTTCTTTTCAATACATCTTCAATAAAAGATTTAAACTTCACTTTACTTTGGTATTATAATTGAATTTCTTGTTAAATTAAGATTACAACCCTATCATCATATTCTTGAGATAGAAATTGAAAAGATTACTTGTAATGATCTCAGTTCAGCATTTTTAATGGTGGTTTGTTTGAATTAAAGGCACATAAGTAATTTTAAAAATATGATGTACATAATTACACATAATTATTACATGCCCAGGCTTCATTTTTAGTTTAGTCTTTTTGAATTTGAAGTCTAGTATGAACGTTGAGTCCCTAAAAAGTTCTCCTGCTTAATCTGTCTTCATCCCTAGGCATAGAGAATAGAATATATATTAGAGGGGAATTTAAAGAATCTCTCGGTATGAATTTTTTCAGTCCCTTTCAGCCTGAAAGGGAGTTCAAAGTGTACAAATCATGTAAATGTTCACAAATTATATGCAGTAGAGTGCATTAATACAGTATGTTCCCTAGACTATTCATTTCAATTTCGAATTTTTTAAAGCTGTTAAATAAACTTTATAATGAATTAGGTGAATAAAAACATTATTTGATTTATAGTTATAACGGAAAATCATCGTTTGTAAAGTGGAAGGCATAGAGTCTATGTGAAATGATCATTGGTCAATTATGAAACCAGCCTATTTCATGATTTGGTTTTCTTTTAACATTAATTTTAGATTTTCTATAAAATGATATTCCAGGGCCCAAAAGGTTATAAAGTATAAATATGTGAAGTACACCTGCAGTATGGAAACAGTACAATAAAATGGCCTTTTTTCTTTTCTAGTAAATTCCCCTCTAATATATATTTTATTCTCTTTTTTCCTAGGTCTCCTACTTAATCTGTCTATACCCCTGGTTCTCCTGCTTAATCTGTCTTCATCCCTAGGTCTCCTACTTCATCTGTCTTTACCCCTGGTTCTCCTGCTTAATCTGTCTATACCCCTGGTTCTCCTGCTTAATCTGTCTATACCCCTGGTTCTCCTGCTTAATCTGTCTATTCCCCTGATTCTCCTACTTAATCTGTCTATACCCCTGGATCTCCTGCTTAATCTGTCTATACTCCTGGTTCTCCTGCTCAATCTGTCTATACCCCTGGTTCTCCTACTTAATCTGTCTATTCCCCTGGTTCTCCTACTTAATCTGTCTATACCCCTGGTTCTCCTGCTTAATCTGTCTATACCCCTGGTTCTCCTACTTAATCTGTCTATTCCCCTGGTTCTCCTGCTTAATCTGTCTATTCCCCTGGTTCTCCTGCTTAAACTTAAGTAATAAACCTTGTTTAATGGCTAATCTTCTAAAGGTTCAGAATATTTTACTTAAGTTTATATTTAAAGTAGGATAAATTTTACCATTAGCACTTGAATATTTTTCTTTAAATTAACTTTGATATATTGTATTCTGTGCAAGGTTGTATATAACAACCTTATAACCTTTTAACAATCTTGATTCTGCGTTACAGATATTATATCCTGTATTCTTTATCCTTCCCCCTGTGACCCGTATCCGCATCCTGTATCCTGTATTCAATATCCTGTATCCTATATTCGGTATCCTTCATCCTGTATTCTGTATTCTTTATCCTGTATCCTGTACCAAATTACCTTGAATTTAGAATTTAATCCTTAATGTGAAGTAGTAGTAGTGTAATGAAAGTTCATATATAACTTAATTGGTCTCGTGACTCTAGTGTAGAACAATATAAACCTGTATCCTAGGGTAGAACAATATAAACCTGTATTCTAGGGTAGAACAATATAAACCTGTATTCTAGGGTAGAACAAGATAAACCTGTAGTTTAGGGTAGAACAATATAAACCTGTACTCTCGGGTAGAACAATATAAACCTGTACTCTCGGGTAGAACAATATAAACCTGTATTCTCGGGTAGAACAATATAACCCTGTATTCTCGGGTAGAACAATATAAACCTGTATTCTCGGGTAGAACAATATAAACCTGTACTCTCGGGTAGAACAATATAAACCTGTACTCTCGGGTAGAACGATATAAACCTGTACTCTCGGGTAGAACAATATAAACCTGTACTCTCGGGTAGAACGATATAAACCTGTACTCTCGGGTAGAACAATATAAACCTGTACTCTCGGGTAGAACGATATAAACCTGTACTCTCGGGTAGAACAATATAAACCTGTACTCTCGGGTAGTCTTAAGCTTAAAGAATGGATTTTTACAAAAATATTTCACCAACGGTTCACTTCATTCACAAAACCTTTTTAAATCAACAAAAAATCTCTCCCCCTCCACAAACAAAATACTCTAGTTGCGCCTCTGGTTGTAAAAAAATCAATTAAAAAGTCGTTTAAAAAAAACTATTTTAATTTTGACAAACCATGATTAGTTGGAAGATTTATTTCTGTATTATTAAACATCTTTCTTCTTCATTATTTATTTAGCTGAAGTTTAAAACTTCTCTGAGTCTGAAAACAGAAATATTTTCGTCTGGCTCTTGAGAGAATTATTCTTCAGATATATTGGAAAATATTATTCTTTTTCAAGGGAGCGTTCAAGATTTTTTAAAAGGAGAATTAATGAAGTAACAGATCATCGATGCTGTTTATTATGATCTGATGAAATTTACAATTAACATTAAATTAACAAAATGTTGTTTTAAATTAGGGAGAAAAAAAACTTATTTATTCACATATAGATTTTTAAAGCTTAAAGTATCAGTTGGTCTCTAACACATGTTTATCAGGAATATTGGTCTAGCTCTTAAATGTGAACTGCACGACACCCTGAAATATCTGTAAAATCGTCATTATATTTAACCCAGTATATGGCTGTTTTCTTCAGATAATAATTAATGGTTTAAAGCACAGTGTGCACATATCTTCAATCCCTTCATGCTAGGTTGAAGTTCTGATGGTTTCTGGTTGGATCTAGTTTCTCCAGGTGTATAATCCCCTGTACTCCAGGGATACAGGATATCTACTCCAACCTTCTCCTCTGTACTAGGGAAGGAACCAGAGTTGCTGCAGGTACCACTCCCCTCCTCACAATTCTTTATGGAACATAGAGGACCTGGAGAATCTATAGGACACACTGGACCTGGAGAATCTATAGAACGAACAAGATCTCTATGATCTAAAGGACCTGGTGGGCTTACAGGGGTAACTGGAGAACAGAGATGAGATTCTTTAGTTGCTGAAAAGTGTAGAGGAATTATCATAAACTCGTTACTGCAAACACTCTCAGGTCTATCATCTACATTCTCCTGGTTGTATAACTGTTCCTTGTACTCCAGGTACTGATGATAGTCTCCTCGAGGATACTGGGCCAACCTGATGGATTGTGGACTCTGTACTTGATAAACATGAGGTCCATCAGGAGACTGTGGAGGCTGAAGAGATTGAAGTTGCTCCAGGGTTTCTGAACTAAGCATACTCCCGCCTGCAAATAAAGACAAATAAATATCTTTAAAAACAATTTAATTCACCTCACATACTTACTTCTCTTCAGGTTTGGCTGTCTTCTCCAGGTCTTATCGTAAACTCCATGTTTCGGAGTTGAACCTGCTCCAGACTTAGGATTTGAACCAGAAGACTCTCCTCTAGATGCTCTATTACCTTTTCTGCAAACAATATTAATTCAATTCGATTATAGAGTTTTTAGAGTTTCTGATGACCTGACCTGACCTGACCTGACCTGACCTGACATGACATGACCTGAAAGCTAGTGCTATTGATAGAACAATAAAGATCGAGATTGCAAGAATGGTTCCAAGGATACAGGCAGTGAGAAGAGTAGATCCAGAGTTCTCTTCCTCCCCCTCTTGTATTGGAGCAACCTAGAGATTGAAGACTCATGGATATTCCAGAAAATTTATTTTTTGATCAATAATAATAAGGTTTAAAGAAGGAAGAACGTGCTTTTAGGCCGTGGAAACCTTTTTTCATACACACTTTGTCAATAGATAGGTATATTTAGACTACAGATGTGTACAATAGACTACTAGTTGGCACTATTTGAGAGATAATTTATGAAATGTCGTCTTGACAATTTTCCATGGGTTTTATGATATTATACGTGAATCTCATTAAATGAAAAAAACCAAGAATATTCAGGCACAGTTTTAAAGAGTTCCATATGATCATTTAATTAAAAAACTAAATATCTGAAGTATCCATTATCAGAAAGTTAAGAATACGACATTCTTTAAATTCTTTCGATGTTTCTTTATATTTAAACTTAACTGTAGTGCCAACTATAGCGTTGTATTATATCTATAGCCTAAGTTGGTATCATAGATTAAAGATTATGTTTAAGTCCTCTTTAAGCTGTTAAGTAAAAAGCTAAAAGGGACTCGAACCATTCTGTTTTTTACAAAGACAGTCGTCGATTGAAAAAGATTTATAACACCACTTATTTCAAATAATTCTTTAAAGAGATAATGGAAAAAAATCTAATAAATCATTTCTGTGGCAATTTTACCTGGACGCCAGTGCAACTCTTCCCTGTCACAACATGAAGGGGTTCAGATGCCAACCCTGTTTAGTTAATTCAAAATTTAAAAATTTTAATACTTTTCTGAATTATGTCTCACTCTGCAGGGTTTTATAAGTTTTATTTTTTGGGGAGAAAAAAGTGTTTTTAGGAAAAAATCATCAAAATGAATCCCAAATGTGAATAATGATTTTTTTTTATTCCAAGACTTATATTTTTGGATTTTATGGTGTAGTTTTTGTTTACCTGGATAAAGTGTTTCTACTCTGTACAAACTTCTAGAATATCCCTTCATCATTCAAATATGTTGTCAGAAGATAAACATTTTAATCTAAGTTTCTTCCTTTTTTATTTAACAACTTTTTAACTGTTGTTATTTAATCGTTTTGTTTGTTTTTTTAATCGTTAGAATTGTGTCGAGGGTCCACCCAGGCCAAAGTATATATTCTATAAAATAATGAAAAAACATCTGCAGTCAACTTTAATCTGGAACTAACATCAACACCAAAGTTAAAATTATTGTTTTATGTGATACAATCTCTTCAGATTTGATCACAATTAAGATTTAATGAAAGTGATTGTTTTAATTTACATTTTTTAATGAAACTGTTTATGATAATAATTGTTTCTTTTTAGACCCCAATTGTTCAAATTTGTAAAATTTCAAGCTCTAATGGATAATAAAAAAATAATAACCAATCTCTCACTTAAAATTAAAAAAATTTGAGTCTTTCCTTGCTAATGTTAAAGTAGAGGGAAGGGGGCAAAAGGTATTCGCCCCTCTCTTAGTCTTATCTAATAAAGATTCTATTAAAGATTTATCATATTTGGTTCCTGAACGAGTAGCGTGTACTCTGTAAACTCTGTTAGATTGTGCAAGGAGACCTAAAATAGAACCATTTTAATGGCATCTTTAGATCAAATTTTGACTTCTTTTTGCGCATTTTTCACCTGAAGCTCCTGAAGAGCAGAGACATCTGTTGTAAAATTAAGAAAACTTAATTCATAAAGGTTCCAACCCTCTACACTCTCTCTGCACTCACAACCGGTTAATTTTGTAAAATAAGAAATAAATATAAATATAATGAAAATATAGATTTTAAACTCGGTTTTGACATGATTGGTGTAAAAAATTGGGAATTAAAAACAAAATTAAATATTTTTTCAACCAGTTCCTCGGTTTATAAAAGATTTTGTAAACATCTACAGATCGCTGATATCTCTTAAAAATGATGTAAAATTATTTAATATTATCGGAAACTTTGAAAAGGAATTGTGCTGTATTTGCCACACATTTTATAATACCTATTTCTTTGCAACCTGACTCTGTAAACTTTTCTATATCAAACTGAATTTATTTGATCCAACATAATTCATAGTTTGAAATATCTAAGATCCACGACAATGGGTTGCAAAGATGTAGGGATTAGAGTTGGTGGCAAAGACTTAATTCCTTTCTTTTAGGATATTTCACGTGGAAAATTTGAGCAAAACCTAAAAACATTATTTTTTTCGACCAGGCTAAATATTTTACACATTAATTTACTTCTTTGGCTTTGTTAGTAAAATATTTGATTTCATTTAAAGGATTCTTTTCTTCATAACCATTTTATGTTAATATTCTGTTCTTTTTCAAACTATTGAGAGTTTAACCTGCAGCTGGTGATAGCTCAACTACTTTTCTACTGACGCTAAGATTTATTTGAACCGTAATAGTTATTAAATTTTATCTCGGTAACACAAAAGTAACTGAACTATCCTTTACCTTTGGTTTCCTCCAAAACAAACGTAAAGATGATTCAGATTCACAGGAAACATTTGTTATCACAGGAGAACCTGAACATTTGTTATTATAGGAGAACCTGAACATATGTTATCACAGGAGAACCTAAACATGTGTGATTACAGGAGAACCTGAACACTTGATATTATAGGAGAACCTAAACATTTGTTATTATAGGAGAACCTAAACATTTGTTATTATAGGAGAACCTAAACACTTGTTATTATAGGAGAACCTTAACATTTGTTACCATAGGAGAACCTAAACATTTGTTATCATAGGAGAACCTGAACATTTGTTATTACAGGAGAACCTAAACATTTGTTATTACAGGAGAACCTAAACATTTGTTTTTACAGGAAAACCTAAACATTTATTTTTACAGGAGAACTTAAACAATTGTTATTATAGGAGAACCTAAACATTTGTTATATTAGGAAAACCTAAACATTTGTTATCATAGAAGAACCTAAACATTTGTAATTATATGAAAACCTGAACACTTGTTATCACAGGAAAAACTAACACATTTGTTTTTACAGGAGAACCTAAACATTTGTAATTACAGGAGAACCTAAACATTTGTTATTATAGGAGAACCTAAACATTTGTTATTACAGGAGAATCTAAACATTTGTTATTACAGGAGAACCTAAACATTTGTTATTACAGGAGAACCTAAAAATTTGTTATTACAGGAAAACCTAATCATTCGTTATCACAGGAGAACCTAAACATTTGTTAACACAGGAGATCCTAAACATTTGTTATCACAAAAGATCCTAAACATTTGTTTTCACAGGAGAACCTAAACATTTTTTATCACAAGAGAACCTAAACATTTGTTATAACAAGAGAACCTAAACATTTGTTATTACAGGAGAACCTAAACATTTGTTATTACAGGAGAACCTAAACATTTGTTATTACAGGAGAACCTAAGCATTTGTTTTTACAGGAGAACCTAAACATTTATTTTTACAGGTGAACTTAAACATTTGTTATTACAGGTGAACCTAAACATTTGTTATTATAGGAGAACCTAAACATTTCTTATTATATGAGAACCTAAACATTTGTTATTACAGGAGAACCTAAGCATTCGTTATCACAGGATAACCTAAACATTTGTTATCACAGGAGAACCTAAACATTTTTTTATTACAGGAGAACCTAAACATGTATTATCACAGGAGAACCTAAACATTTGTTATCACAGAAGAACCTAAACATTTGTTATCACAGGAGAACCTAAACATTTGTTATCACAGGAGATCCTAAACATTTGTTATCACAGGAGAACCTAAACATTTGTTATTATAGGAGGAACCTAAACATTTGTTATTATAGGAGAACCTAAACATTTGTTATCAAGGGAGAATCTAAACATTTGTTATCACAGGAGATCCTAAACATTTGTTATTATAAGAGAACCTAAACATTTGTTATTACAGGAGAACCTAAACATTTGTTATTACAGGAGAACCTAAAAATTTGTTATTACAGGAGAACCTAAGCATGTATTATCACAGGAGAACCTAAACATTTGTTATCACAGGAGAACCTAAACATTTGTTATCACAGGAGAACCTAAACATTTGTTATCACAGGAGAACCTAAACATTTTTGTTATTACAGGAGAACCTAAACATTTGTTTTTACAGGAGAACCTAAGCATGTATTATCACAGGAGAACCTAAACATTTGTTATCACAGGAGAACCTAAACATTTGTTATCACAGGAGAACCTAAACATGTATTATCACAGGAGAACCTAAACATTTGTTATCACAGGAGAAGCTAAACATTGTTAAATGAATTTTGGGTGAAACGTAGTATTAGGTGAAAAGTGAATTGGGTGAAACGTTATTTCACCTAAAATTGGGTGAAATGCTTTGGGTGAAACGTGATTGGGCGAACTGTTTTCACACCGTAACTTTTATCTGAAGAATTTATAGTTTCAATTCACCTGGTCCAGATACATCGGTCAACACCTGATCATAACAAATCATTTTTAGAAAATTAAAAAAATTAAAAATAATTTTTCTACATTTATTATAATATATTTGATTTGGTTGGTTAAAAAAAATACTTTAAATATTTTTTAAGAAAAGATAAAAAGGTAAATCTTAAAGCTTTAAGAAGATACGAAAATTGTTGATTTGAATCCTAATGCTTTAAAACTATAAACCCATCTTTTCAGTTTTTGTACTAAAAAAGTTGTATTCAATAATCATTTATTTAATCAAAATATAGCTAAAGTCCAATATTTTTTCTAAAATGACATATTTTCCTGCATAACTATAGAAGGTCGGCTCTCACCCCTAAAATCAGTCAGAAAACATTTTAGAAAAATTAAATGAAACTTATCAATAAAAAACTTAATGATTTTACCATTTTGCAAATGTACAGTGCCCCCCAAAACAAAATGGATTACAACTGATACTGGGATAAACTTATTAACTTATTAAGTACGGCAAAAATCGTTAATTTTTAATCCGTGAAAAAAACGGATTAACCGTTTTTGAAAAAAAATTAAGATTGAAAGCAAAATGAAACGGATTTTTAAACGGTAAATTTGGTTCTGTTTCTGCTTAAAATTGCATTAAACTTGCTAAGAATAACAATATCATGAAGCGTTAAGGACATTTTTTATTGGCGCTTCGCGCTGTTAACGCCATTAATACTGTAATAGACCGTTAACTTGTTTGGCGCTTCACGCCGTTAACGCAATTATTTTTTTATTAACGGTTTGTGAAAAATTTTCGTTAAAACGCCGTCAATAAAATTGAATTCGTTAACTAAAGGTAAATTTAATAAACCGGAAAATACTGTTAACAAAACGAAATTCGTTCTTACTCTCTAAAACAACCTGACAGCTTTGTCTAACCAAGAATGAATCAGATATCAATGGTTTGTTTCTTCAAACTGCATATTTTCATTTATTGATCATAAGAAGCAATGGAGAAACTCGACATAGAAATAAAACTTTTCGAGTAAGAAAAACGACGGTATCTTCCACATTTTTGATCAGATTAAAGTTTTAATGGTACCGTTGTAACTCGAGCATTTCCATCTTTTAATGGAGGGTCACTTGAAATTACGCTTACAGTCCCTTTAATATTCTCGTAAAATGTATGCTCTGCGGGGCTGAAAAATATTTCAATTGTTTCTTCATCAAAGCTTTAGTCAAATCAGATAATTTCGATTTGAAATTTTTGATTAATTTTGGGCAGATCTGGTCCCCGCCCCCCCCTCGTACTCCCTTGGGCAGATCTGCGTAAACATAAAAACTGAAGATGAGAAATATATGTTTACCTTTTATTATATCCCCTCACATGTACACTGTACACCGTGTACGGAACTAAAAACAAACAATCCGTAGAAACTTTTTTCTTAACCAATTTTTTTAAAAGATTTTTTAGATTATTTGTCTGACAGGTATTTGCAAAGATGTAAAAAAAAGATTATTTAGATTTTTTGTCTGAGTGAGTTGAATCTACAGTGAGGACCAGTAAACTGTAGAATAGGAAGACGATACTAAAACAATAGTGATGTGCATTAGACAAAGAGAATAGAATATATATTAGAGGGGAATTTACTAGAAAAAAGTGTAAAACGGCCATTTTGTTGTACTGTTTCCATACTGCAGGTGTACTTCACATATTTATGCTATATAACCTTTTGGGTCCTGGAATATCATTTTATAGAAAATCTAAAATGAATGTTAAAAGAAAACCAAATTATGAAATAGGCTGGTTTCATAATTGACCAATGACCATTTCACATAGACTCTATGCCTTTCACTTTACAAACGAAGATTTTCCGTTATAACTATAAATCAAATGATGGTTTTTATTCACCTAATTCATTATAAAGTTATTTAACAGCTTTAAAAATTTCAAAGTTGAAATGAAAGTCTAGGGAACATACTGTATTAATGTACTCTACTGCACATAATTTGTGAACATTTACATGATTTGTACACTTTGAACTCCCTTTCAGGCTCGAAGGGACTGAAAAAATTCATACCGAGAGATTCTTTAAATTCCTCTCTATATATATTCTATTCTCTATGGCATTAGATGTTGTTACAAAGAAAATAACTTATTACTTATTAAGTGAAAAGGGTCTTTTACACTGTACAATTGTTGTGGTTCATGTTAATTGGACTATTTAAAGTCATAACTTGAGTCTGAAGGTCGTCTTCCTACTCCAGAATTTTCTGGTTATCACTGTATATAATAAAGCTCTTCGCTCATTTCTATATATTTGTTCGTGTAAATGTTAGTAATGTACAGCTGGCCAAACGGCGGAAGCGAATTGACTATTTTTTTTAGGAAACCCTTGAGTATCTCAGGCCGGGGTAACATAAGCTTGTTCACACTTAGTTCACACTACTCAGCTACTATATACATTATATAAGAAAAAAAGTGTATAATTGTATATAATCTAAATTGTAAGATAAACTTCTTGTTAAAATCTAAAATCCGTATACAAGGAAGATTTAAACGAGAAAAAAAGAAAAAGAGTGTAGGTTTTTTTCAGCTGAAGGTGATTAAAGAATTGTTTATAAAATCTTAAAAGCTATCATATCATACATTTATTATCCAGACTTTACCTAAAGCTAGAATATTGTGTATAGTAAAGGTTAAAGTGGAGACCACTGTGTCCACCCTACTGAATCCTCCACCTGTGTAGTAGACCCTAGAAGTAAGAAAAGAAATTTACCCGTTGTTACTTTCAGTCCTTTTTTATGATTTATAAATATAAAACTGATGAATCAACTGGTTTGAGGGAAACTAGATTTCGACATTTTTGGACTACAATTTGTCTCAAGAGAAATGAAAGGAAAAATTTTAATTTAAATCAAACTAATTTCAATTGGAATAATTTGAGTGTCTAGTATCTGCAAGGTTATGCCAGTTATGAATCATTTGCATTTACGAGATTATATCCCGACTGCCATGTTCGCTGCACCGCTAAACATTTTGAGAAGCTCTAAAAGAGGACTCCGAATCTCTGAAGGCCTAGACAACTATTCGTTAACGATGAGATGTTTATGCCTTATCTAACCTTTTGTTTTTTTAAAGACCAAATCTCTTTTATTGGAAGGTATTAAAATCTAATAAAAGATTATTAGTATTTTGGTTCAGGTTGGGTTAGAGGTTTAAAAATAAACTGAAAGCTACCCAATGTTAATGTCTAAAAGTGGAGTTGTGATTAGGACTGGGCGTCGTTCTTGAAGAACGATCGTTCTTTCACAACAAACGAAACTATAAAGAACGATCCCATCGTTACGAAAAAAGAACAGAACGCAAAGAAATGTTCTTAAAATCAGGAATGCGTTCTTATTATCAAGAACGCGTTCTAAGTTAGGAACGCATTTTAAATCAGGAATGTGTTCTAAATCATCTAGAAATTTAAATTTAAAACATTTAGTTTAAAGTATATTTTCGGTCGTGAGGAACTTTTTATTATAAAATCGTCATTTTTTACTTTTTAACAACCTCTTTTCTACAAAACTTTTGTCTTGGACACCTCTAAAGTAACCCCCCGGCCCCCTCCCCCTCCTATCTTCTTGACGAAGAACGGAACGGTACGCGGGATGATCATTCTTAGACTAAGAACGGAACAGAACGGAACGAGAACGGAACGATTGGGGGGAAAAAATGAACGAGAACAGACCGATCTTGCTGAAGGCCTTCCTTCTAGAACAGAACGAAACGATTTGAAAAAAGTCGGAACATGCCCAGCCCTAGTTATGACGTTTTATTGTATCCTAGCAATGACAGAGCACTGTTCTGTGCACCACCTGATGCACCGAACAGAATGGTTTAAGGTGCACTGACCGAAATGGTTTGAAGTGCACCGAACAGAATGGTTTGAGGTGCACCGAACAGAATGGTTTGAGGTGCACAGAACAGAATGGTTTGAGGTGCACCGAACAGTATGGTTTGAGGTATACCGAACAGAATGGTTTGAGGTGCACCGAACAGAATGGTTTGAGGTGCACCGAACAGAATGGGTAGAGGTGCACCGAACAGAATGGTTTGAGGTGCATCTAAGTGAATTGTTTGATGTGCACCGAATAGAATGGTTTAAGGTACACTGACCGAAATGGTTTGAGGTGCACAGAACAGAATGGTTTGAGGTGCACGGAACAGAATGGTTTGAGGTGCACCAAACAGAATGCAGTTTGAGGTGCACTGAACAGTATGGTTTGAGGTGCACTGAACACTATGGTTTGAGGTGCACTGAACAGTATGGTTTGAGGTGCACTGAACGGAAGTGTTTGAGGTGCACCGAACAGAAAACAGTTTGAGGTGCACTGAACAGTATGGTTTGACTTGCACTGTACAGTATGGTTTGAGGTGCACCGAACAGAATGCAGTTTGAGGTGAACTGAACGGAAGTGTTTGAAGTGCACCCTCAGTTATTTCCATAAAAGACACTACTGCTACAAAGATGATTTTACCTGTATCCTTGAACATCGTCAACAGGGCCTAGATCCAGGTCTTCTTCAGGTTCAGCGGCACTCCAGGATATAGAGAACCCTGGGATAAAATATACAGAATGTCGTCTTCCTAACACAAGGAAGAACTCCGCCAACAAGATGATGGAAATCTTCAGAGAGCTCATATTTTTCTAGAATTCTGCAGATGCCGTTTGCCCATATTTACAATGAGGTAAATTAGAATTAATTTTTTTTATGATATTTCGTACCACGTATTAAATACTTTTACCTATATCGTGAATATTAGATATGGATATGTTTACTGGGGGACCAGGGACTAAAATAGAAAATCAAATTAAAGTTCAAAATCATGAAAAAATATGGTATTTTTAAATTCACCTTGTTTGAGTGTTTTTATTACTGCAGTAGCACTAGGTCCCACCCCAACTAGGTTTAAAACCTACAATATATTTAGAAATAGGTTTAAACCATACAATATATTTAGAACTAGGTTTTAAACCTATTATAGATTTAGAAATAGGTTTTAAACCAACTTTAAAACTTACAACAAAATGTCTGATACCAACAATTGATTTAGAATAAGATTAAGTTTAACAAATTTAGAATCAGGTTTCGTTGAACAAATTTAGAATCAGGTTTAGTTGAACAAATTTAGAACATAAGGTTTAGTTAAAGAACTTTTGAATAAGATTTAGTTGGACTTAAGAATAAGATTTAGTTAAACAAATTTAGAATAAAATTAATTTGAACTTAAGAAAGGCTTCATAATAACAAAAGTATAATAATTATTTAAAAAGATTGAAAACCTAGAGAGTGGCCAGTGGAAATGAATCCCAAAACAGACCTTCCGAAAGTTTAGAAATAGATTTATATAGATAATCGAAGAAAAAGATCATAGAAATGAAAAATGAATTAAATTGCTGAATAAACTAATGAATGAATACATCTAGGTTGAATAAACACCTGAATATGAGTTGGATGATTTAATGTTATTTAAATGAATAATATTTGCGTGATTTATTGAAATGATGATTAACATAATTGAATGAAAGTTTGCAAAATGAATTGATTAAGTGAAAACTAAAAGCATAATGTGGCGGACAAGTCGTCGTACTCTCCGCCATAATGTCTGCAAGCATCTACCTGATCTAAACTCATGTGATATATAAAAAGTCGCCATTTTTAGATTCACTTTACTTTGTTCTATTTTCATGTAAAATATATTAGTTGTTTTTTGACTTTCGTCTTTTTATTTAGCCGTCGCTAAAATAAATAGGTGAATGAAACAATGAATAAACTTAAGTCTAAGATGAATTAAATGAATGAATGTGTAGTTGAATGAAAGCACGAAAGAATAAATGATAAATGAATTAAAGAATTAATTAATTAATTAAGGAATTAAGGAATGAATATAAGGTAGTAAAATGAATTAATTAGTGAATGAATATATGTATACGTGAATGATAAATAACCTGAATGAATACAAGGAATAAATAAATGGATGAAATGAGAAAGGATGAAAGGATGAATGAATGAATGAATGAATATAAGTGAATGATGAATAACCTGAATGAATATAAGGTAGTAAGTATCCGGAAGTAAGGAAACAAGAGTAATCTTAATAATTTATTTTATTTTAAAATATGTATATATATTTGTAGAAGAATAGGAAAGGGGGGGGGGAATTTCATCAAGAACTGGATCGTTTGGGACCAAGCTATGCTTTGCCAAAGTCGACAAAATTAGAGGCCAAAGCGATCGTGTTTAGATGAAGTTTTAAAGGTGGCGTTTAGAGCGTTTTCTTAAAAATAAAATTAGAATAAATTGGTTCCTGTGTTTGTAAATAATCCCTGAGTTCTGTTTGATTTAAGGATATCCCATTCCTAAACATATCATTGATTCACTAACATCTATAAATGGAGGATCATTAAAAATTACGTTTACAATGGATTTCAACTTTATGTAAAAGTGATTGATTCTAAAATTTAGATAATCGATAATTGATCAATGATCAATGGATCGAGGCTTGAATTGATTATTGATCAATGCATTGAAGTTTGATTATTGATCACTTTATTAAAATTCTATTATTGATCAATGTATTGCCGTTTGATTATTGATCAAATTATTCAATGAATGAAAGTTGAATCTATAAATAACAGGTAACAAGCAAGGATCAAACTGCTTTGTTTGTCATCAATGATTATTACATCATTATAATGATTATTACATTGATTGTTTTTATAAAAAAATATATTACCTTGGTTTCCAAGAGACACGGTATCCCATAAACTCTCCATTAATCAATTCCTAAATTAGTTTATTCTATTCCTAAATTAGTTTATTTTATTTTTAAATTAGTTTATTTTATTTTTAAATTAGTTTATTTTATTGTTGAATTAGTTTATTTTATTCCTAGATAAGTTTATTTTCTTTCTAAATTAGTTTACTTTATTCCTAAATTAGTTTATTTTATTCCTAGATTAGTTTATTTTATTCCCTAATTAGTTTATTTTATTCCTAAAATTAGTTTATTTTATTTTTGAATAAGTTTATTTGTTTTCTAAATTAGTTAATTCCATTCTTAAATTAGTTATTTTTATTCCTAAATTACTTTAGTTCTTTTTCAAATTTGTTTTGTTTTTTCTTCTTAAATTAGTTTATTTCTTCCTTAAATAGTTTATTTTTTTCCTATATTAGTTTATTTTATTACTAAATTAGTTTATTCTATTCATTGAAAATTTATTTTTTTCATAAATCATAAAAACAATTTACTTAACTATATATATTTATTTCTAAAAGTTGGAGTTTAAAGGTTTGATCCATATTTACTATTAATATCCCCAGCTTTTGCTCGAATCGATTCAAAATATTGGATTTGAAAATTTTGTAAAAATATTTGTATTTATCCATTCAAACACAATAGTTAACAATTAATTTTTATTCATTTTAAAATTTTTATTTATAAAAAACTTTAATTATTTTTTAAATTATGATTTAAACAAAATAATTTTATAAAGTGAAAACCAAACAAATGGTTTGATAATCGCTATTATATTATTATTGGAGTTCATGAGTAAATGCCGCGTGAAGAAATGAAGATTTGACATATTCCCATTTTTGAATAAATATAACTCACTTTATAATTTAAAATATGAATATATGACAATGCCCATTTTACATCAGTACCCTTATTATTATATTTCAAGTGTAGGTTCTGTACAAAAGAGACTTGCGCATTTCTGCTGCAGAAAAATGAATATGCATGATCAGCAATAAACACTTTCAAACCTAGAAAAGCAACAATTTCTTCCACATTATTGAACAGTTCAATTGGTTACCGTTGTGAATCGTACATGTCATCTTTGCATTGAGGGTCACTGGAAATTACGCTTACAGTCCCTTTGAAAGTAGAATTCATTTCAAAATAATTTTGTACACTCATGTATTTTCAATACTGCAGACTGCAAAGTGACATTAAATATAAATTTTATTTGATTAAATTCTGGTGCAAGGGGGGGGGGAGATTCTCAAACCTCATCCCAAATTTATAGAACTAGGCTTTTAGGACCGACAGACAAACAAATAGAAAAGCAAAGTATGTATAGAAGCGCGTAAAATTACGTAAATTGTACTTAAGAACAAAATCTTCTTATTTAAGCGCTATTGAGAGAAACAAACGTTTCTAATATTAACCGGATAAATTTTCTATTCGCATACTTATGCGTACAATCAAGACTAGAGGAGCTACGAGGTCGCATACTTATGCGTACAATCAAGACTAGAGGAGCTATGAGGTCGCATACTTATGCGTAACATCAAGACTAGAGGAGCAATGAGGTCGCATAATTGTGCGTAAAATCACGACTAGAGGAGCTACGAGGTCGCATACTTGTACGTAAAATCAAGACTAGTGGAGATACGAGTCGCATACTTATGCGTACAATCAAGACTAGAGGAGCTACGAGGTCGCATCCTTATGCGTACAATCAAGACTAGAGGAGCTACGAGGTCGCATACTGTGCGTAACATCAAGACTAGAGGAGCAATGAGGTCGCATAATTGTGCGTAAAATCACGACTAGAGGAGCTACGAGGTCGCATACTTGTACGTAAAATCAAGACTAGTGGAGATACGAGGTACTGTGCACAAAATCAAGACTAGAGGAGCTACGATGTCGCATAAGCTTGTGCGTGAAATTAAGAGTAGAGTAGCTACGAGGTCGCATAAGCTTGTGCGTAAAATCAAGACTATGAGGAGCTACGAGGTCGCATACTTGTACGTAAAATTAAGACTAGAGGAGCTACGAGGTACTGTGCATAAAATCAAGACTAGAGGAGGTACGAGGTCGCATACTTGTACGTAAAATCAAGACTAGTGGAGCTACGAGATACTGTTTATAAAATCAGAGGGAGTGACAGCAATTATCAAAAATGTCAAAAATAGGAATTTCCCAAATGCCTGGGTATCTGGGAAATTTCCCAAATGCCTGGGTATCTGGGAAATTTCCCAAATGCCTAGGTTTTTGGGAAATTTCCTATTTAGAAAAAAATGTAAATGCTGTCCTGTCATGCATAAGCTTGTGCGTAAAATCAAGACTATGAGGAGCTACGAGGTCGCATAAATTTGACCTTCTCTTTCTGTCTACTTTAAGTAATCCAATATCATCGTAAAATATATATAAAGATATATCAACATTTTAATAACAAAAAATATAAACATTCAGAACAAGAAACAAAAACATAAAAAAAAATTAACGTTATATAAAAATTTTATTTTTTTTCATGGGCAACGTCGGGTCCTAGTAATAATATAAAAGCAGTATATATACCTGGGGAGGTGGTGACCAAGAAACAAAGATGGAATGATAAGTGAGGGATGATGCAACTTCTATCTTTGGTTTACCTAGGTTAAATAGTTGTAAATAAGAATTGCAGCCAATAATATGCAGTACACTTGATATTATTATATTCACAATTTTCGATCATCTTAAACAAAGCAGTGGAAAGTGTAAAGTGTACAGTGTATGTACAGTGTACAGTGTATGTAACGTTTGTTTAAGTTTAACTCATCATCCAATTTGAAACACTGGAATGTTTTTAGTCTGGTTTAAAAAGTTAAGTTGGTTGACTGTGCATGTTATATGGAACTCTCCAGGCAAAGCTGGGTTCCCAAGCTAGTATTATGTATATATTCTTATTGCGATCTAGGATCTTGAATTCAATATTGTGTTGTGTAGAATATGAGAGTCTCACACTAGAAGAATAAATCACAAATACAAAATTTAAACCTAAATATTCAAACCATAAGAGAAAACATATTGGAGGGACGTGGCAATATAGAAGCTTTAAATTGAAATTTATTAAAGTTTTAAAAATAAATTTCGAATAGATGGATCGATGAATAGATGGGCAAAAATTAGATTGTGCGCATAAGAGCCGGCTTATCGCTGATCGCACACAATCGATACTGTCAATTTAGAGTCAATGAACGAGTTTTATTACCGTCAGACACTCAAATATATATACTTTGCTTGTCTGTTTGTTTGTATCCAACGAACGTCAAAACGGCTAAATCGATCGGGCCCAAATTTGAAAAATTTGCATCCAACAAAATTCCATTTTCATTAAATGTTGAAAATCACTAAATTTATTTGATAAAATCCGCAATTTTTGTTTTAAAATGTATACAAAGAGAAAATGTTCACAATTGAAATAGAAGATGTGCGCTTCGCCCTTAAAGCCTTGTTTTTTATTATATATATTTCTCCTTTTTGAAAGATATTGATTCGATGGTACAGATTCTTCAGTAAATAATAAACGAATATGTCGAACGTTGATGATTATGTGTTAAAAATATAAGTTTTACGCAAAGACTCGCCTAATAAAAAGCATTTAAACTAATGCGCTAAAAATGGTTAGAACTGAATAATATGGAGTTTCTTAATTATTTATTAAAAAGGAAGATTCATGTAAAAATAAAAACAAAATTTTGTTGTTTTTCCTTATTTCATTTTTCATAATTAGCAAACTTTCACAGGAGCGTATTCACCTTTTACAACCTCCTTCTCCACTCCCCCTTCTCCAACCTTCTTCCAATTCTCCTGCGTTTCCCCCCTCTCACCTTTCCCCCTTTTCCTTCTACTCCCGCCCTTTTTGTGTGCTCTAAAGCTAGCGCCCGTTCTATCATTATTCTATTTTCTTTGTCCTTTTCTTAAATCTTGAGAATGAATTTAAACATATTCATTTCTTGCAAATATTAAAGATTAAAGTTTACAAATAAAGAAAACTTTTATTGACGAAAACTTTGCAACAAAAGATATTAGAAAATTAATTAGGAAACTTATCTGAAAAACTCAACTTTTAGTTTTAAACCATTTCTTGGTTTTCATTCAAACTTCTAGACATTGTTATTCGAGTCTAAAGCCTTCTTTGAGAAGCCGACAGGGTGATAAGCCGACTGGGTGAGAAGCCGACAGGGTGATAAGCCGACAGGGTGAGAAGCCGACAGGGTGATCAACAATTCTAGATCTTTTTATCTGTGGATTCTTATTATAAAATTATTGAAAGTGTTTCTATATCATAAAATTAATGGTTTCATCGATTTGTTTGTTACAATTCTTCTAGAAATATTCTGGAAAGAAAAATAAAAAATAAAATATATTTAAAATACAATTTTAAAAAGTTTGCTCGCCCTCCATACATTACATCTGCCTGAAATGAGTTTTATAAGTTTTGAAAGAGGAATACATAATATTTTGCTTAACTCACTTATATATCTATCTATCTATCTACTATCTATCTATCTATCTATCTATCTATCTATTTATCTTCAATCTATCTATCTATCCATCTTCAATCTATCTATCTATTTATCTACAATATCTATTCATCTATCATCTATCTATCCATCTTCAATCTATCTATCTATCCATCTTCAATCTATCTATCTATCCATCTACAATCTATCTATCTATTCATCTACCATCTATCTATCTATCCATCTTCAATATATCTATCTATCCATCTTCAATCTTTCTATCTATCCATCTACAATATATCTATCTATCCATCTACAATCTATCTATCTATCCATCTTCAATCTATCTATCTATCCATCTTCAATCTATCTATCTATCCATCTTGAATCTATCTATCTAACCATCTTCAATCCATCAATCTATATATCTATATATCTATCTATCAATCTTTAATCTATCCAGGGGCGGATACAGGATTTAAGTGAAGGGGGGCGGGCAAGATTTTTTAGGAAAAAAAAATTAATAATTAGGAACAAAAATAAAGGATTAGGACAGGAATTTAGGAACAATAAGATGGCATCAGGACAAGGGTGAAACTGCATTTTAGAGTCAATTATTGATTTTCCCGACCCAAAGGTTGATGACTTTTGACACCCAACCAACATATGCAAATAAGACATAACATAATAAGTTTTTGAAAAAATGTCCAAAAAATGCACGAAAAATTAGGGAAAATTTGTTCCCCAATTTTTTTATTTAAAAACTGAGGCCAAAATCAGACCTGCATGCAAAAATAATCAGAGAGAAATCTGTAAAACCTAAGTCTTTTGTATGAAAATGTGGACATTCCCCTTCAGATTTCTTTAGGAAAAGTAAATTCAACCTATATAAAGCATAAAGTCTGACCGCGTCAACCTTGTTTCACCGGCTAGTCCTGTCCATAGAGCTAGGTACAGTACAAACTGGGACCGGAAAGGTTCAAACGACTCGGAAGTTCAAATGTACTACGGCTGCCCGTGTATAATTCCAAAACAAAGAAGGTGGAAAAGCCATCTTGTAATTCTCATTTTCATTGGTACACCCTGTATCTAACCTGTCGGTAGTTCTCTGCCGGTCATCATGAAATATGACGGTGGACTAGGATCCGAGATTCCTATCCTGCACAAATATAATATTTAAAGGGAGTGCTCGCCATAAATAAAAAGTAGAACTATTTAAATAAACCGCCATTAAGGTATATGTTTATATGTATTTGATGTTTTAATAAAAATAAAATTTTGTTTGACACTAGATTTTTAGAGAGAAATGAAATATGCACATAGAGAAACTAGGAGAATGGAAAAAAGAAAGCAGATACAACATGCAGTTGAAAAGTATGAATTAGGTTTTAAAAGAAAAAAACAACCTGTTAACAGCTGATATTCCGAATGAGTAAACTGTAAAGGGAATATTAACCTGTTTACGGCTGATATTCTAAATGAGTAAACTGTAAAGGAAATATTAATATGTTTACAGCTGATATTCTCATTGAGTAAACTGTAAAGGGAATATTAACCTGTTTACAGCTGATATTCTAAATGAGTAAACTGTAAAGGGAATATTAGTAATCCTGTTTACAGCTGATATTCTGAATGAGTAAACTGTAAAGGGAATATTAATAAATCTGTTTACAGCTGATATTCTGAATGATTAAACTGTAAAGGGAATATTGATAAACCTGTTTACAGCTGATATTCTGGATGAGCAAACTGTAAAGGGAATATTACTAAACCTGTTTACAGCTGATATTCTGAATGAGTAAACTGTAAAGGGTTAACCTGTTTACAGCTGATATTCTGAATGAGTAAACTGTAAAGGGAATATTACTAAACCTGTTTACAGCTGATATTCTGAATGAGTAACTTGTAAAGGGAATATTAACCTGTTTACAGCTGACATTCTGAATGAGTAAACTGCAAAGGGAATATTACTAAACCTGTTTACAGCTTATATTCTAAATGAGTAAACTGTAAAGGAAATATTAATATGTTTACAGCTGATATTCTCATTGATTAAACTGTAAAGGGAATATTACTAAACCTGTTTACAGCTGATATTCTGAATGAGTAAACTGTAAAGGGAATATTAATAAACCTGTTTACAGCTGATATTCTGAATGAGTAAACTATAAAGGGAATATTACTAAACCTGTTTACAGCTGATATTCTGAATGAGTAAACTGTAAAGGGAATCAGATTCTCCACTTTATAGTCAGGTTCTGCATTCTTAAAGAGAAATATTTAGTTAAAGAAACTGGTTCTAAAAGAAAATTAAATAATTAAAGGGACACCAGACAATATTTGATAGAAGCATTTTAAAGGGACTTTAGGCGTAATATGAAGTAACACTTTATAAACGGTACTTTTTAAACTTTTGTCCGATATTATAATTATATTTGAACTTTTGTCCGATATTATAATTACATTTAAACCGTTGTCCAATATTATTATTATATTTAAACCGATGTCCGATATTATAATTATATTTGAACTTTTGTCCGATTTTATAATTATATTTGAACTTTTGTCCGATATTATAATTATATTTAAACCTTTGTTCGATATTATAATTATATTTAAACCTTTGTCCGATATTATAATTATATTTAAACCTTTGTCCGATATTATAATTATATTTGAACTTTTTTCCGATATTATAGTTATATTTAAACCTTTGTCCGATATTTTAATTATATTTAAACCTTTGTCCGATATTATAATTATATTTAAACCTTTGTCCGATATTATAATTATATTTAAACTTCTGTCCGATATTATAATTATATTGAAACCTTTGTCCGATATTAAAATGATGATGAATGATGTAAACTTTGAGGAAGGCACGTTCATTTTTTTATCAAGAAATATTTTATTTAGTTTTGGTCGGATGTCCATTTAAAAATAGAAATTAATGTTTTCCAACTGGTACAATACTTTCAAAAAAAAGCTAAAAAAAAATTTTTTTCAAAAAAAAAATAAGAGAATGAAATTTGATATATTAAATAATACCTGTGTGCTAACTGAATTGAATTCAGTCCATTCTAAAGATTCTCCCTGCAAAAAAAATATAATATACATAATACATATATAATTTATGATATTATTAAGAAATAAAGGGTGTATGAAGAAATATTTTTCTTGACTGACTTAATGATAGATATTTTTTAGATGATACATATTTTTGCCTTCACAAAGAAAATTATTGTTGCCTCAAAACTAACTGTACTAGCTACAAAAATAAACTTTAATTGTAAAAAAAATGTAAGACTGCAGTTTGCTTGTAGTAATCTAGATCCCATTAAATAGTTTTAACCAGAAACTCAGAAACCTCTCAGAAATATTGGAGGAAAAAAGAGTTTAAAATGTTTAAGTGCAAAACATTATATTTGTCATCTTCCAGAAATGACGTATTGATTATTGTAATCAATAAAACAATTTCTGGAGAAAAGTATAAAATAATCACCAACTGAAGAAAGGGAAGTATAAAATAATCCAACTAAAGAATCATTATTTTTGTCATCTTCCAGAAATGGCGTATTGATTATTGTAATCAATAAAACAATTTCTAGAGAAAAGTATAAAATAATCACCTACTGAAGAAACGGAAGTATAAAATAATCCAACTGAAGAAAGGGAAGTATAAAATAATCCAACTGAAGAAAGGGAAGTATAAAATAATCCAACTGAAGAAACGGAAGTATAACATAATCCACAACTGAAGAAACGGAAGTATAAAATTATCCAACTGAAGAAAGGGACTTTAGAAAAGATAAGACGCAGTTTCCATTTTTAGAATAAATGTCATTGTCTGTTTCAATACTGTGATATTTAGAGCATTATCGGATCATCAATGAATGAGATATCCATCATCTTTTTAGAAGTTGATTATTTTTAACTGTGGTTTCTCTGTCAAGTGATGCGAACTTCTGCTTCGGAACCATTGGTGGAAATTGGCAGACATAGTTATTAAACTAGAAAATTGACGATATCTTTCTCAGGATGTTTCAGAAAAATGCTAGAAGGGTACTGTTGTGAATCTTGCGTGCCTCTCTTTTTTTTTAATTAAAGGTTACAATAAATGAGTCAATAGTCCCTTAATTACCTTAATTACCTGTTTTATTTGCACAATATAATGATTAACAGGAGCAAAGTTCAAATTAGAAGGAGGAATCCAGGATAGTAAAACACTCCTGCACAAAAAAAACTATGTAATTTCATTATTTCATACATCAAATTTATAATTTCCAAAGAAACTGAACACTCGTCCACTCCTGTATGCCAAGTCCATTAGCGCCTGATCCAATCAGGGTTCAGTCATGTGTTTGTTGTCTATTCTGAACCAATAGAAATAGTATGGCGGTAACATCTGGTAACATCTATCTTTCTATCTAGCTCATTATCCAATCAGAGTTATAAATCCTTCAAGCGGCGCTATCAGTAAATGGAAATATTTACTTCTACTGAAACTATGGTGCGTCGCAAATATTTCGGCATTGCATCGGATATTTTAAACTATGAATTCTACCAGATCAAATATAGAAGGTGAAACCAGTGTGTGAGAGGTCCATTATCGAAATTGTAAATTTTTTAATTGAGAAATATTAATTTAAATAGACATTTTATAATTTACATTTCTTACAACCTAGACTCAATCTTTTCTCTTTGTCACTGCAACACTTCCAATTGTTGGGATCTAAGCTTATTGTCAACTTTACAAATAATTTGGGACCAAGTAAAGAAATGAAATTTTGCCACAAACCTTTATATTTTATACTTCCTTTATCTTTGCAACCTGATAGTGCAAATCTTAAATATTTCATACCTAGACTATTCGATCTAACAGAACTTATAGTTTGAAATATCATGGTCTACGAGTTTAGATAATCAGAGTTAGTGGAAAAAACTCAGTTGCTTTCTTCAATTTGAAACAGTAAACTTTTGAACCTGTAAACTTCAAAAATTGAAAATTTAAAAATTGGGAACATTATAAAATAATATATAAACAAGAATAACGAAAAATTTATTTAATATTACTTTCTAATTTACACAAATATAAATATAAAAATAGTTGAAAATTTCAAGATTTTATTTTATAAAAACGTTTTTGAACTAACCTTGAATCGAATGCCATAATTAAGGGTTGGCCCGGAGGGGAGGTTACATCTGAAATAAGAAATTTTAAAGTGACTGACAGTGTAATTTGTCACCCTCCATGCAAAGATGGCAATGCCATTCACAACGGTACCCTTTAAAGCTTTGTCTGATCAAGTATGAATTAGATTTCCATATTTTTATTTTAAAAACTATTTATTTTGATTTGTGGCTTCTCTGCAAAAATGACTTGCGCATTTCTTGCTTGTATAAGAAAGACTGAAAAAATTATCAGGATTCGGGATTGAACAATTTTCGAATCAGAAAAACGACTTTATCTTCCACATTTTTGATCAGATTAAGATTTCAAGAGTACTGTTGTAAATCGAGCATTGCCATCTGCGCATAGAGATAAGAATGATGATTGCTGTATTTTTACTGATTTGTTCAAATTTCGCGAACAATCTCTTTTTAGCTAATATTCTAAATGAAGGGTTGTCCTCAGGAGTCTGGATAAAATCTCCGTAATATTGAGATGTATTTAAATATTTTCATTTTACAAAAGCTTCGAACTTTTGAATACGTAATATTTTAACTGTCAAAACTTTGGGATTTGAGTTTAATATTGAGTTTGACTTAGTGCGTCCTTTAAAGAGTTCATAGCCAGCTCAGAATTTAGTCTGAGGTTTAAGGTTTTGTGTTGGAAAGTGCTAATATACCACAATTGATTTCGATATTCACTGTGACAACTGTTAAAGTTGAGTGCATTATCCTCAATTTCAATTATTCCTGTTGGGTTCTGACCTCAAGATACCCAAGCTATAGAGAACCAGGCAGCTATGAAAATACTGCTTAAATTTCCCAAATATACTGCAAGTCGACTTTGAAGTTTTTACAACCCCTTGGACCTTGGTTTTACATTACTGACCCAATCATACTATGCGCTTGATTTTAGATTTAGTTGAAAAAGAGTAATTAGAGAAAAACTGATAGATTTATGCGTAAGAGCATGAACACTTGGGATTCCTGTGAAGAGTATAGTTAACTCAATCCTTTGGATGACAAAAGATAGGAATAAATCATATATAAAACAGAAAAAATGCTTAATCAAAGGATTACAAATAAATAATATCTGACCTCTATATTCCTTGCCTTTTCTTTAAAAAACCTCTTCAATGTGAAGAACATAGAGTTTTAAACTATTGCATCGATTCCGTTTGCTGACATTTCTCCAATATATGCGATTATCTAACTCTCTCTGACGCCACAATAAAAGTTTTAGCATTTTGCACTTTGGTATTTTTAATGCGGTCAAGGCTTCAACTAACTTGAGATTGAGAACTAGAACAACTTTATAGAACATTAAAAATACATACTAGCATTTAGAAAATGAACAAATTATTGTATTTTATAAACTTTTCTGCCAAATCAAGGATGTAATGCAAGGAAAGTTATTTCAGAAGTGTACGCATCTTTTGTACTGCAGTGTACTGTCTCTGGGCGGTAATGTAAACACAAGACGGATGTCGAAGCCTTACATGGGATCCCATCTTTCACATAAAAAATCAATGAAATATTCTGGTCAAAGGAAACTAGTATGTGAATTATCAAAATTATCAAATTTAATGCTTTTAACCCCCTCGGACACTAAACGAACACTGGTGCATCTATTCATGTTTACAAATTCCGCCCAAAGAGAACTGGTTTCAATATGTACGCAGAGTATACGCGACAGCAATTAACTTTCTTTGCATTATAACCTTGTGTCAAATTAGCTTAGAACAGCTGAATACATGTATATGCATCAAAGTGGAAATATAAAGTTTGCTAGCTTTTATATTTACTAGCCTTAGAGGGCGCTTCGCGCCCATCTTCTAAATTAATTGTGAAAATGTTCTCTTTGTGTACATCGTAAAACAAAACAAAAATAATTCGCGGATTTTCACAAAAAATTTCGTGGATTTTCAAAATTTTAAAAAATTTAATGAAGATCGCATTTTGATGGAGACAAATATTTTAAATTTCAATCATTCATAAACCTTCCCTGGGGTCCCCAGATGTCCCACAAAAAATTTGGGCCCGATCAGTTCAGCCGTTTTGACGTTTATTGGATACAAACAGACAGACAGACAGACAGACAGACAGACAGACAGACAAACAGACAGACAAGCCAAATTTATATATAGATGTACTTATATTACTATTTTTAAATGGACTGTACACCTAATTATAAAGTTACCGTTTAACTGTATAGTTGCATATTCGATGCACAATTATACCCTTTTAAACTTTGTCTGGTAATCCTTGAACTGAGAACAGGGTGTAATGCAAGGAAAGTTAATTGCTGTCGTGTATACTCTGCGTACATATTGAAACCAGTTCTCTTTGGGCGGAATTTGTAAACAATAATAGATGCATCATTGTTCATTTAGTATCCGAGGAGGTTGAAAGCATTAAATTTTGATAATTTTGATAATTCAAATAATATTTTCCTATGACCAGAATATTTCATTGATTTTTTATGTGAAAGATGGATCCCATGTCCGGCTTCGACATCCGTCTTATGTTTACATTACCGCAGTACAAAAGATGCGAACACCTCCGAAATAACTTTCATTACATTACATCCTTGAACTGAGATATCTGATGAAAATTAAGTGCCTTCGATTATGTGGCCTTTTCCATGTGAAGATGCTCTTTACATCGTACACTTTATCACTCAATTTTTAGCCAGAAAAATACGGATTTCCCAATTTCGATGAAAAAAGGTTTATGATTACCGTTGTAAATCAGATGTACATTTCTATAAACGGGGGTAACTTGAAATTACATGTACAGCTCCTTTTAACTTTAGAGTACAATATTAATGTTTCAATAAGAAATATAAATCTATAAAAAGACCATGTATTCATTTTTTTGTTATATACAGGGTTTGCCACAAAGGATGACACTTGAAAGACGACTGTATGTATTTTATCATCTGTTTTGTTTCTAACAATCATGCAACTGTATCTTGCTTTTTTTCTCTGCAAAATCATTTGTTGTACTTTTAAAAGAGTATATAAAAGAACAAACTCAACCCACCTATTGAATTATATTCAAAGAGTTTCAGGTCGTCATTAAAGTCTCATACATTGTGGGTAACCCTGTATAAGTACCTTGAACTGCTAAATTATATCGAAGACGGGGCACTGTGCTGTTATTCACTAAACAGAAATATTCACCAGAATCTATACTTTCAACTCCTACAATCCAAACCAAATATTCCAACAATATTTTCAAACTATATACAGAGCGTCCCATATCATATCGGATTATCTCCACGCTTTAGAGCCAAAAATATGAACATAATACTCAAAAACCTAGTATTTTCTTCTACAAAATTATTACATTGGCCTTTATACATTATTTTAAAATGATTAATTAATTAAAATTTCCGATTAGTCGCGAAAACCGTAGTTTAGAGCAAATAACGATCCGATATGATGTGGGACACCCAGTATATATATATGTAGCTGCACAATATTTCTTAAACCTAATCCAAACCAAATATATTCAAACTCCTAACCTGATTTAAACGAAATATATTTAAACTCTAAACCTGATCCAAACCAAATATATCAAAATCAAAATCTCATCCAAACCAAATTAATTTAAACTCTCTAAACCTGATCCAAACCAAATTTATTTAAAATTTTGACGTGATCCAAACCAAATATATTTAAAATGTCTAAACCTGATCCAAACCAAATATATTTAAAATGTCTAAACCTGATCCAAACCAAACATATTTAAACTCTTTAGACCAGGTCCAACCCAAATATATTCAAACTCCTAACCTGATTTAAACAAAATATATTGAAATCAAAATCTGATCCAAACCAAAGGCAAATATTTAAAGCATCTGAAACAGATCCAATTTCCAAACCAAATATATCAAATCTAAACCTGATCCAAACCAAATATATTTAAAATCTCTAAACCTGATCTAAACCTAACCTAATTAAACTCTCTAAACCTGATCCAAACCAAATTTATTTAAAAATTTTACGTGATCCAAACCAAATATATTAAAACTCTGACAGTCCGATTCATACCAAATATATAAAAACTCTTTGAACTTATATATTTTTAACCGAATATAAAGTAACTCTTTTTAAAGTTTACTTCCGAAGCAAATGTTTTGTTTAATTAAAACCTTTTTTCTTTTCCAACAAAGACTTAAAGCTAAAAATCTAAATTTTAATCATTTTCTTGTATACTGATTCTTTCTTAAGTTTTGTAATTTAAAATTTATAAACTTTTATTGAAGTATAGTTTTAAACTATTTGGGTTTCCTTGAATTTTTAAATTGTAACTCGACTGTTCTCTCACTACTTGAAACCTAAAGAAATGTGAACACAATCCTACATAAACATTTTTTTTTGTTTCATTAAAGAAAAAATCTGCATAATTTTTCGGATTCAAAAAAACATTCAGGTTAAAAGAGCTTTTTTGAAAATGTTTTATCACACTCGTATTATTTGAAAAACTACGGCGATACTCCCCCATTTAAAGGTTTAAAGGTTTAAAGGTTTAAAACCTTTGATTTTAAAAGGATGACAGACTTTTCCTTATTTATCTTTTTTTGCAAGCTGTTTATAATTAAGGAATATTATTATTCAGATACTTTCTATATTTCAGATTTTCCAGAAATAAATGTGACGTCATTCGCGTTCAGCTCACACAGTGCGCTATCGTACACTCCAATTTTACGACATTTTAAAGATAAATAAACTGAGTTCTCTGTCCTCGATGATCAGTGAAAGGTTTAAAGGGTAACATTGTGAATTGATCGTGACTGTAAAAATACCTGGATTGTATGAAGAGAGGATTTTTCAGAATTCCCTCCTGTGTAGCAACCGATATTTCCTAAATTATACATTTTTATTTTTGTATTTTTATACTTTTTATACTTTTAATACTTTTTATACTTTTAAAGAAAAATCGTTAATTAAAGGGACGGTCACCTTAATTTCAAGAGATCCTCCATGCAAAGATGGCAATGCCAGATTCAAAACTGTACCCTTGAAACACTTATCTGATCAAAACTGTACCCTTGAAACACTTATCTGATCAAAACTGTACCCTTGAAACACTTATCTGATCAAAACTGTACCCTTGAAACACTTATCTGATCAAAACTGTACCCTTGAAACACTTATCTGATCAAAAATAAGTAAAATATTGTCGTTTTTCTAGGTTTAAAAGTGGTTATTTGTGATAATTCAGATAAACGTATTAAGGGTACCGTTGTGAATCGGAAATTGCCAAGTTTGCATTGAGGGTCCCTTGAGATTACACTAGCATTACAAAATACATATTAAGGGTAATTTCTCTTTAGAAAAATGTGAAAAAGTAATAAAATCAATTTGTGAGTCTTTTTCCATCTAATTCTGACGACCACTGTATGCACATGTTTTAGGACTCCCTTTCAACTCAATTAACTAGTGATTTTATGAAAAATTATGATAAATAATCTTTGATTTTTATAAACGAAGGTTTTCGATCTTTAGAATTGCAAAAAGCATTTGACTCCAAGGTTTACCAGAGCTGAAAACTCTTGCATTTAATTATGGATACCATTAATCCCGATTACTTAATCTTGATTTTCACTGAGGACACTTTTGATTTCAGCTTAATCCTCTATTTTGAATATCCCTGCTGGATAACGACCAATGAGAGTTCTCTCATTGATTTCGCGCAATATTTCTCAGCTTCTGATTGGCTCGGTTTCTACATTCGACACGCCATGATTGGTTGCATTTTAGACACTTTACTGGATATTTTAATGTAAGTAAATTGATAAACAGAGAAGATTAAAGCATTGATCTCGATATTCACGATTAAAAAATTTTCAGCTAAGGTTGCACCACGTGATTTGAATACATGAACATGTTAATTTTTCCCTGTATGTAGAAATCAGCAAAATATCATTATTTCCAGACAAAAACTTGTTTTTAGATTTATACTGCCCCAATGAACAGATAGTTTCCCTCAACCTTAGGTAAGGTAAAATATATGAAACTAGAAAAAAAATTTTGATAAAAAAAATTTCGATTTTTGAAAAAAAGATTATTTCTTTAGCCTGTTACCACCGTGGTATTCTAAACTTCCCTCAAAAAATGTCAGCCCATTTGGTACAACCGTTTGGCCAGCTACCACGGCTATATATATATATACATCCAAATATATTTAAAGAATCAGCTTCAAATTAAAACATTGAATATATATTTCAGAATCCCATAATGTTTCATGCCTTGCCTGAGTATACAAATATATTTATATAAGCGAAGAGCTTTATTTAAAAAAAAAAATCACGAGGTGGGGGGGGGGGGGAATTATAATATCTAAATGAAAGGAAAGAGGTGCCTATAACCTTACAGAAAGAGATAGGGGAACCTTAAAACTAAAGAAGAGAGGGCGGGGGTACCTTGAACTGAGATGAACCAAAGCATCCCCGACATTTCCAGAGTGTGTTGGAGACTTGATCTCCAGGTTCTACTGGACACAGGAGAAGTAGTTCCTCTCCTCTACCCTCCAATCTTCTCTCAACCCTGATATCCAGGGTTCCTCACAGTTCAGGGGCGTATTAGAGGTTTAGCCAATGGGATCGAGTGTACAAAAGTCCGATTCACTTTAAGCTTGTTGAATTTTGGCAATTTCCATTTTTTAGCTGGACATAAACGCACAACTTACTTCAATAGTGAAAATGATCAATTTTAAGTTAGAAAAAAAGGGATAACTCCAGCTTTTTTGCTCATATAAAGTTTTAAAGGAAACACTTCATGTAAAGGGAATTTCAAGTGACCCTCCTTGTCCGAATCACTGAGGTACCGTAGTCTGATCAAGAATGAATAAGCTATCCATTGTTTTTCTCTTTCAAATTTGATTATTTTCAAATCTGGTTTCTCTGTGAAATCGACTTGCGGATTTCAGAATGAGGTAAAGAACTATTTTTAAGGAACCCTGCCTTACATCATCCATCCTCCCCTCCTCCTGGAGGACCATCCTCCTCTCCTCCTGGAGGACCATCCTCCTCTCCTCCTGGAGGACCAGCCTCCTCTCCTCATGGAGGACCAGCAGCCCTGAGGTTAAAACTTTATTTTAAATCTGTTCATAACGCACTCCGTCGGTTCCCCTCGACCCATGGTAGCTGTTTTCTGTACGTTGCCGGACATAGACACTTTAAGAGGTTTAAGAGATTCTTTTTTTTAAGAGGTTCTTTAAATGTTTTCGGTTACTTCTTTCATTAAAGAAACTCTCCTCAGTATAGCAAGTGTCTCTGCAATTAAAGAGACTCTCCTAAGTATATCAAGTGTCTCTGCAATTAAAGAGACTCTCCTAAGTATAGCAAGTGTCTCTGCAATTAAAGAGACTCTCCTAAGTATATCAAGTGTCTCTGCAATTAAAGAGACTCTCCTAAGTATAGCAAGTGTTTCTGCTATTAAAGAGACTCTCCTAAATATATCAAGTGTCTCTGCAATTAAAGAGACTCTCCTAAGTATATCAAGTGTTTCTGCAATTAAAGAGACTCTCCTAAGTATATCAAGTGTCTCTGAAATTAAAGAGACTCTCCTATCGAATTCAGTGTCTCTTAAAATTAAAAAAAATCTTTAAAATATAATTTGTGACTTTTCAATTAAAGTGGCACTCTTAAAAATAAAGGAATTGAGTTTTTGCCACAAACTCTAATTTTTAATCCGTATATCTTTGCAACCCAATGTCGCCTACCGTAGATATTTCAAACTATGAATATTGTTAGATCAAAATGTCTAAGTTTGAAATATCAAAGGTATACTGCACCATCAGGTTCCAAACATAAAGGATTTAGAAAGTCGGAGTTTGTGCCAATAACTCAGTTCCTTTAGACAAATTTCTTTTACATAAACCACCTTTGATTTGAATTTTAAAGTAATAATTTGTTTTTAATGAGAAATAGTATTTGGAAAACATTTTCTCAAAATGTTTAGAAATGTTTATCTTTCTCTCTTTATAACTATAAGTGTGTTCAGTACTATTCAGATATTTTGATATTAAACGTGTTAAGTAGTTTTCCACAAGTAACGCTTTTCTTCTTCAATATAATTTTGAGGATGTCTGTAAACTCTGCAATTTTTTGACATTTTAACGAAAAATCTGTGAAATAATTTGAATTTTTATAAAGCTTTGTTTTTCCATTTACAGAGAATAAAATTCACTCAACAAAGTTTTACGTTTAACTCACCAATACTGTTGTATATGCTGTTATATACGGTAAAGATGAAGGTAGCTCTTAGCTTCATGTGATCGAAGGTTTATACGGTTTAAGCTGCTTCAGCTACCCCTGGAGGATTTAGATCTTCAGATAAAGATGCTACTAGAAGCTACTTTAACCTAAGCCAGCTGAACTGCTTCTGAAAAGTAAAACTGCTGCTACTGTAGGATAGAGCTACTGAAGCTGATTGAGCTGCTATTCGTGGTTTCGTGATGTTTTCTGGAATATGAAGGAAAACAACCATTAAGGGAGGGGTGTTGGGGAAACCACTGTTAAATTAGGAATTAGAGAGATTAATGAGGATTATATGAACATACTGCTGGTGTACATTTATATACAGAGAACACACACACAGCACGAGAAACTTAAGTAAATTAAAATCTTATACGTTTTAAAATCATTACTTCTCTCATTAAAGAGATATTTAGAAGAAGAAAATATTTTAAATGTTTTATGTGTGTAACCGGATAAATTTGATTTTCTTATATATGTGTGTAAAATTAAAACTAGAGGATTGTATTTGTGTGTTTGGACTTTTGGATATTTTAATTTTAAAAAGGTCAAGAAAAAAAGTCGACATTTATTACTTTCGAAAATGTACCAATTTAAACAAAAGAGAAACACAAATTTTAAACGATTTTTAATGGCGACTTTCAGGGCAACAGTCAACCATGAATAGCCTGGGGGGGGGGAGCGTCCCACGCCCCTCCCATTAAAAAAAGGCCTTAGAGAATAGGTATAAAATTAAAATGCATATTCAAAGACCAATTTTTCAACGCCAGCTCATTGAAAAAAATTAGACAGATAATTCTAATAGATTGAAAAATAGTTGAAAAAGCCAAAAAAAAGGGTAAAATTATAATTTTTTTTTAAACAGATATCCAATTGTGACAAATGTTTCTACATTATTTTTTTTAGGAATTTTTAAAAATATAATTTTTAGATCTGTAGCTTTAGTCACAAAAAAGTTAATGGCCATTTTAGATTTTTTTTACACAGACTGGACTTTTTACCGCCCTGTACCCTGCCCTATGCATTAAAAAAATTGACAGAAAAATCCTTTAGATTAACTTTTCATTAAAAGTCACAAAATTTCACGGTAATAGTGACAAAAATGAGAGTGCCAGGACAAAAAAAAAAATATAGGGCCGGCCTGTTTAGGGTTAAAAGCTAAAATAGTTAATGGAAGAAGCCTAGATTTTATTAAACTTCTTTAAATAAATTAGTAAAAAAATACTCTACAGATTGACCCCGAGAAGTAAAACGTATTCAATGACCTTTTCAAATGACGAGTTCATGATAGCCCAGGTCATAGAACAAGCTGTAACTTGCTGTGACTACGACTATGATTTCCAGACATAGCTCTGAGCTCTGAGCTCTGATTTCAAAATTGGATCACACCTCGTTCATTAGTCTCAGGTCATAGCATTTGATACCTGTGACTTCGAGTCGCAGCTAAGCTGTAATCCAAGCTGCGAAGTCATAGAAATTTGACAGCTTAAATTAAAATCTTACTGGGCATTTGCACAAAAAGCGATCTCTTTAATAAAGTCGTCTTTTAAATAAGGACTAAATCTTTACAAAAAAATAATTGTATGACAAAATTTTAAAATACTAAATTCTGAAAATTTCATCATATTCTGTTGACAAATTTGTCTAAAAGTTTTTTGATTTTCTGCAGATGAATATGCAATTTCCATTTTTTTTATTCGTAAAATTCATCCCCCCCTGGACCCAACGCCCCCCCCCCCTTTAATTTCCTCAAACACCAACAAATTTTTTTGAGCAATCTATACTAATATATCTATGAGGATTATTTACACCATTTTAAAAACACAAAGAGTAAAACTATAGATAGTATTTATTTATAGTATTTTTAAAAATAAATAAGAGGCAAGGACACAAGAGACAAGATGGTGTTACAAAAATATTTAATAAACAGATTGAATGGAAGGATTGAATGGAAGGGTTGAATGAAAGGAGAATGCAAGGATTGAATGAAAGGGTTGAATGAAAGGATTGAATGAAAGGATTGAATGGAAGGATTGAATGGAAGGATTGAATAGAAGGGTTGAATGAAAGGATTGAATAGAAGGATTGAATGTAAGGGTTGAATGAAAGGATTAAATGGAAGGATTTAATGGAAGGATTGAATGAAAGGATTGAATGAAAGGATTGAATGAAAGGATTGAATAAAAATATATAAGAAAAGGATTTAATGGAATGATTGAACGGAAGGATTGAATAGAAGGATTGAATGGAAGGATTGAATGGAAGGATTGAATGTAAGGATTGAATGGAAGGATTGAATGTAAGGATTGAATAAAAATATATAAGAAAAGGATTGAATGGAAGGATTGGACGGAAGGATTGAATAGAAGGATTGAATGGAAGGATTGAATGTAAGGATTAAATGTAAGGATTGAATGGAAGGATTGAATGGAAGGATTAAATGGAAGGATTAAATAAACCCGGAATCCTTGCTTCCTATCAGACCAAGAGAGTTTCTCCGACTGTTCTAATTCTTGTGTGTGTCTCTCCTCCACTCCGTGTTGAATACAGAACCCGGAGCTCAATATAACCAGCTACTGCAGGACTCTTTAACTCAAATCTCAATCCTTAACTATACATTTAATTCCAGGTAATCTGTACAACTAATAGTTTAAGCAATTAGAATGTATATAGAATATATATATATTAGAATGTATATGAAATGTATATATATTGGATTGTATATAAAATGTATATATATTGGATTGTATATAATATATATATATATTGGATTGTATGTTAGAATTCTTACTTCTCATGGTCATGAAAATACACTTGCATGGGAACACAGCTTTGCCTGACACTAAACTTTCTTTATAAATGTATTTACGGTTCTATTTGAAAAAAGCCTAAATCAAATAAATGCAATAAAAAATCTTATAATTCTTGACGGTAGTAAGAAATGGAGATGGATCTTATGTTACCCTAATCAACATCAATATCAACATTCAGCATGCCGACCTCCCTAATGAACGATCTATGTATTTTTTATCTGATAATTACTGGGTTTTGATTTTTAAAATATTTTTCTTTTCCCCCTAGTGGTTGTTGTGCACCCCCTCTAGTGGTTGTTTTGCACCCCCTAGTGGCTGTTGTGCACCCCCTCTATTGGTTGTTCTGTACCCCCTCTAGTGGTTGTTGTGTACCCCTCTAGTGGTTGTTCTGCCCCCCCTCTAGTGGTTGTTCTGTACCCCCTCTAGTGGTTGTTGTGTACCCCTCTAGTGGTTGTTGTGCACCCCCTCTAGTGGTTGTTCTGTACCCCTCTAGTGGTTGCTGTGTACCCCCTCTAGTGTTGTTGTGTACCCCCTCTAGTTGTTGTTCTGTAACCTCTCTAGTGGTTGTTGTGTACCCCCTCTAGTGGTTGTTCTGTACCCTCTCTAGTGGTTGTTGTGTACCTCCTCTAGTGGTTGTTCTGCACCCCCTCTAGTGGTTGTTCTGTACCCCCTCTAGTGGTTGTTGTGCACCCATCTAAAAAAACGGGTTTTAATTAATTTCTAATAAAGCTCGATCATCTATTTGAATGATATTTTCTTCCATGAAATACATTTTTTTATATTTTAAAACTGTTTTATATTTTAAAACTGTTTTTATATTTTAAAACTGTTTTTTATATTTTAAAACTGTTTTTATATTTTAAAACCGTTTTTTATTTGATTTCTATTTCATTTACATAAAGTGTATTAGAAATTTTCCAACTTAAAAACTTTTAAAGTTTTGATAAGCAATTTAGTTTATTTAAAAAATACTAAAATTGTATTTGCTATAAAGGGTTGAAATTTTATAGACGACCAAATAGATTCTAGTACAATAGATGTCAACGCAGAATTTGTACACTAGTACAGCTGTATTCTGACGTCACAAGTGTCAATTAAGTTTTTATGTCCGACAAAATTTTTTATAAAAGTAATAATTTTAGAACATAGTGCTTTTCATTACACTTTTTTATTTAATCTTGGAAAACATGTGAAAAAATTTCGTTTTCCTTGTTATATTTGACATTTGTGACGTCGTGAATAATTGGTACATTTCTCTGTTGCCACCTATTATACTTGATAATTTATTTGGCGACGACTTTACAGATTTGATTTTCCCAACTTCGTTCAATTTAAATTTTGAAATTTGAAATTTCAGATTTTCCTATTGCTCATCAGGGAGGGGGGGTCATTTTTTAGGGGTGAAACATTTTTTGGAATCATTTTAAAGAACCATGCAAAATAATAATCTTTTAGAAATTCTAAAACATGTTTACATAGGTATATTTCACAAAAATCTAAAATAATGATTTTTAACAATTAATTTGCTTCTTTTTTTCTATTTAATGAGCAGGGGGCTATGGGGTTACAGCCACAGACCCCAATGGCTCCTGAGCCCCCCCCCCCACCCTAGAAAGAATTTTTTTAAAGCCCCCTCCCTCCTGGATAAATTTCTGTATGCGCCCCTGGCCTGTAAACTATGTTTGCAGTACAGCTAGTGAACAACAAATATAATTCTAAAACTGGTTTTGGTATGTTTAATAATAATAATAATAAATAAAATGACAACATAAATTATTGCTGCTTCTAGTGAACATTTATGTTATTATGTTAGCGGAGACTGTGCTAGTTTACCTTCTTAGTAATCCGGTAATATTGTGAGAGATTTAATCATCTTTGTGTTCTTATTTTATAGATTGTTTTAATCTCGTGATAATGATATTTTGACATCTGAAGATGTGAGATAAAATGTATATTTCACTCTCCCTGTAGTGTCCCACTCCTCTCTCGTGCAGTGTCCCACTCCTCTCTCTCTGCAGTGTCCCACTCCTCTCTCTCTGCAGTGTCCCACTCCTCTCTCCCTGTAGTGTCCCACTCCTCTCTCTGCAGTGTCCCACTCCTCTCTCTGCAGTGTCCCACTCCTCTCTCTGCAATGTCCCACTCTTCTCTCTCTGAAGTGTCCCAAACCTCTTTCTCTGCAGTGTCCCACTCCTCTCTCTGCAGTGTCCCACTCCTCTCTCTGCAATGTCCCACTCTTCTCTCTCTGAAGTGTCCCACTCTTCTCTCTCTGCAGTGTCCCACTCCTCTCTCTGCAATGTCCCACTCTTCTCTCTCTGCAGTGCCCTAATCCTCTCTCTGCAGTGTCCCACTCTTCTCTCCCTGTAGTGTCCCACTCCTCTCTCTCTGCAGTGTCCCAATCCTCTCTCTGCAATGTCCCACTCTTCTCTCTCTGCAGTGTCCCACTCCTCTCTCTTAAGTGTCCCACTCCTCTCTCTCTGCAGTGCCCCAATCCTCTTTCTGCAATGTCCCACTCTTCTCTCTCTGCAGTGTCCCACTCCCCTCTCTCTCTGCAATGTCCCACTCCTCTCTCTCTGCAGTGTCCCACTCCTCTCTCTCTGCAGTGTCCCACTCCTCTCTCTCTGCAGTGTACCACTCCTCTCTCTCTGCAGTGTCCTAACCCTCTCTGCAGTGTCCTAACCCTCTCTGCAGTGTCCTAACTCTCTCTGCAGTGTCCGAACCCTCTCTGCAGTGTCCCACTCCTCTCTCTCTGCAACGTCTCCTACTTTCAGTTGTGTCCCACTCCTCTTTCTCTGCATTGTCCCACTCTTTCTCTGTAGTGTCCCACTCTTCTCTCTGCAGTGAATTAAACCTCTCTGTTGTGTCCCATCCCTCTCTCTGCAGTGTCCCACCCCTATTTCTGCAGTGTCGCTCCTGGCAGTATATCCCTCCCCTCTCTCTGCAGAGCGAGACATTCCATACATCCCTCTCTCTGTACAGCGTCACACGTCCCTCTTTCTGCAGTGTCCCACTCTTCTCTGTGCAGTCTTGTCCCTCTCTCTATCAGCAGTGTCCCACACCTTTATCTGCAGTGTCCCACCCCTTCCTGTGCAGTGTCCCACCTCTCTCCCTGCACTGTCCCACCCCTCTCTTTGCAGTGTCCCACCTCTCTTCTTTGCAGTGTCCCACATCTCTCCTCTCTGGAGTGTCCCAACCCTCTTTTTGCTGTGTCCCACCCCTCTTGCATTGCAGTGTCCCACCCCTCTCTGCACAGTGCACAGCGTCCCACTTTTCTCCCTGCAGTGTCCCGCTCTTCTCTCTCCATTGTCCCAGGTCCCTCTCATGTGTCACACCCCTCACGATCCTGTGTCACCCTCTCGCTCCTGTGTCCATTTTAGTCTCTCCTCTCTCTTCTTTCTCCAGTGTCACGTACTCTTCTTTCAAGTGCCCTTTTTTAACCCTATTCCTGCTGGGGGGTGGGGGTCAATTTGACCCCCCCCCTGTAGTTTTTTTTTACATAACTAAAAGTATTGGTCTGAGGCTATTGAAATTTTCTGACTTTTCTTACATACCCAAAGCCCTCCCTTTAGGCCTAAAACCGGGCTTTAATACTAACTGCCTGAGTCCTCAGCAGGCACACTGCCTGAATGACTGCTTTTGCCTGTAACAAACTAAATCTTTGTTTTGACCCACTTTCACTTGTCAGATTTTGATAAAATTTAGCTTTTTGGAAAGCCTATGACATAAGGAAACGGATTGCACAAATTTTGCGAAAAAAAAATTGCAAATTTTTTGCAAACAACCTGTCAAAGGAAATTTGCACATTTTTAGTTATTATTGATTAAAAATCAGGTTATTTAAAATTTTGCAAAATTTTTTGCATATTTGAAATGGCATGGTCAAGGGCTTTTCAAAAATGTAGAATTTTTCATTTTTTGGACAAATTTTTTTTTGCAAACATTTTTACTATATAACTGGATTTTGCGATAAAAAATTAAATTTTTGCAAATTTGCAAATTTGTTTGCAGATTCTAAAAGTAGAGCACAAAAGAGCTTACTAATGATGTATCATTTGTCATATTTGGACATAAAACATGGGATTTATCCTGGTTTTCAAGTACCCCAGCAGTGATAGGGTTCATGTTAAACTCGTCTTTATACTCGATGCGTGTGTCCCACCTTAGTATTGTAAATTGTCTCCCAGCCACTCGCAATTTTCTGTCCAGTGTTCCTCTTTCCACCTATATTGTGCCACGTCCATAATTTCTTTTATAGTCCTTTTCTTATAAAACTTGTCTGTTTTTGATTATATATCTTGAAATATATAATGTATATATATATTTTATATATATATATAAATAATAATATTAGCCTGGGCCCCCAATTCCCTAGAAACCAATGTGACGCGGTCCGACCTTGCTTCCTCCTAGCCAGGATTGCCTCCTGGCAGGTTCAGGTGTTTAATCCGTGCTGGATTTTCTGTTCCAGCACTGGGAAGACCGTGACAGTACAAGGTTGATACTTGTATAGGTGGGACTGGCTGGGACGCAACTCAGTACCGTGAAGCACTAGACTAGCCTATAGATCAGAAGCTTTGTAAATCGTTTCAATATTATTGACTCAGTAGTCAGTACTGAGTAATAGTTGTTCACGTAACTTCGAATTAGGAGGGCCAGAATATTGGAACTTATTTTTATGATTATCAGAAACCGCAGTTTGCGTCATAATTGATAATATACAATATTGCACAGTTAAATCCTTATCTGTTATCATATACTTATAAATAGCATAACACGTATTGTCAAATTTTTGTAATTTTGAGTCATAACTATAATACGATTTTTCAGATACTAATAAAGTGTCAAAATGGACAGTTGTTGTGATAGTATGATTAAATACTTTATGTTTATCATAAATCTTCTATTTGCTGTAGGTTAGTATTATTTTATTAGATTATTACATAAAATATTCTATTTTAATACTCATGTTTGTAATATATGAATATCTGAACTTCATTTGTCCATGTAGTCTATGAACAAGTGCTTTTTCCCAAGGTTTTAATGTGTAACAGATGATTCTACTATAGTTGAAAAATTATAAATGCATTAAAAAAAGTTAATTTTTAAAAATATCCTTTTTATCCTAGTTGGTCTGGCGCTGATCGTGATAGGAGCATATATTCAAATTGCCGCCAAGGAGTTTCTGGATTTTCTCTCTGATAATTATTTGAACACACCAATTTTCATCATTATTATAGGTAAAAAAAAAACTTATTTTCATCATTATTATAGGTAAAAAAAAAACTTATTTTCATCATTATTGAAGGTGAAAAACCAACTTATTTTCAATATTTAAAAAGTCCAAGGCCTTCTGCGTTAATAGCTTTGCTAAATTTCTGAAGTTTATACAAGCGTTATTTCAAAAAGGTTTGTGTTTAGTTGCACATTGGCGTATTCATGAATTATCACTATTTCACTAAATGTGATAAGCAAGGAGAGTTGTTTTCTAGACAAATTTTGAATACTTGTACAATTTTGTAACCTTTGCCTCCCATAGAATTATTATTAACTAAATTTATTCTCGAATAAAAATCAAGATTTTAGTCCCACAATGACTAGTTTAAAATGCTTTGTGAAATATTTATTGTTCTATAAACTTTAACTTTTCTAAATATCTGGTGAAAGGATTTTAGCTAATCCTACACGGTCACTAACGTAGAATGATTTTGGAAAGATTTAAGTGATTTGGAAATTCTAAGTTAACAACAACGTTTCTGAAATTCAAGTTTCAGAATTTCAGGGATAATACACATTCAGGAAATAGACGGGGTTTTATATTAATGTTAAAATGTGCATAAGGATAGATAGTTTAATTACACAAAAAAAACTTCGAAATTTTAAGTCTTAAGACAAACTCTGCTAATAAATTGTGTTCCTACTATTGAATTCCTACTAATGGGTTGTTTTTCAGTGATTTTTGGAAGATGCATTCTCGACAGAAATTATTTTATAAATAAAACTCTTTATTTTCTGTTTAAGATTTTAAGAAAAGAGGAATAATTTAAATAACTGCTAGAACTGTGATAATGAAAAGCTCAAACAAATTTGTTTAAGGATGTATTATTTTCGTTGTTGCCTTCTTCGGATGCTGCGGAGCCTGGCATGAGAACACGTGTATGATTTACACCTACGCCGCCATGTTGGGTCTCCTCCTCATTTGCGAGATTGGAGCTGGAATTGCCGCGTTCGTTTTGAAGGGAGAGCTGAAGGATGTTGTCGAGGAGAAAATGGTTCAGGGCATGAAGAATTATAGTAAGTACATTTTTGAGTTAGTTTCCTAATCAGTACAGCCAGCTGGTTACCAAAGAATTTAGAACAATTTGTGATTATTTTTTATTTTGTTTTATCTGTAACGCAAATAAAGAACTGTTTTAAGTGTTGTCATCTATGGTTATTTCTCTTAAGATGCTCCTGGCTATGACGGTGTGACTAATGCCTGGGACGTAATGCAGCAAGATCTGAACTGCTGTGGTTCCAGCAATTATACAAACTGGTTCCAGTATACACCTAACCAGGTTCCAGACTCATGCTGCCAGGTTAGTTTTGGTTCTAGTATACACTTAACCAGGTTCCAGACTCATGCTGCCAGGTTAGTTCTGGTTCTAGTATACACCTAACCAGGTTCCAGACTCAAGCTGCCAGGTTAGTTCTGGTTCCAGTATACACCATAACCAGGTTCCAGACTCATGCTGCCAGGTTAGTTCTGGTTCTAGTATACACCTAACCAGGTTCCAGACTCAAGCTGCCAGGTTAGTTCTGGTTCCAGTATACACCAAACCAGGTTCCAGACTCATGCTGCTAGGTTAGTTTTGGTTCCAGTATACACCTAACCAGGTTCCAGACTCATGCTGCCAGGTTAGTTCTGGTTCTATACACCTAACCAGGTTCCAGACTCGTGCTGCCAGGTTTATTCTGGTTCCTGTATACACCAAACTAGGTTCCAGACTCATTCTGCCAGGTTAGTTTTGGTTCCAGTATACACCTAACCAGGTTCCAGACTCATGCTGCCAGGTTAGTTCTGGTTCTAGTATACACCTAACCAGGTTCCATACTCAAGCTGCCAGGTTAGTTCTGGTTCTAGTATACACCTAACCAGGTTCCAGACTCATGCTGCCAGGTTAGTTCTGGTTCCTGTATACACCAAACCAGGTTCCAGGTTTATGCTGGTAGGTTCGATTCCAGTGATCTAACTAGGTTTCAGACTCATTCTGCCAGGTTAGTTATGGTTTCAGTATACACCTAACCAGGTTCCATACTCATGCTCCCAGGTTATTTATGGTTTCAGTATACACCTAACCAGGTTCCATACTCATGCTGCCAGGTTAGTTATGGTTCCAGTATACACCTAACCAGGTTCCAGACTCATGCTGCCAGGTTAGTTATGGTTCTAGTATACATCTAACCAGGTTCCAGACTCGTGCTTCTTGGTTAGTTCTGGTTCCAGTATACATCTAACCAGGTTCCAGACTCATTCTCCCAGGTTAGTTCTGGTTCCGGTATACACCTAACCAGGTGTCTTGTTTATGCTGGTAGGTTCTGGTTCCAGAAATCACAACTTTGTTGTGAAAATTTATCTCATTCAATAAAAGCAAACTTATAATTCCATTAACCTTGCAATGTTTTAAGCAACTCTAGTTTTCCTGTCTCTTATCAAACAAACTCATTTTCCCCAATTAAGATTGAGAAGAAGGGATGTGGATCTGATTTATTCCAAAATCAGATTTATCAACGAGGATGTCTCCGGGAGTTCGAGGACAGATTCAAGAGCAACATCGGCATCGTTGGAGGTAACTACATTTTCAGGGCAAATAATTTGTTGGGGTGAAAATATATCGGTTTAACATGGAAAATATTTGTCAGAAAACCAGAACTGTGGAATAGGAAGACGACATTACGACAACTCTTGTTTTTTTGATGCTTCAAAGATAATAGTGTTAATTAGTAACTTATTAATCATTAAGTTAGGGTCTGTTTACATTAGTCTTACTATTGAGTTTTTTTTTGTTCTTACTGTATTTTGAAATTACATAGCTTCATTATTCTTTACTTTAGGAGTTGCCCTAGGAGTAGCATTTGTGCAACTTCTTGGCGTAGTGTTCTCCTGTTGTCTGGGGAAAGGTGTGAGGAAAGGAGAATATGTTTAAAGAAGACGACTTTCTAGATCTGCGATATAAAACTGCTTTCGTATTTTGTGTCTAAAAACATTTATATTTTTTTTGTATTGATTTCCAAAACTTTGACTGATTATTGTGATTAGTTTTCTACCAATATATATTTATACAAATGGACTCTTTTTTGTTAAAGGATGTTTAAGTGAAAATTTGGAATTTGAGTTCCGACAAACCTTTATTGTACGGTATATATTTGAAAGACGTTATTAAATAAAATAATTACATTATTTGGTTTTTCATAAAATTAAATTAACATTCACATGCTTTAGTTTTAATTGGATGATTTTGATTCAGTTAAAGCACATTTTACCGCAAATTAAGCAATCTATTTTAAATGTCAAATGAAACGTGTATTGTTACATGAATTTTAAGTATCTGAACATTTTATGTGCAAGTTTTTTGATGCTGAGAAATTATAATTTATGGGACGAGGGAGGTAACAACCGGACGCCATGAGCCTCTGCTATAAAGACACGAGCCTCACAAAGTTGCTAGGCAGACCAAGACTCCGCTTTGCAGAAATGAGCATGCGCAGTACATCAAAATGTGCCTTTGTAATACACGAGGTTTTTTTAAACTTGTGTTTAAGTTTAAAATTTGTTTTTGAAATTTTTAGACATTATAGTGGCATGAGAGGCTTCTCGAAGATGAGAAGTTTTTATTAATTATCGTAAATAGTGCCTAATTATGACTAATAAGGTGGTTTCTAAAACGTCAAACATTTTTACTCGAAAAGGAAAACATTTAGAACAAAATATGAATTGAATTTTATCTTCTGTAATCTTTAATTTTAGCGTTACCTTTTTTTGAAGTTCAAATTATATCTAAAAAATTTGTATTTATTATTTAAATCTTAACATTTTTCAAAAAACGGTATTGTTTAAATGGGAGTAATTTTAAGAAAAGCTTAAAAAATGACTCATAGTTATCCTGTGTCCGTGTATACTGCTTATATTTATCCTGTATTCGTGTATAACTGCTTGTATCTATTCTGTATTCAAATTTGGTCGTGTGTCCGACGTTAGGTTTAAATTATGTCAGGCTGAAAAGCCTTCACCTCTAGGGGATTGTGATGGCATACCCCTTGTGGGTCAAGGAGCTGTTGGACGCATCCCTAGCTGTATGATATGATATGATACTGCTTTTATATATTCTGTATTCGTGTATACTGCTTGTATATATTCTGTATTCGTGTATACTGCTTGTATATATTCTGTATTCGTGTATACTTTTGCTTGTATATATTCTGTATTCGTGTATATTGCTTGTATATATTCTGTATTCGTGTATATTGCTTGTATATATTCTGTATTCGTGTATTTTGCTTGTATATATTGTCTCCGTGTATACTGCTTGTATATATTCTGTGTCCGTGTATAATGCTTGTATATATTCTGTATTCGTGTATTTTGCTTGTATATATTCTGTATTCGTGTATAATGCTTGTATATATTCTGTATTCGTGTATAATGCTTGTATATATTCTGTGTCCGTGTATAATGCTTATATATATTCTGTATTCGTGTATATTGCTTGTATATATTCTGTATTCGTGTATACTGCTTGTATATATTCCATATTCGTGTATACTGCTTGTATATATTCTGTTTTCGTGTATAACTGCTTTTATATATTCTGTATTCGTGTATACTGCTTGTATATATTCTGTATTCGTGTATAACTGCTTTTATCTATTCTGTGTCCGTGTATACTGCTTATATATATCCTGTATTCGTGTATACTGCTTGTATATATTCTGTATTCGTGTATACTGCTTGAATATATTCTGTATTCGTGTATACTACTTGTATATATTCTGTATTCGTGTATACTGCTTGTATATATTCTGTATTAGTGTATACTGCTTGCATCTATTCTTTATTCGTGTATACTGCTTGTATATGTTCTGTATTCGTGTATACTGCTTGTTTATATTCTGTATTCGTGTATTTTGCTTGTATATATTCTGTGTTCGTGTATATTGCTTATATATATTCTGTATTCGTGTATACTCTTTGTATATATTCTGTATTCGTGTATACTAATTGTACCTATTCTGTATTCGTGTATACTGCTTATACATATTTTGTATTAGTGTATACTGCTTGTATATATTCTGTATTCGTGTATACTGCTTGTATTTATTCTGTATTCATTTATACTGCTTGTATTTATTCTGTATTCGTGTATACTGTTTGAATATATTCTGTATTCGTGTATACTGATTGTATATATTCCGTATTCGTGTATACTGCTTGCATATACTCTATATTCGTGTATACTGCTTGTATATATTCCGTATTCGTGTTTACTGCTTGCATATATTCTGTATTCGTGTATACTGCTTGTATATATTCTGTGTCCGTGTATAATGCTTGTATATATTCTGTATTCGTGTATATTGCTTGTATATATTCTGTATTCGTGTATTTTGTTTGTGTATATTCTGTATTCGTGTATATTGCTTGTATATATTCTGTATTCGTGTATATTGCTTGTATATATTCTGTATTCGTGTATTTTGCTTGTATATGTTCTGTATTCGTGTATACTGCTTGTATATATTGTCTCCGTGTATACTGCTTGTATATATTCTGTATTCATGTATACTGCTTGTATACATTGCTCCGTTTAATGTTCATTGAACTAATTTATGGGTCTAATTGTCGCTGAAAGGTGCAAGGTTACTCTGCATAAGATTTTAAAGTCATAACTAACTGCCTTGAATGCTTATTTACTTTTTGTATAACAGATTTTGTAACTCTGCAGAGTGGGGGTGTTTGCGTCTAAAAGCCACAACATTTGACATGTTTTCTGTCAAAACATTGTGCAAAATTTTTATTCTGACCTAAGTAATAAACTAAAAGAGGGAGGAAACTCCTAGCCGCCATGAGCCTCTGCTCTATGCAGACCGAGTCTCACAGATTTTCTAAGTAGTACGAGCATCCATTAACCAGTATAGAGACTCCGCCATACAGCACAGCTCTTTTAAAATCTTAGATTTTATGTAAAATCAATTTTTTTAATCAATTTTTTTTGACTGTGGCAAAAGAATTATACTGGCGATTTGAGTTACTTATTCTATTGTCATGAAAAAAGTGATAAATACTTCTGATCTGAGTCATCACATACCACTCTGTCATAAAACTGTTAAGAAATTCTTATTTAAACTTAAACAAGATTAAAACAACTTCTGTAACACTCGGGCACATTTTAATGTATAATCAATTACTGTATAACGGAGGCTCGTTCCATCTTGCAAATCTAGGAGGCTCCATTCAGCAATTGTGGAGGCTCATGGCGGCCGTGGGTTTCCGCCATAACCAACACTTATATATTCTTTTAAATATTATCTTAATAGACGGAAATTTTTTTAATGAAATCAAAACTCAACAAGAATATAATTTTGCAATTTATTTAATATCTCAATTTTTGCAAAACACTTTAAACATAAAAACCTAGATGTCTCAAAACGGCCCATGCTCATCAATACCGGTTTGGTTAAAAATATTGACAAACTAAATAAAAATGTGTTTATACAGGGTGTCCCAATAAACATGGGAATTCAGTGACAAATTCGAAATCTGTAAGTTTCGTCTGCCATGTTTACATTTTGTTTGTTTATGTTTTGACTGCATACGGTTGTACTTAGAAAAACATGGAAATTGCAGTATACGAACAGAACAGAATTGTTCATCTTGCGGAGACATTATAGACACATTTTTGCAGTCTTTTACCCTTTTCATAAAATAAACTCTAGCAGACATGGCTTTTGAAATTAGGTATTACAATACTAATTCAGAACAAAGACGTCATCGTATTCGTCACTGAATTCCCATGTTTTTTTTTGGGATACCCTCTATGTCACATTAATTATTAGCTTGGTAATGTTCAATATTCATTTGAGTATATAATATTTATATACATATATTTATTTCTTTACAATAATTAAATTTGTCTCACATAGCATTCACAGGTTCTTTGTTTACACATTTTGGGTATTCATCCGAAGATCTTTCAGATATCAGTCTTCTTTCTCTTATTCTTGTCATTCATTCTTCACTTTCCATTTACCCACTCTTCACTAACCACTCAATAAATCACTCTATCTAACATCATAATATTATAAACAACAATGATAACCAGAAAACAATGGAATAGAAAGACCAAATCATAGCAATAACTGTATTTCATGTTGCTACAAAGCAAATAGTTTTACTAGATACTTATTTAATCACTAGTTTAGTAAAATGGGTCTGCTTATACTGCACAATTGCTATGTGTCTTTGTTACTTTTTAAAGTTATAACTTAATTTTTATTTCAGAGTTTTCTGGTTTTCACTGTATTTCACGGTTTAACTGTATTCAGTTCAAAAGTTTGCGGATTTAATCCAAATTTATGATACAATCTCTTTTTCATAATATAGTCCTATAAATAAAATGCATTTTTATAATGTCGTTTTATAATGAAGGAAATAATGTATTTTTAATAAATCAATGACGCAATTTATTTAATTCAGCGCCTGCACAAATATATGAAGTCGTTTGAAATCTATTTTGGTTATTTCAGGCTATTAATTTGCATTAAATTTTTAAAAAACTTTTCACACCAAATTTTTGATTATGTTTTATACAAATTTCACACAAATCCCTTTGAAACTGCGAGCAGAAATATGTGAGAACTTGGAAAATAATCAAGACAGCAACAGGGTTACCCAGAAAAGGATGAGACTGTCAAGATATTGTATCTTGATGGTTGTTTTTGAAATGATTAAGCACAGATATAATACAGTTTTGGCCAACCAGGAACCCTAATTGCAAAAAAATGCACTTAACCAATTCAGTACAATCGTCTTTGAAGTCCCATCTTTTTTGGGAACCCTGTATAATAAATACACCCTTTCTTATAATCACTCTGCAAGAGTAGTGCAAACTCCGGAAATCGACACTGGCTTATCGAAGACGACATTCATATGATTACTCAATCTTTTAAATTGCAGACATTCATTGAACCGAAAAATTATTAAGTATAATTTAGACGATGTGTAACTGTAAACCATGTACAATTGAACTCTTATTTATATATTTCATGATTGTTCCTTGTTGAAAATCTGCACTTCAGATGTATCCACAAGTTATTTATTTTGGTGGTTAGCCACTTGAACTAATGTCATCGGAACTATCGATATTTTCACTTTTGTTTTCATATTGGCATGTTTTGATTAAGCTTTGCTATCTAGTTTGTTTGTTTTATTTTAATATAATGTTTTACTATTTGCATTTTAATTTTTTTATGTCATAATTTTATGTAGTAATCCAAATAATCTCCTTTATACTGTCGGTAGCCCTTGTGATGTAATCTTTATTCTAATTACTATCTTTGGAAGCAAACAGCTTATAAACATAAACAGTTGTCGAAATATTAAATAAATCAAACAACGTTAGGTCAGATACTTTAGTATCCTTTTATACTAATTCTTGCAGCATTAGATTAAATGTCGTCGTGCTTATACTAGTGCCGATGAGGGTTTGCAAAACTCTTGCCTGGTGTAATATAATGTTCAGCGGCATTAAAAAATAAGGTAGATGGCAACGCTACATTATTAAAATTCTTACATTGTAAAATATATGGAATAAATTGTAGGATTACATTTTACAACTGATTTCCTAAAAGCAGAGAATACGTAGAGTGAAGATCCGATGACTAACATTGAATCTGAATTTGACAGTTTTTTCCGGACCTAAACAAAATTCATCATAATAATTAAATTAAAGATTTTTTTATTTTCAGAATTTTAAATTTTTAATATTTGGGAAATATTATGTTCTAAACTTTATGCTGTAACCTTTTTTTTAATTGAACTGAACTCAGGACAGCTGTGTGATTTTTGGGATATGAATCAAACAATCAATTTTTGGACATATTTTGTGTAGAGACCCAATTTGAAAGTGTGCCTTGAAAATTAGCAAATCCAATTTTTGTCATCAATTTTTGCTGTTATATTATTGTGAGTTGAAGAAAGTCAATTAGTCAATTGATTTTTTTAAGAAATCCTAATTTTCGTGATTTCTTGAAATAAGAAAATGGCGTCCTACCTGGTCTACCTTGGGTCAAGGAACATGATGCCCGCCTACCTGGTCTACCCTAGGTCGAGGAACAAGATGGCGGCCTACCTGGTCTACCCTAGGTCAAGGAACAAGATGGCGGCCTACCTGGTCTACTCTAATCAAGGAGCATGATGCCCGCCTACCTGATCTACCTTGGGTCAAGGAACATGATGCCCGCCTACCTGGTCTACCTTGGGTTAAGGAACATGATGGCGGCCTACCTGGTCTACCCTAGGTCAAGGAACAAGATGGCAGCCTACCTGGTCTACCCTTGGTCAAGGAACAAGATGGCGGCATACGTCTACCCTAGGTCGAGGAACAAGATGGGGGCCTACCTGGTCTTACCTAGGTCAAGGAACAAGATGGCGGTCTACCTGGTCTACCCTAATCAAGGAAAATGATGGCGGCCTACCTGGTCTACCCTAAGTCAAGGAACATGATGGCGGTCTACCTGGTCTACCCTAGGTCGAGGAACAAGATGGCGGCCTAACTGGTCTACCCTAATCAAGGAAAATGATGGCTGCCTACCTGGTCTACCCTAGGTCGAGGAACATTATCTCCAAAGAAGACGACAAAAGGTTTTAATATTCCTCCACATTTAGGACAATCAGGAACTCTAGAAACAAAAAATATTTCCTAAAGAATTCATGATTAATTGTCAACAATTTTCTGCAGTACAATTGTGATTTGTTTACCTGAAGTTAGTAACCTCTTCAGCAGAGAGTTCAACGTCACCATCTGGACGTATTTCTGCACACCTTGAAGGGACTGTTATGAAAATTAAGTAATGGAAGGAGATATTGATTATTAAACAAATGACTCCTATTTAAACCTGAAAAATTGCAGTCGAATTCATCTAATAACATTTCTCGTACTATTTGTCATTGTCCCAAGAAAAACTTGAAAGGATGAAATGACGACAAATTTTGCATAATACGTCATTAATAGAATTGGTATATCTGTAACTAACTAATCTAATTAACAATCTTCTTAAAACAACCAATCAAAAAAATTAAATTACAGAACAGTGTCAGTTATTAAAATAGCATTTCTAAAATTTAAAATATTTCCTTTAATTGTGTAGATTTCCTTGATGGCTTAAAACTTCTTACCTAGGAATCATACTTGGATTGGCTTCTGAAAGAATTTGTTGAAAAAGCATGCGCGGCATTCGGTGGGAACAGCTCATACATGTGACAACCTGAATGTACAATACAGTACAGTACAGTACAGTACTGAGTAAAGTAAAGTACAGTACAGTACAGTACAGTACAGTACAGCACTGAGTAAAGTACAGTACAGTACTGAGTAAAGTACAGTACAGTACAGTACAGTACAGTACAGTACAGTACAGTACAGTACAGTACAAGTGTCACGTCAAAGTTTTAGTTCTAATTCTAGAACATTTCAAATCCTATTTTTTCTAAATGTAATTTTTGTTTTTTAAACACGAGGAAAAACTCACTGAATTAGTTCCATGAAGTTCAGTAATATCCCTGCTTCCAGCCTTCAGATGAAGCTGGTCAACATTCTGGGTCACCAGGTGACTAAATAATAAAACATTTACATGAAAATTTAAAGATCTCCATGTGCAACAAAAAAGATTACAGGAAATTCTTTACATAGTAAAAAATGACAAATAAAATGGCATTTATATATGTATGGCATTTGTATATGTAGGATTTTGTTAGTTTTTTAATAAAAAAAACTGAACAAAATCCTTAAAATCTCCTGATTATTTACAACAAACCCAAAGAAGTATTTTGGAACAATGGTTTAAAGAATCCTACAGAATCCTATGACGAATGACAAATCGAGTAAAAATTTAAAAAATCATCTTAGTTGTACACTGTACAGTTTCTGAATAAAAAATAAAAAATAACTGCAAGGGAACTAAACACTTGCCTCAACCTCAAATTGTCTACTAGCAAAAATCTATATCTTTGCGATCTGATGGTGCAAACCTTTAAGTATTTGAAAAAAAATATTTTGCGGCAAGTATTCTATTTTTTATTGCAAATTTTAAATTTTGGAAAAGAAAAATCAGCTTCTAAATCCGGCTCCGCAATCCTAGTTGTAGTTGGATACGGGTCCAGCGACATGTAAATATCATCTAATTTCTTTCACTTTTTCCCAGAATCTTCTAATTATGAAATTGATTTTACCAAAATATTTTTCCTTTGTATAATCTTATTTTCTTAATTCAATTCTTCGGCACAAGTTTGTGAATTTGGGCCCAAGTTAAAGGGACTGTAGGCATAATTTCAAATGACTGACGGACATATCCTTATTTAAACTTTGTAATTGTTTACACACTGTTTTATACTTTGAGATACATACTCAATTTTTACAGCATTTTGTACAATGTACACTATTCAACACGGACTTCTTTACCCTCAGTCAAAGGTTTATAGGGTACCGTTGTAAATCGGAAATTCCCCTCTTTACACGGAGTGTCACTTGGGATCACGTTTACAGTCCCGTTAAAACGAATCTAATGATATTTAACCTGATTCTGCCTGTAGCCTCCCACCTGGCGAGAGTTAAATGATTAATATTTGGTTGAAAATTAGACCATCTCGGCCAACCAATATAATTCCTAGAAAATTCATTATTTATGTGTTTGCACTGTGAACTAGACAGAAGGAGGTCAAGTTTAAGTATAGATAAATCTACTTTAGTTTGACGTGTTTGTACATAAGTATAAGTTTAGATAAATTATTCTTATTTTTGAGAATTTTAATTTTACACATTGAGAAAAAATGAATACGAAATGGGGTGAGAACCAGAAAACAATGGAATATGAAGGCGACATTATAGGAATAATTGAGTGTATTTTATGCTGTTAAAAAGCAAGAGTTTTTCTTGACATTTAATAAATCACGATTTATTTAAATGTGTCTGTTCCACCTGAACAATTGCTGTGTCTCGTGTGCATCTGACCTTTTAAAGTTATTACTTGATTCTAGAAGCAGTCTTCCTATTTCAGAATTTTCTGTCTATCCAACTAACCTAGCCCAATAACTCTGTCTATCCAACTACTATGGCCCAATATCTCTATCTATCCAACTAACCTGTCCCAATAACTCTGTCTATCCGACTACTATGGCCCAATAACTCTGTCTATCCAACTAACCTGGCCCAATAACTCTGTCTATCCAACTACTATGGCCCAATATCTCTGTCTATCCAACTAACCTGGCCCAATAACTCAGTCTATCCAACTACTATGGCCCAATAACTCTGTCTATCCAACTAACCTGGCCCAATAACTCTGTCTATCCAACTACTATGGCCCAATAACTCTGTCTATCCAACTACTATGGCCCAATAACTCGGTCTATCCAACTACTATGGCCCAATAACTCTGTCTATCCGACTAACCTGGCCCAATATCTCTAACTATCTAGCTTAACCTGGCCCAATAACTCTGTCTATCCGACTAACCTGGCCCAATAACTCTGCCTTGCTTTAGAACTCTCCATAAATACTTTATGCTGAATAGGTCGCTTAGTAGAGGTAGCATACAGGCCAACACCTTCACTTCGGTAATCTGGGATACCACTTTCAGTAGATATACCTGAAATAATAATGATGATGATAATGATAATAATGTTACGGGTAATTATAGTGATGATGATAGTGATAGTAATAGTAATAGTAATAGTAATAGTAATAGTAATAGTAATAGTAATAGTAATAGTAATAGTAATAGTAATAGTAATAGTAATAGTAAAAGTAAAAAAAACAATACAAAAAATCAGTGATCTTCCTATGATTCTTACCTGCACCTGTGAGCAGGAAAATATTATTATATTTTGTCAAAAACTCGGTTAATTTCTCAATATCTTCGTTTCTAAATACAAAATACTGTAATTGAGATTTTAAGTGATATATTATTTTTGTCCATGACAAAATTTTAGCGAATATTTAGTGGTAGAGAAAAAGAAAATTCAATCTATCTGGGCCAGCCTATCTATATTATGTGTAGAACGTGTAATTTAATGTACTGAATAGTACAAAGAGCTATACGGAGGATTAATGCTAGTAAGTGGGAAATGCGTTTTTAAAGTCTAGATGTTATTTTAACAACAATAAATATAGAAAATTTACAGGTTTTAAAATATATTTGCATTTGCAACTGTTAATTGAAAATTAGCAGCTTAGTTGGTTCAGCATACATGACCCACACTGTACACTCTCTAATACAGAGTCCTATATCATACTAGATTATCTACATGCTTACACGCCAACATTCGAACAGATTACTCATGGAACTAAGCATTTTCTGCTGAAAGATTGATACAGGGTGTCCCAATAAACATGGGAATTGAGAGACGACTTGAAAGTCTTCTTTGATTTCTGATATTTCATGCATGGCAAAGAAAGTAAAAAACGAGGTTGTACCATTAACGAGTTTTTCGTAAAGTGGCCTATATATATATATACCTTTCTTGTATCCTAAAAATTGACGAAATATTAAAAATTAAGACAATTTTGATATTTAAAATAATTTTTTTAAAATACAAATTTTGCAATATCTCCGTCAATTTAAAAGATGCAAAAAAGTTCGAATACATTTTGAAAATCTCAAGCTGGAATACTGCAACAATTGGTTTTATGAAAAAATGCCGCATGGATCGAAGACAATGTAAACGTCATCAATGAATTCCTATGTATATTAGGAACCCTGTATATTGACCTTAGTAATAAAAAATTCGTCTTTTTAAAAATTCTGTTTAGTGCCAAAATTCCCAATTCAAAGCTACAGGGTGTTCCTTAAAGAGATGATAATACAGAATTTGCTTAATTCGTTTCCTTGCATTCCGGGTTCCTTGTAGGCTAAAACTGGCTTAATTCTGTGCTTGATCAATAAACCACCAGAAATCAACCAAAAATCAAGCTTTAAACTGTCATATTTTTTGTTTAGGGTGGTTAGTCTCATCCTTTATATCAGTATATCAGATCCAATATAATGTGCATGTCAAACATTTTGTGCAGTACTTGAACCTGGATTGAGAATGCCGAGGGACAAAGGCTAATGAAGAACATTTTCTAAAGGTAGAAGCAGGTTGGATCCTTCGCGCCATTTTAAACATTTAAATTCTCTTAATATTGTATTCACATTCAATTTTTACACTGTATGTATTATATTTTGAGTTAAAACTTTCCATTATGACTAGAATTTATAATTTATGAGTCTTTTTCCAAATGGGAAACTATACTTAACATTAACAATAGTTTAATTATCTAAATGTAAATCGCCATTTTGAAAAATAAATTTCAGATCCATTGAATTTTGAGTTGGATGGTATATTATCCGAATCTTGAGGAGCCAATCATACTCCTCCCGAAGCTGTAGAACATGGAGGAGCTGGTGTCCCCCTTCCCCCAGCTAGCGAAGGGGATAACAACAGCGGTTGCATTGTCCTCACAGCAGTACAAGAGCGCCTGATCAACCAACCGTGCCGCGCCTTCGCTCGCGTTCTCACAACGTGCAATGCAATCCACTACCTCTTGATCCTGCATCACGAAGTTTATCCCATCCGTGGTGAGAACTAGGAACCCGTCCTTACCATGCTTGATCTTGACCTGCTTTATATCAGGATCAGCGACAACCCCTTGATCCTTGAGCTCCAGGTCTCCTATAGACCTGGACATACACAACCTGCTGTTTACCATAGATCTACCAATACTATCACTTGTCACACTCCCACCACACTCTAGTATTCTCTTCTTCTCCTCAGGAACAGAAGGACAGTGATCCTGAGTCAGTCTTCGTGCTTTCCCGTCCCTGTAGAGCAGAGCCCTGCTGTCTCCACAGTGTCCTATGTACAACATGTAGTTGTCCTGGATGAGGCAGACGGTGGCAGTACTTCCGGAGGAGATCTTCATCCTTTCATTCTCCTTCTTACTGTTAAACCATCTACTAAAGGATTTGTTCACTTCGAAGAATGATTTCTCTAAAACTCTTGAGATTGAAGACTCTCTAGCCAGGAAATGAGAGATATAAGTGTGAAAATGTTCGGCACAATATTCGGCACATCTGCTTCCACCGTGCCCGTCAAATACGGCACAGTACAGTAAATCCGGTCTCAGCATCTTGACAACAAACCTGTCCTCCTGGTAGGTTCTCCGGCCCTGGTTAGTGAAGGTTCCGATCATATTTACATCTATATCCGGAACTACAGTTCCGGTCCGGAGACTGGCATCTTCGTTTATCTGTACATCTAGTCTAGTATCCCAGGTACCAAGGGTATCAAACTCTAGATAAAGGAGGTCAACAAAAATTTTATTATTAATTTTTATTGTTCATGTAATACAATCTGTCTAAAACCTTTTGAACACACACAATGAGTTAAACTGTTTTCCTTCTGACAGGAAAACTAATTCTTTGTGTCCATTCAAAAGTTCTCAACTATTTCAAAGAAAGACTTTACCATGTTTTGACTCTATGCATTGGAAAAGGATTGTTTTATGACTCCATTAAAACAGAATTTTTACAACTGTCATAAAATGGTTCATCAGAAAAAAATTTACTTCAGGATATTAAATCCGGGGAAATATATTGATTTTCATTTGTGTTTTTGCTGATTTCCTAAACTTTTCTTTGACATTTTCTTTCTTCTCTCTAGCGAGTCCAGCTGACTGTCAACATACACTGATCCAGAGCTAGAAATATATTAAACCAATATTAAATACACTTATTCAGAACTAGAAATATATTACACTAATATTAAATACACTTATTCAGAACTAGAAATATATTATACCAATATTAAATACACTGATTCAGAACTTGAAATATATTAAACCAATATTAAATACACTAATCCATAACTAGAAATATATTACACCAATATTAAATACACTGATCCATAACTAGAAATATATTAAACCAATATTAAATACACTGATCCAGAACTAGATATATATTAAACCAATATTAAATACACTGATCCAGAACTAGAAATATATAATATTACACCAATATTAAATACACTGATTCAGAACTAGAAATATATAAAACCAATATTAAATACACTGATCCAGAACTAGAAATATATTACACCAATATTAAATACACTGATCCAGAACTAGAAATATATTATACCAATATTAAATACACTGATCCAGAACTAGAAATATATTACACCAATATTAAATACACTGATCCAGAACTAGAAATATATTACACCAATATTAAATACACTGATCCAGAACTAGAAATATATTACACCAATATTAAATACACTGATCCAGANGTTAATATCTATACTTAAAAGATCAATATAAGGAGCGTGTAAGAATGAATATTCTTCAACTAGTGTAAGAATTTCCATTCTTTAATGCTTGGAGCGTGTAAGAATATACATTCTTTCACGCTCTGACCGTGTAATAATTTCCATTCTTACACGGTCTGAGCGTTAAAGAATGAAAATTCTACACCTTCAGTGTAAGAATAAGCATTCTTAAACGCAAGGAAGCGAACAATATTAAAATTGTTCCTCCTGAACCGTGTAATAATGGGAATTCTTACATGATAGCTTTACTACTATGGAACCGAACAGATATGATATAATATGGTATACAATACATGATGAAAAGAGAGGTGAGCTCTATGAATAGAATATGGTATACAATACATGATGAAAAGAGAGGTGAGCTCTATGAATGGAATTGTACCCTGAAGGAATAATTGAAATAAAGAGAATAAACATTGATCCTTAAATCATAAGTTTTCACATTCAATATCGAGATCTGTGGATCGGGATTATGTGTTTACTACACAAGTTTCCAGCTTAGGAGAATGTACTTCTAGCGCTGGTAATTCAGGAGCTAGGCATTGGGATAAAATGAACATCAAGAACTTCTATCATTGGTTGTTATATTAATCCTTGGAGTCAAAAATCTGAACAATCTCTTTAGTAACTACTACTTACCTATTCGTTGTATGCAGACCTCTGTAACCCAGGACTGGAACAGTTTGTCTCCGGTCTACAGTTTTAGTAGGAGAGAGAGAGGAGCAGTTTCTGTAGTATCTAACGACGGGGTTGATCGCCTGGTGTAGTCTGCATCCTGATACACAAACAGTCCAACCTGAATCCAGTAATCTGCTCAGTATGACCGGCCTTAGCCCCAGTTCAAATATTCTTCCCATTCTATTTAATTCGCATTTTCTGAAACAGTGTTTGCAAATTTCATTGAAACCACAACGATCATTTCAGATCTGGTAATTTTAATATTTTATACAAGTAACACAAATTTAATATTTTATACAAGTAATACAAATTTGATATTTTATACAAGAAATATAAATTTAATATTCTATACAAGTAATACAAATTTGATATTTTATACAAGAAATATAAATTCAATATTTTATACCAGAAATACAAATTCAATATTTTATACAAGAAATACAAATTTAATATTTTATACAAGTAATACAAATTTAATATTTTATACAAGTAATACAAATTTAATATTTTATACAAGTAATATATTTTTTTTAATTAGGACTGGTTTAATATTCCTAAATTCTTTTGTGATTTTTAAATGTTACTTTTGGGTCAAACAAAACCTTTGGAAGTTTATTTGTTATTATTTGCAGTTATAATTGCGAATTCGTTAGATTAGTAGCATGTACCATTACTGGAGGAACGTTAAGGCTTACATATAATTCCATATTGGAAATTAGAGAGAAGAAACTGCCAAGTTTAATCTATATTTATATCTTGGAATTATTTAGTTCGAACTATTGATGATGCTAGGCATGATTTCTGATGGCAAGATAATCCGTCAGAGTTGGATCCTTTGGGAGGAAAACTTTTCGAGGATTTTCAACCTTGACAATTCTTCGACCATCCCGGCAGTAACCTAATAACAATTTTTTGTTTAAAAATGATTTAAAGACAAATACAAGCCATCTCCATTATAGTGATTAAAGAAATGTAAGAGTAATTTAAAGTGACCCTACATGCAAAGATGGCAATGCCCGATTGATTCACAACGGTACCCTTTAAAACTTTGTCTCAAATCAATGTTATTGTTTCTTTAAACCGTTACTTTTCATTTACGAACGCGACTTGCGCATTTTCTGCTATTAAAAAAAGTATAGAAATTTTCTGAATTAAACACTCAGAAAAAAGAAGGCATCTTACACATTTTACAAAGCTTTAAGACACTCACTGTATGAGTTGAGAGAGTTGTATGCTGAGAGAGCATGAACTAGGAGTCTCTCAAAACTTGACATCTCACAGATAAACTCAGCTGTAGGGTTCTAATTATAAAATATACTTAAGGACTAACAAGGGTTCAGAACTATTGTTTATTTTGACCATAGAGTTTACTTGTTTAAACTTTTTTAGCATTTATTGTCTGAAGCTCATCCTAGTTTTAAAGGGAGGGATTGCTTGCTGAAAGGTTTTTATAAAGGTATAATTCAAAACAAAAAATAACTATTTTGTCCTTTCCTGTGTAATATAGACTATAAAAGTTAAAAAAAGTATATTCATTCCTCAGAAAAGTTCTGGTTTAAGGTTTCCTCAATGCCGCGGAGCATTCCCAGCGGAACATTTTTCTTGAGCGCGCACCTCAGTTTGGCGCCAATTCTAAGGAACGCTTCTTCCGCTTGAAGTTCTTCCTCATTCTTCCTTTCCTCCTCTTCCTCCTCCGGTATGTTGAAGTACTTGCTCTCCTCGTTGTTCAGGAACTCCTCAAGAATGTTGGAGTTTTCTGACTCCAAGAGGTCGGAAAAGTAAGAGGTGTACTCTCTGTTTACATCTAGAGTTGGTTCACACTCAAGACCATCAATACCAAACATAGTCATCAACATTCTCTCATTCTCAAACCTAAGGTTATCAAATTATTTTAGGATTGTATCTATAGTTTAGCAATTAACTTTAAAAAACTTTTCTTTAACAACATCCCAAAAAATTAAATTGCGCCCTAAGTATAGTACATACTAATTTAATATTTTATACAAGAAATACAAATTTAATATTTTATAAAAACTTTTCTTTAACAACATCCCAAAAAATTAAATTGCGCCCTAAGTATAGTACATTGTTAATACCTTTGTTTGCTACGTCTACCCTTCTTCATTTTCAGCCTGTATCCGACACTACGGGCTAGCATGGCTGGACAAAGGGGGGGCACACGTAGTGGTGGCCCCACCACCACGGGAGTACTCCGCCCTAATTATTTTTATTATTAGAATTAAACTAGATCAGAACAGAGTTAATCACAAAAAGAAACCCTAGTACTGAAAAAGAACTTATAGAAAACATCGTTCTCAAAAAGTTTTTGATCTACAGGTTTACCCACAAAGGCGATCTAAAACTAATATAATGTGACGATCCCAAGGATAACTTACATCTTCTAGGTTGAATATAGTCTTTTAATAGCATATTAAATGATTGAGCAAAGAAAGAAACAAGTTTACAACAGTTGCGAGAAATCACAATAAGGAAACAGACAATATAAATTCCGTACAGTCGTCTCCGATTCTTCTTTTGTGGGTAACCCTGTGATTTAAAAACAGTAACATTCTTGTTTTGATCAAAAGTTTAAGTTTTTGTGGGTCATTTCAAGACAAATGGACTATTCCAAGAGAAAAAAGAATGTTAAAAATTCAAGCTAATTCAGCGATGGACAATTCCATAATTGTCAAAAGTTGGCCCAACTTGTCTTGGAATGACCCATCTATGACCTGATTCATCATCCGTCTGAACCGCCGAGGATCGTTCCGAGCTTGAGGCTCCCGAGGGAATAACAACTTTACGTGGTTTTGGGAGAACACCCATTCTGATTCTGAAAAAAATATCAAACTGAAAATTTGAGTAAATTTTACATTTTTACAAAATGACATCACAAGTAGTCAGTCAAAACTTTGGTTTTAAATAATGGAAGGAGCAGTGTTGCTGAACCTTTCATGATACGTTTACATATATCACTGGCCGTGTGGTTAATTTACAATTAAACTTGAGAAAAAATACTTGTTACAGTCTAAATATTCCCTCCTTCAAGAGCTTTATTCGCAGAGCTGTCTGGGATAGTATTTCCCCCTGTCCTGCAAATCAACAACAGAATTTTATAATTTAAAGAATAAATTCAATATTTCTCTCTCTTATTTATGTAATTTAAAGGGATTCTAGATGTAGTTTTTTTTACCCTTCCTTCAAAGAAGGGAATGTCCGATTAACAAGGTACCCTTCAAACCAAAATTTAAATCTAATAACTGTTAAATTATGTTAATTTCTCCATTCTGTAACAAGAAATGTGTAACTTACGTAGAGAAAACATAAATAAAAATTATCAGTTTTCAACGACAAAAACATGGAAATCTAATTCATACTTGATCAGATGAGTATCGTTGCAAATTAGGGTTTAAGTCCCTTTCAGTGCACAGTTTTTCTTCTACTGCACACTTGGATAAATATGGTTGAAATTCTGTTCCTGATATATAAAATCTCCCTCTACAGTTCTTCCCTGGTTCCTGGCCTCTTCTTTGTCCTTACTCCAGGTAGGGTATAGAGCACACAGCTCCTGAACACAACAAATCATTAGCTCCGGGTTCCTGGCCTTCTCTTTGTCCTTACTCCAGGTAGGGTATAGAGCACACAGCTCCTGAACACAACAAATTATTAGCTCCGGGTTCCTGGCCTTCTCTTCGTCCTTACTCTAGGTAGGGTATATAACACACAGCTCCTAAACACAATAAATCATTAGCTCCGGGTTCCTGGTCTTCTCTTCGTCCTTACTCCAGGTAGGGTATANCTCTATAGGTTTAGTATACTCAACATATCCTCTACCTGTGGTGTTGATATCTTCTCTATAGGTTTAGTATACTCAACATATCCTCTACCTGTGGTGTTGATATCTTCTCTATGGGTTTAGTCTGCAACTTCTTAGCATCATTATTCCCGAGCTCCCTAGAAGAAAGAATTTAAATCTGAAATATGGAAACCCAGACTCCTCGGACCGCCCTATATTATAAACTCTACAGAGCATATGGTAGTCATAATAGATAAATACTTATGAAATGACTGTCGCCTGCGTGCTTTCTTTTAAACTATAAAATTTAACCAAGGATTTGAATGTAAATTTATTTTTAAATGTTAATGGCACAGATTTAAAAATTTATCAGTCACAAATACCATAGTTCTTAGCGGTATTTCATAATTGAAAAAAAAGATAGAAAACGACAATCATTAAACTGCTTTCAGTTAATCAATGTGCTACGCTTACGATGGAGTAATCCAATTGTTTTATTATTATAATTTTTGCCTTTGGAAATAAAGTGTTACCTACAAAGGATGAGACTGTAAAGACGACTTGAAACTCTTCAAATATGACAGTCCTGAGTTTAAATTATGCCTAGAAATGTGATCTTTAAATGGCTTATTCAATGATTTGGAAAAGAAAGAATTTAGGAAATCATGAATATAAGGAAACATACAGTATAAATTCCGAACATTATGATTCGTCTCTGAAGTTCCATCCTTTGTGATAACCCTGAAAGTTTAATACTGTTGTTGCACCTGACTGTGCTTAAAAAGAGCTGGGTTCCTTGGTTGAAATGATACATAACAGCCTTCTTACAGATCTTATACAGAGGTAGAAAGTACAAACAGTTCCTAAAATATGTAGTTTTATTATAAGGGGGGGGCGGAGGGGGACCCTTGGCCGCCATGATCCTCTGGTATGCAGCATGCGAGCCTACCAAATTTGCCAGTTAATTCAAGCCTCCGCTTTATAAATGCATCAGAACGGGCCTGCATGTTACAGGAGGGTTTTTAAACTCATGTTTTAAGTTTTAATAAAAGATTTTTTACAAATTTTTCGACTTAGTGGCAATAGAGGTTTCTCACAGATGTCACAATTTTGTTGATTCTCTAGTTGAGTCGTTCATTTGAGTCCTCTTTGTGCTTCCTCACTGTGCGTCCTCATGAAAAGAGCATTTTCTTCGTGCTTCATCACTGTGCGTCCTCAAGAAAAGAGCATTCTCTTTGAGCATCGTTATTGGCGTCAAACTAATTCCTATTTTGCAACAGAGCAATGTTGCTAGTGAGTATATTTTGTTATCAAGGGGCTGAGGACTGAAGACGAGTGAACCTCTATTAAAAGATTGACAAGTCCTATTTACAGCGGTACCTTTCAAATCTTTGTCTCATAAAATGACAGAAATATCCATAGTCTTCAGTTTGAAAATTGACTATTTTCAATATATTCAATTGTGGTTTATCAACTTAAGTGGGTTGAAGAAACAATGGAAGAAAGTGAGAGTAAAAAAACTGATGTGAATCTTTAAATGAAATCACGAGAGTGCCTTCAAGTACTACCTGGAGAGTCCCTTCAAGTACTACCTGGAGAATCCCTTCAAGTACTACCTGGAGAGTGCAAGAATTGTCTGTTTGTCAAACCCGTTCCTCCAGAATCGACCCTGATCCCTCTCCATAGTCTCCGGTCTGTACTTGAAGTAGAATAAACCTGTCTCAGGGATACCCAGATACTCCCTGCACAACACCTTAACAAAATAGGGATAGATATTTTCATGAAAAAGAATCTACGCTTAAACATTTTTTTCGGCTAATTTCGATAATAACAGATTTCTTTAACAAAAACTTAATTAAAGAAAAAAGCTAGCATTTCTAAAACCTGTCAGGAGTTGAGTCTTTGCCTCAAACTCTGATTTTCTATTTTCTTTATCTTTGCAAAACCCAAAGTCGTAGGCCTTAGATTTTTCAAACTATGACTTCTGATAGATCAAATAATCAAAGTTTGAAATAATAAAGGTTTACATGATCAGGCTGCAAATATATATGGGTTAGAACTTTTGAGTTTACGGCGAAAAAGCAATTCCTTCGTTATTTAATTAGTTTTCCTCTCGATTTACCTCTCGATTTACCTCTCAATTTACCTCTCAATTTACCTCTCGATTGAACTCTCGATATACCTCTCGATTTTCCTCTCGATTTACTTCTCGATTTACCTCTCAATTTACCTCTCGATTGAACTCTCGATTTACCTCTCGATTTTCCTCTCGATTTACCTTTCGAATTACCTCTCGATTTACCTCTCGATTTTCCTCTAGATTTACCTATCAAATTACCTCTCAATTGATCTCTCGATTTACCTCTCGATTTACCTCTCAAATTACCTCTCGATTTACCTCTCGATTTAACTCTCGATTCACCTCTCGATTGAACTCTCTAATTTCCTGTCAAAATCAAAATTGAGCATTAAAAGTACCTGGTATGTTCTGATAAACCTAGGGAGGAAGCCTTGAGCCTGGCTCATTGTGAAGAAGGTGATATCTGCCACTGCCGTGTCGAATACGTTCATCAGGTTGACCTCGTACTGGTGGTGCAGCAGGTCACTGGCAAATCTAATCAAAAACAAGTAAACCTAAAACAATTTTTTTTTGGGGGGGGGGGGTTTTATTATTTTTATTATTATTATTATCAACAATCAACCTACAGACAAAGTACAACGACTTGTAGGTTGAGATACAATGAAAATAGAGTTGAGCTCCTCCACTTGCCCTATATGGGATCTAGTAGTTCAGTCCTGGCCTGAATTTGAAGGATTCAGTGTGTATGCCAGGAAAGCATGGATACTAGAGGATAAATAAAAGAGATGCATAAAAAGCACTGACAGAATGCGGCACACACCTCCGCTGGGTTTAAAAAGAGCTTTTGTTTTTTCCTTTTTAGTTTTAGCTTTAAACGTTTTGACCAGGGAAAGTTGAACAAATCGTATTGGTATATTTTAACCTGTATACTGCCCTTACTCTTACTGGGAGAACTTTGAAATCGTCATTTTTATTTGTCCCGAGATGCCCTCGTTCCATTTTACCAAATGATTTTTAAATAAAGTCAGGTAAGTATACTGGAAGAGTTCTAGCCTCATTTAACGGTTTATAAATTAACTTTAAATATTCAATAGTTAAATAAAGAGTTGTATAAACTCTGATTTTCCTATTCTTATATCTTTACAACCCAATGTCGTAGACCTTATACATTTCAAACTGTAAATTATGTTAGATCAAATAATCAAAATTTGAAATTTCAAAAGTTTAAACCAACAGGTTGCAAAGATATAAGGATGAGAACATTTCAGTTTGTGGCAAAGACTCAATTCCTTTGTAAGCCACAATTAAAATTATTGACTTTTAGATGGAAAAGCGATTCAGTTGCACGAAATTCCGCGAGTATTTAATTGCTTCCTTGTTCGCAATTATAGCGCAATTCCGTGCAATGAAATGGCGCAAGTGGAAGCAATCATTGGGTGCAATTCCGCGCAACGGAATTCCGATTGGAAAATCAATATAAAATACATTTTTTAAAATCTTTATCTTTTATTGATCCATCTATCTATCCAGTATTTTTCCATCTATTGCAACGTGATTTTCAACAATAATTTTTCTTCTTATTAATCTTAAAATTTGATAAATAAAATAAAAATTTGACCTGACGTCATGGAATACTTTAACTTTCTCCTGGGACTCGAGGAAATATTGTAGACCGTACTTGAAGACAGAGTACTAGTTTCAATCAGGCCTTTAAAGTGTTTTAACAACAATGAATTAGAAAATAAGACAAAACTAAACCTCATTTTGATAAAGCAAAACAATCTTGTTCTATCGAAAATAATAAAAAGTTTGTTTTTAGTAAACATCGCACTTATTTGGGTGAAACAGACTTTGAGTTTCAAATCTTAAAACCTTTTTTAAAGCTGAAAACGTCAATAACCGTCAAATTAACTGTAAAGCAAAAACAAAAATTGAAAAATATCCGCGAAATTAAATTAGTGTATTGATGTGTGAATAAGAAATGGCGGCTTAAAATGCAACATTCAAAAGCTAAAATTACTATTAGAAATGTTTAAAAGCGCCAAAAGGACTAACTTAATTAGAAAGGATAAAGCCTGTTTCCTTCATCTTGCCAATATCGAATAGGTATACAGCAGTCTCTGTACATACACTTACACATTTCAGTGTACCTAAATAATTCAACTTACTGTTAAACTAAATGTTGTAATACATAATTCAAATGTTGTACTCTTGTACTAATTCTAACCTGATCTAGATATATTTAGTATTTACTCCCTCTAGTTGTACTTCAAGTACAGAAGATAAATAAATATTGTACTCTTGTACTAATCCTTACCTGATCTAGATATACTTATTCCCTCTAGTTGTACTTTACGTACAGAAGATAAATCAATATTGTTCTCTTGTAACTAATCCTTACCTGATCTAGATATATTTATTCCCTCTAGGTGTACTCCGAGTACAGGAGATAAATCAATATTGTACTCTTATACTAATTCTAACCTGATCTAGATATATCTAGTATTTACTCCCTCTAGTTGTACTTCAAGTACAGAAGATTAATCAATATTGTACTCTTGTACTAATCCTAACCTGATCTAGATATATTTATTCCCTCTAGTTGTACTCCAATTACAGGAGATAAATCAATATCCTTCAGAGCAGAATCAAAAGCCTCGTTCAAGGCCTCTATCACATAAACCCTAAAGCAATATATTTTGGTCCCGTAAAGACGTTAAATGCTGACAATAAATATCTAAAATTTATTAAAAAATGTTTGCATAAGAATCCCAAGAAATATTTTTATATAAAAAACACGTTTCGCGCATTAACTCACTTTCTAGGAACACTGATGGCTGGAGGTTTCTCTAAGGTTTCCCAAAGTTTTGTTCTAATCTCTGACACCGAACAATCACTGTAAAAGGTAAAAAATAAAACATTAGGTTTTGTCAAAATCTTTAAATTGGGAAAAGTTAATAGATACAAACCAGCGTAAGTAGCTAGAAGTTCGTAAAGTTGGTAAATAATAAACTTTAGACTCATAGCTAGTCTCATCCAACTTAGTCCTGGGATCAAAAACAGGACCAACCCTACAGTCTCCGCCATTTGTAATAAATTTGTCGTGTTCTCCAGGTCCACCATTTTGAATAGGAATGTCCGAATTCTCCATTTTATGATGCTTTTAGATAAGACTCTGAAAAAATACATATGACATTATGGTGAAATACAATAGAAACAACCACTTCATTAATTAACAATTTTTAAATTGATTTTTACAACGAAATAAAATAGACATATGTTTCAAGAATTAAAATTTGAGTGAGTCTGAGAAGGACAAGGAACTGTTAGTTCTAGAGAAGAGGATGAGAGAGGAGGATCTCAGGATTAATCAGATCAGGATGATGACCCAGAAAATGATGATAAGTGAGAAGAAGTTCGGGCAGCTCTTTGACGACGAGACAAATACAAGGTTTAAGGAGATGTTCCTCAGATGTGGGATGACCCCGGACGAATTGAGGAAGGAGAAGTTTGCTGATATATCAGAGTAACACGAAAATTTGGCGCTACAAATATATTCCTAAAATACTCCTGTTTTAACTAAACCTGTTCCTGCCATTTAATGATTCATCCTAAGTAGAATCTATGTATTAGATATATGTAGGAAGAGGTTTATTTTGTTAAAATAAAACTGAAATCTCATTTTATAAACACGCTTAAAATATTTTTAAAAATATTTTGTACTTTTTATCCTGGTGATTTATTACCAATAGTTGTATGTTTAAATTCATCATAATAAAGAAGTATTTTATTACAATTTGAACTAAGAGCTGTTTTGGTCAAAACGAAACAGAAAAGGGGTTGTTTTCAAAATTTCAATTTTAGACAGTTTTCATTCATGCATTTGATTACTATGACAAAATAAAAAATTAAAGTTCCAGTTGGTTCATTAATTTTGTTACTGGTATTTCACACTGAGAACTACATTAGTACAATTGTACATTTGTTTACAGATTGTATTCAACTATAAGATTTTCACTTCCCAATTCATTAGATCCATCAAACATGTTAATAACTTTCTCAGCGTTAGATTTAGTAATAAAGCTAACTATGGCATAGGTAAAAGGCTCTGAGGTTGTAGGTTCTCTTAGGTCAACTTGGAGAGGGGTGAATTCTCGAAGAAGATGCTGGATATCCAGGACGGATGTTTCCTCGCTAAAGTTTGCAAGTACTAGCTCAGGTTGATTAGGACGGATATCTGCATGCTCCGCAGTAGTTGGAGATGAATGACCGGAAAATATATCCTCCTCCTCCTCTGAGATATCTGTGCATAAGTCTAACGGACAAGTAATATCTTCTTCTTGTATAATACCAGTACAGGACTGTTCCTGGTCTAATTCTTTCATAATACTTGCCTGGATCATTGGAAGCTTTGCTTGAACTTTTACTCTCCTACCTCCCAGGAGTTTATTATGACAGGTTCGAACACCAAGCTTCATCTCCTCCATGCTCTCACATCTAACGAAGGCGTAGGCCTTGCTGCCGGACACTACCATCTCCCTGATCTGCGCAGAACTAATCCCGGCCAGGAAGGATTGAAGTTTATGGACAGGAAGAGAGTGAGGATAGTTTGAGACGAGGAGTTCCAGGGCGGATTCCTGAGGTGGGTTCGGTATAGGTTTCTTTCTCAACTTCCGGTCTCCGCCCTCAGCTGAACCAGCAGCTGCTAGTCCTACACACAGCAGGTGTCCGCCATCTTTTAGTTCTTCAACAGCTGCCTCCGCCTCGTCCAACTCATTATACCTTGGCAGGATGTTTTCTTAAAAGATTGATTGGCTGATTTATAAATCGAAAATTCAAAAATACAATTGAAGGAGAACGACGAGGATAAATCCTTCCATAAAAAAGGCATATTCGATTCACAACGGTACCCTTTAAAATACTAACTGATAAAAATGGGGAAGAAGTCATCGGTTTTCTAGATAGATAAGTGTTCAATTCAACAATTCCCTACATTCTAGATCAGAAATGCGCGCAAGTCAATTTTATAAAGAACCCAGAATTGAAAAAATCAATTTAAAACTAAATGGAGATCTCAAACTCTCAAGGATGCTGTTGAGAATAGAACATAATATGAATGATTGATAACGTTGTTTGTTTATTAAATTACCTAATATAGCACCATTTTTTCTTGTCTTGATAAACAGATTGCACATCTCCGAATCCATTAAATAATTCAATAATTTCACTTCTCTCCAGAATCTGATACCCTTCCCGGTTCATATTTTTAAACCTTAAAAGTTTTTGAATTTTTCGAAAAATGTTTTTTTTCTTTAATTCTTCGAAATAAAAGTTCGCTCATGATAAGACATTTGACAATTAACCTTGACGGAGACGCTTTAAACTTTTTAAAAAGAATCGTGAAATTTTGATAAAATTCAATATATTTTAGATTTTCATTAATTTATAAAATTTCTAAAATTTCTTATACCTGACGCAGTAAAATCCCGATCTATCCGGATGACATTTCTTTTGTTCTTTTCCTGCGACAGAACAGTCTTTGGCAACGCTCAAATCCGAGAAAGTTGATTTTAGAGACTTTAACGCTGCTAATGCGCCAGACTCGTACTGGTACTAAACAACTTAACTTAAAAGCTGTCATTTAATACGAAAGAAAATAAAATTGCTAAGATTATTAGAAATATTTAAGCATGTTTTCTTAAGGAAAAAGTAGGGTAATGTTTTTTATTTAATGTTGGTTAGGCTGGCAATCGTTAAAAATAGAGAGAACTAAAAATTACTAGGTATAAGAAAAAAAATATATATTGGGGTTTTTTTTAATAAAACTTAATTAAATTGCAAGAGGACAAAAAAAACTTTTTAACGCGAGTTCTCTAAATGGTATAATGGTGAAACAAAGTTGACAGATTAAAGATGTTCCTTGACGAATACTCTAACCCTGCCCCTGATAGAACGAAGGTTGCTTTGCACTGAAACTACTGAACCAAATTCTGCAAATATCTCCTTCAAATTTGAAGTATTAACAAATCTAAAGCCAGATATATATATCGGGCTTATACAGAGGTTTAATGAAAGATAAAAGTGTATTTTAATTTTTATTCAATTTGGTTTGTTTATTTAAATAAAATAAAAATAAAATAAAAAGATTCTAACGCAGACCTATAGGTTTTAAATCTTTGATAACAAAAATGAAGTTAGAATTAAAATAACTGAAATAAACCGGTTTACAATCGATGAAAGAAACAATTCCAAAACAGGAACCAGTGTAAAGGGACTATTAGCTTAATATTCTGTGGCCCTCCGGCCTTCATGCAAAGATGCCAAATCTACAACTTTACCCATGAAACCTTTATCTGTTCAAAAATGTGGAAGATACCGTCGTTTTTCTGACTCAAAAAGGGTTTAATTCTGATAATGTCTCTAGTATGGTAATGTTGTAAATCGAATATTTCCATCTTTGCATGGAGGATCCCATTCTGTATCCGTGAAATATATCCTGTACCCTGCCTGTCAGTTGTAAACGTGATATCGTATGTTCCAAGACAAGGAAGGATTAGCTCAGGTTCAGGTTCAACCTTCTCCGGGATCCTCTCCTTCCTTAAACAGTCCGGAGCTATCTCCAGATTGTGGAGTAGTTTGCAGGATTTCAGTTCTAACCAAAACCGCTATCATTCAAAATTATCTAAAGCGAGAACCAGAAAACTGACATGGATTCGAGTTATAGTCCAATAAACATGAGACAAATTAATAGTGTTACAACAAATACGCTTTAGTATTGTAATAATGTCGTCTTTCAATTCCACACTTTTCTGTTTTTCACTGTAGTTGGAAAATTTGTGAAAAATCAGGAAAAGCAGGAATTTGGGATGCTAAACCTTTCTAAAACTGAGTGTCTGAATTCCAACAGATATTTTTATTTTAGATTAAGCTGACAGATAGGTCACTGGAGGCCTCTTAATCCTTTACTTTTTTAGAACAATTTGAGAACAATTCCAAGTTATTTTCTATCTTAAAAAAGTAACTTTGAATTGTTTTCAAATAGTTAATGTAATTAATTAATTTACAAGGTTTAAATATTTATCGTTTAATGGCAGCAGTTTTCCTTTCAGAGCATTTATAGCTTCCAATGGAGTTGAATAATGAATATAACACCGTCTACGCAGACAGCTGTAGATCCGGGATCCTAGGAACCAACCATTCATTAACTCTGGTTAACATGTAAATATCAATTATTATTGTTTAATATTTCGCTTTTCTAAATTTTATTAGATTTAAAATGTAAAAATAAAACATGTTACATTTTACTTATATTGAACTTGAACAGCAAACTGCTAAAATCAAAATTAATTGTAACTGAAGAAGTTTGTTTAAATTATCAACATGAATTTGACAGAAGTATTGTGTGGTTTCTACTCTTTTAAGGTATGTTCTGGTTCCTGGGAGAATGTCTCCATATGTATTAAAGAGCTTGATTATGATGGAGGACTCCAGCATGAGCTGGTTGAAGAAGGTGAGCTGGTAGCTCCCCTGGAACCTCATCAGTCGATCCATCACATCCATCACATCCATCATACCACCCTCCATCTCTATATATATGAGGTAGTAATCTCTGTTTGTTTGTGTGGATGTCCGATCATCTATTCAATATAATAAAGCTCTCCGCTCATATATGTAATATATATATTTGTATGTAATCAGTTTTTCATTCAATCAAAAAAAAGATTAAAATCCTTATTATTTACATATATATTTGTAAGTACAGTTTATTTATTTATTTGTATGTAAATATGTTAGCTATAGCCGGCCAAACGACTGAACCGAATTGGCTGAACATTTGGGGGTAACATAGGCTAAATAAAAATTTCGACATTTTTTATAAATTTTTTTTTTTTAAATCAAAACTTTTTATATATTAGATTTATTCTTAAATTCTACGGGCAACGCCGGACACTTTAACTTGTAAATCATGAGCCCCTGGACCGATTTGCATCAAATTTTGATTTGGGAACTCGGGAGAACCACGGGAATGTTCCTAGCTTAGTCTAAGATTCCAAATCGTAATTTACGAGCAAGTGCGGGTAAACGGCGGGAGTAACTATGAGTAACCTGGGCAACGCTGGGTTCCCAAGCTAGTACTTAATACAGTTGTAGACATGCAGATTTTCAATTGGCAGCCATAATTAATTTAAAACAATTTAAAAGATTACATTTTCAAGTTTGTCAGGGTTATTTAATTTCTAAAAAACTTGTTAACCGAGAAGTACCGAATAAAGGCAATAATCAGCGAGAAATAAAAATTGTACAGAGATGGAAATTAAAGAATTTGAGCCGCGATTTAAATCTGCCAAAACCCGGTTTAAATTAAGCGCCGGCGTAAATCTTGAAACATCTGATACAATTTTAAGTGGAACCAACCATATTAAAGCCGCGGCTTAAAGGGGATGGTGGAGTTGGCACATTTGATGTAGGGGGGGGGGGCCCTGCCTTCATTTTTGGTTCAAATCTTCCAATTTTTTGGGTGCGCGCCTAATTAGGGTTCGAAATTCCTATAATAAAATAAAATTGAACTTTAATGACCTCTAATGACCTCTAATGACCTCCAGAAATAGAAAATATTTCAACTATGGCTTTATGCACATCAAACGAAAGCTAGGGACCCAGGGAATACAGTAGCAGCAAAAAATCCAGTGTTTGACCTTCTAATGACCTCTTACGACCTCTAATGACCTAAATGACCTCCAAAAATGAAAATGTTTTAACTATGGCNGAACCAAAAATGAAGGCGGGCCCCCCCCCCCCCTACATCAAATGTGCCAACTCCACCATCCCCTTTAAACCGCCGCTCAAATTCTTTAAATTCGGCCACAGGTTTCCACAAAGCGTCGAAAATATTCTTTTCTTTGGAATTTAAAAAGATTTTAACAATTAACTTTTTTGGCGGGAAAGACTTAAAATTAAATCAAATATTTTCTGACAGGTATAAATTAATTATTACAACTTTTCAATTATTCAATGGTTCAAGAAAGTAGGAAACTTCTTTTAAGAAAAATAAAAAAGTTTGCTTAAAAGTTTGAACGTACCCTTATGCTATTTCCTTCTATGTTGGATCAGCTATGGATTCATATTCAGGTCGGCATTGTAAGTCTAGAAATAGAAATAACAATTATTTTGTTAAAGTGATACTTTACACCAAACATTTAATCACAGATACAAAATCAAATAAAGTGACCAACTACCTACCTAATACCCAGACATCACAGTTCAATTAATAACAATGCATGTTTCAACCTTTCTGTACAATGTACATTGTACATACAGAATAAAGTTTATGTGGTGTACAGTGAAAAACAGTGCTTAAGATCCGGATTAGAATTTGCTGAATCCTTAAAATATTGGCTCCTTGGATCCGGATTAGGATTTGCTGAATCCTTAAAATATTGGCTCCTTGGATCCGGATTAGGATTTGCTGAATCCTTAAAATATTGGCTCCTTGGATCCGGAATCGGAAAAAATGAAATGGATCCTAAGTCCTGACTGAGAGTTTCCAACAACCGAGTACTAAACTGTACACTGTACTTTTAAAAGATGGTAAACATGGATAAAATAAATACATAAATAAATAACTGCCAGAACTAGTTTAACAGACGTCAGACGTGAGACGAGAGGTTTATAGAATAGAACGTAGAATAGACGAAGGATGATAACTGTCCTTAAATTCGTTTGACGACCTTTCTTTAACTTTCAACATTTAATTGTACAGTACATTGTACAGTGTGCATACAGTTAAATGTCCATACAGTACAAAAATAATCTAATTATTAGATCTAGTTGTATGTACTGTACTGCGTACTATTCTAAGTAATGTACTGCAGACTGAACTTGGTAATTGTACTACGTACTGTACTGTCAACTACGAGTTAAATCCCAATCTTGAGTTTACAATCTCCAGCTATGTAGAGAAAACTGTATTGCACTGCGTTCTATTCTGTGTACTGTACTGCAAACTGGCGAGTTAAACCCTAATCTTGAGTTTACAATCTCCAGCTAGGTAGAGAAGAACTCTGTCTAGAGTATAGGCAGCTCCAGCATCAAGCATCAGAACCTTCACATACATTAATATAAATATTAGGTCAGAGTGTGTGTCGTTGTAATTTCAATAAACCCTTCATTCAAAGCACGGTATTCCCGACTCACCACAATACAATTATTTACTCCTTAAAGAGGAAGATATCATCGTTTTAGTAGCTTAAAAGGTGTTTAATTCTCACAATTTCTCCATTGTTATTGCCCCAAGAAATCTGCTAGTCACTTTTATATAGAAATAAAGGATATCTCATTATTTCAAGATCAGACAACTCTAAATAGGGTACCGTTGTAAAGCAGATATGCCAATCTTAAAGTAAAAGTTCAATTGTTTCACCTTGATAAGTAAAGATCATGCTTTACCTTGATAAGTAAAGATCATGCTTTACCTTGATAAGTAAAGATCATGTTTTACCTTGATAAGTAAAGATCATGGTTTACCTTGATAAGTAAAGATCATGTTCTACCTTGATAAGTAAAGATCATGTTTTAGCTTGATAAGTAAAGATCATGTTTTACCTCGATAAGTAAAGATCATGTTTTACCTTGATAAGTAAAGATCTGAAATCATCTGTGAAGTTTATAATACTGAACTGTTCAGCAAACTCAGGGAGAAGACCTAAATACAAATTTTGTTAATTTTTTAGCTTTTTTCCGCATTTTTTAATTTAGACTTTCGTGTATTTAAGAATAGAATTTAGTAAACAATTGTGTTGTCATAAGCTCAAACAATCAATCAAAGGGAATTTTAGGGACGTTCTACTTTTCACATTTCAAACTGAGATATGGTATTTTCTTATTCTTTACAACATGAAGAATAATATTTTGTAAACAATTGTGTTGTTATTTTTTTAGTTATCAGTTCTTTTTAGCCAGTCATATCATTCTTCATTAATTTCCTCACCATTTTTTTGTTTGTTCTTTTTTATATTTTTAACATGTTTTAGTTTTTTTTTCTTCTAGCTAGTCAACCAAGACTGAGGTTTACATAATGCAAGCATAACTACGAATCCTCCAGCCCCTGCTAGAGAGTAGAGAAGGGGTTTATGGTAAGTTTACCTAATGCAAGCATAAATACGAATCCTCCAGCCCCTGCTAGAGAGTAGAGAAGAGGGTTATGTTAAGTTTACCTAATGCAAGCATAACTACGAATCCTCCAGCCCCTGCTAGAGTAGAGAAGGGGTTTATTGGTAAGTTTACCTTATGCAAGCATAACTACGAATCCTCCAGCCCCTGCTAGAGTAGAGAAGGGGTTTATGTTAAGTTTACCTAATGCAAGCATAACTACAAATCCTCCAGCCCCTGCTAGAGAGTAGAGAAGACTACGGTTTTCTGTTAAGGATTCCATGAACGGGTGTCCACGGTAGTTAATGGCAAAGGTTAGCACCTAAATATTAAATAAAGAACTATTTTACATAAATGATGATATGTATAGTTGAACCGTTTCAAATTGACTAGCCATATATTTGTTGACAAACTTCAGTTTGTAGGAGGGATCCAAAAACATCAGTGCTCTCTTTTTAACAAGAAACTTTAATTAATTTTGTTTAGTAATAAAAGTTGTTATTTCCTAGGGGTGTATTTATTGGATGATTCAGCTGATTCAACGATGGGGTTTGGGGTTATTTTGAACAAATATTTAAGTTCAGAAAGCTCATTAATGGCTTAAGAGTTAAATAATAACCTGGAGAAACATAGAGATGATGTAGACTGTGCTGTTGAGAAGGTTCGGAGCAAACTCCTTCTCCAGGTCCGGGAACTCCTCCCTGGGCTCCAGCAGGTAGGCCTACAACAAACAGATATAATCAAGGGATATATACTTACTTACCCCCCTTCCTTCCTTTCATTCTCTGCACCTTGGAATATCTGCTGAATAATGGGGAGATATACACTTTACATTTTCCTATTTAAAGGAACTGTAGTCGTAGTTTCAACTCACAACAAAACCTTTATCTGCACCCTGGAATATCTGCTGAATAATGGGGAGAAATACACTTTACATTTTCCTATTTAAAGGAACTGTAGTCGTAGTTTCAATTCATAACAATAACTTTATCTGCACTCTGGAATATCTGCTGAATAATGGGGAGATATACACTTTATATTTTCCTATTTAAAGGGACTGTAATCGTAGTTTCAATTCACAACAAAACATTTCTCTGCACCCTGGAAGCTGAATAATGGGGAGATATACACTTTACATTTTCCTATTTAAAGGGACTGTAGTCGTAGTTTCAATTCATAACAATAACTCTATCTGCACCCTGGAATATCTGCTGAATAATGGGGAGATATAAACTTTACATTTTCCTATTTAAAGGGACTGTAATCGTAGTTTCAAATTTTTCAAGGAAATATTTACCCCTGCCTTGGTCTAATCCTACCTGCTGTACGAGGAAAATCATGGAGCTGAGATGAACGGCGAACTGAGATATCACAGTGAGGATGGTGTACACGTTGAATATGTTGGGCAGGGGACGGGATTTAGACAGGGTTGTCAGGGGCTTTGATCTAAATAAATGATCCTTTACTTAAAACTGACTTAATATCCTTCTGTTCAAAAATTTAAATGTTTCATTTTAAAATTTTAAGATTGGCATGACTTGGGAAATTGAACATTTTTTTTGAATGATTTTTATATTAATTTTCTTAAATAAAACTAATTTCACCTTGAGATGAAGAGAAAGCAGGCTGCTAGGAGAAGACCTTGGAAAGTTGCTTGACCGTCAGAGAATTTAACTCCCTCCAGGTACAAAACTGACTGACTAAAAATCAAACGATTCAGAAAACCCAGTTGAAGAAGTTTGGAACACTTAAATAAATTCTCCGTTTAAAGATTTCCATGGTAGATATCTCTGAAAGAATGCGACTGAAATGACAACTTCAACATTACATAATTAAAATAATTTGGAAAATATTATCGAATAAAAAAGTCATACATTTAATTACTAAAAAGTCTCATTCTTTGTGGGTAACCATGTAATTTATCTACATCGCTTATTGGTTTTGTGGTAATACTAAAAAATTTATTTCTATACCTGTATGCCAAAATAAGGGCATTCAAAGCCAAAATCTTAAACATCTGTAGAGTAGTGACCAGGGTACAACGGCCCTTAACAATTTTATGTATTTTTTTTCTAGAAAACTGGTTAATTTTTTAATTTTCTTTAAGCTGAACCATCATACACTAACACATAACATATTGTAGTTAAGATCCAAAAACTGTACAAAACTTTTTTGACCTGGTCCAGTTCCATATTTTTCAAATGATAATGTAAAAGAAAAGGATCCTGAGCACTGTAGTTTTACCATTACTATCAAAAACATCGCTTCCACATTTTTTACCACAGTGAGGCCTATACAACTCTAGAATAGGAAGACGACTAATAGAATTAATTATTATAATGTAGTCTTATGAAAATAAAACAGCAACTGTAAAGTGAACACTGAACACAGACCCAATCGAATTAAAATGGTTATTTTTAACTACTAGAGTATATAACTAATTTCTCTAGAACAACATTAAATACAAATAAGATTTATAAATTGTTGGTTCCACAGTATTTTGAGTCTCACTGTACTTGCATCAATACTATTGGATAGTATTGATACAAATAATCTTGTAAGAGAGAAGTCTCGTCAAAATCTCTGTTTACCTGTTTGATCACGTGATTAATTGAAACTATACTCGAGTGCTTGGAGGTGAACGGAGCAGCGATACTAGCGTCGCCTAGCTTCACGACCTGGAAACAATAATTAACTCTATTCAAGGTGTGACAACTTGAAAAGGTAGAAAAGTGAAGTAGAGAATCAGGTAGTACAGTCAGTCCTCAATACAATTATGGACTGCTATGTCATAAATACTGTTGTAAACTCAATATTTTACAGGGATACATATTTTGAAGAAATGATGTTAAAAGACTTAGAAAAATTAAAAAATTACCACTGTCAAATTCTTCCCTCCCCTCTTTTGACACTCTAACCAAACAAACACCTTTCCCTCTATAAGTCATATATGTTGCCCCATCACTAGGTCTACTAGCTGTACCCCTCTACCTGCATATCCTCAGCTTCCTGAAGTTCCTGCATCATCTTCTGCAGCTGAGCTTGTCGTGCATTCATCCTTTAAATCAATCAATGAATCAAACTATTCTGAATTCCATCATTCATCCTTCAAATCAATCAATAAATCAAACTATTAAGAATTCCGCCATTCATCCTTAAAATATCAATTAATAAATCAAACTGTTTAGTATTCCGCAATTCATCCTTCAAAATCAATCCATAAATCAAATGGTTAAGCATTCCATCATTGATCCATCTAAATCAATTAATTAATCAAACTATTAGGAATTCCATTATTTATCCTTTAAAAATCAATCAATAAATAGGACTATTTAGAATATAATAATTCATCCTTGACCTTCAAAAATCAATCAATAAATCAAACCTAAATATCCTATACCCTTAATTTTTTTCCCCCAATCTCACCCTTCTTATAAAAAGCAATTTATGTAAAAAGTCAACTTACCTATCTCTTGGATCAGGTTTCTTTACATCCGTCCTTTTCCCTTTTCCTTCTTTCTTCAGTTTGTCAAACTTATCTACCTCCCTCTCCTCATCCTGCACAAGGATTATTATTATTATTATTGCTGAAATTATTGTTATTGTTGTTATTGTTATTGTTATTATGGTTATCATGGTTATCATGGTTATTATTGTTATTATAGTTATTATTGTTATTACTGTTATTTTTGATATGATTATTATCATACCAAAAGAAAAAATAAATGTCCCTTATTTTTAATCTTGATTCACTGGATATTCGAAATTATTGAATATAATTTACTCTGTATATTAATGTGATATATGCAACCATATGAATATCATGACAACAATCGGAAATGTTCTTATATACTCCGCCAGGAGTCCTGAAAATAATCCTAACATAAACATAAACATAAACATCATAACTATCATGATCATCATCATTTTTCAATGTTATAATTTACATCTTTTCTGTGAAAACAACGATATTCTGACCTTTTCCTCTTTCTTCTTCTTAGTTTGAATAGATGAAAGAATTGCTACTCCTACATGAGCATGCTTCAGAGCACCAACATCATTAGTTCCATCTCCACACATCAACGTGTAATAACCTGAGTAAAGATATTGATTGGAATACAATTTTCAATCTTAAACAAAAGAAAAAAACAGTGTGTTAAAATGATGAAAATTCAATATACTACAATAAATGTTTTTATTAAAAGTTTCGAACAATACAAAAAAAAAATATTTCAGCCATAACTCGTAAATATTTTTTTATGTGGATATTTCTCACTTGAAAGATGTATCTTATCTTGATTGTATAAATGAATTATTTTGTATGATCAAGATGAAACAAGAAGGATTAGCTTGAGATTGAAAAATGTGTTAAGATGATGGCAACGATAAGTAAAATACGAATAAAGATGACATTTCAACCCATTTTTAATAAAATGTAAGTGTGTTATATTTTTTTAATATTAAAAATTTCATCGACAGATTTTTTATTTTAATTTGATTTGGATATTTATCATTTCCAAGAGTTATCTTATCTTGATAGTTTGAATAAGTTATTTTGAAAGATGAAGATGAAGTATAATAATAATATTATATCACATTCTTGGAAGATTTGAATACATTCCCAGAATTACATTGTTATTTCAACTACTTTTATTTCAACCTGAAAGGACCAGTATTTTGTAATAACTTTGTAATAATAAAGGTGAAGGGAACTAACTTTGCACCTGTATTCTTTCAATCAATTAGGAACAGGGAAAATGCTCAATTCGTTCCCCTTATCAGAAGCGTAGACCCGTATAAAAGGTATTCGTATAAATATTTGTTAATGTCTATTTATAATACTTATTTTAAAAATTTAGGCCATGAAAATAAAACCTAACAAAGATAGATTCAGCATGCAAGATTAGCTTGCAAGGCTCAAAGACTTAAAAGCCAGGTCCGGGGGATCGTTTGATCTACAACAGGTGAATTAATTAAGAATTATTGCTGATTTGGCGACGTAGTGAATCCGATAAGAATGTGGTATAATAATAATAATAACACTGTCAATCCTTCAATCTGAGATTTCACACTTGAGCTCTCTTCCGTTTAAGTTTCAATGAATTAACCCAGTTAAGAGCTGAGTATATGAAGGACTACCTAGATACTTGAGAGTAGTGATGACGACCTCCTTCTGTTTAGGGTTGACCCTAGCGAACACCTTGACGTGGGGGAGAAGACGGTGCGCCAGTTCTTTTCTCTCAGACAATAAGTACGTGAGTCCCTCACCTAAATGTTAAATATTTTTCTCAGAAAATTAATGTGAATATTTTTGAGAATTCAAAATTATTTTTTTCAAATTTCTCATTAAACAATTTATTTTCTTTAAAAAGTTTAAACTCAGTATTAAAAAAAAGACTTAGAACAAAAGCAGCGGGAATTTTATTGTTTGCTATCCAGCTTTGTCTGGACTTTTCCCTTTACAAGTCAACCAACTCAAACCAGACGAATAACATTCCCGTGGTTCTACAGAGTTTCCCAATTAGAATTTAAGGCAAATTGGTCCAGAGGATCAGAGGTTCAGTTTTTAAATCAAAAAGATTCAGTTTGCCATTTTTATACCTAACAATTTTTGGAAAAAATTGTCAAAGAGGGGGGAAAAGTAATTTTATGGAAAAGATATACCCCTTAAGTGGTAAATATGTACCTGTAGGATACACCCCTTGAGTGGTAAAAATGTACCTGTAAGATACACCCCTTGAGTGGTAAAAATGTACCTGTAAGATACACCCCTTGAGTGGTAAAAATGTACCTGTAAGATACACCCCTTGAGTGGTAAATATGTACCTGTATATTACACCCCTTGAGTGGTAAAAATGTAAGATACACCCCTTGAGTGGTAAAAATGTACCTGTAAGATAGACCCCTTGAGTGGGAAATATGTACCTGTAAGATACACCCCTTGAGTGGTAAATATGTACCTGTATATTACACCCCTTGAGTGGTAAATATGTACCTGTATATTACACCCCTTGAGTGGTAATTATGTACCTGTAAGACACATATCATAGCTGGAGATGAACTGCTTCCACTGTTGGTTGCCGAGCTCCTTGGGTCCCTTCAAGGAGACAGTCTCCTTCTCATCCACACTCTTCCAAACCCAACCATCCACTTCATCACTGAATATAGGAAAAAAATCACGTATCCTTTACAGAAATGTAAATTAGGAAAAACATTTTCTGGAAAAATTAATTTCCCTCTTCTTCATATTCAGAAGATTTTTCACGGTAGTTAACTTGTATTTTAACGACTTTTGACCAACAATACCGACCTATAATTCCCCTAACAGAGGGACGTTAAGTTACTTTTTGTCCCTATTCATTCATTCTTATATCATCTTAAATTCTTGGTTACTTTATATTCATTCACTTGGGACAATTAAGTAAAATAACCACCCGCCGCGTTCTGCAAAGTTTTTGTGAAAAAAGTGGTCCATTTTCATCAAAAAAAATCGTATTTCTTGTAACTGCAAATTAAGTAGACAATCTTTGTTTTGTGTTGTTTAATATCCAATTGTATACATTTTCAAACAGGGTTGTAAATATTTCCATCTCTTGAAATATAATAAACTCTTATTTAGAGAAGAATTATCCCTTTAACGAAGACGATATAATAAACACTCATAAAAACTATTTTAACTATTTTCATTGATTGAGTTGATTTAAGTATCATTAAATTCCGTGCACTAGTAACATTCCTTAACAACCCGATTTGACCCAGTAACTACAAGTTTATCAGAACTGAATGACTAGGGCCATAAATAATGATGAGGATCGAAATGATAAAAGAAAACTATCAAAAATTATAAAATTTTTTACTTAACGCTTAGCACAACGTTTTCCAATTTAATTAGCTATTTAGAGCGCAGCAGGTTTTATAAATATTTAATGCAAAACTTTTCTATTTCAGTATTTCACCATGAATTCTTTTCAGACGTTCTAGGGGTGAATACTGAATACTAATCAGACGTTCTAGGGCTGAATACTTTTCAGACGTTCTAGGGGTGAATACTGAATACTAATAAGACGTTCTAGGGGTGAACACTTTTCAGACGTTCTAGGGGTGAATACTGAATACTAATAAGACGTTCTAGGGGTGAATACTGAATACTAATCAGACGTTCTAGGGGTGAATACTGAATACTAATCAGACGTTCTAGGGGTGAATACTAATCAGACGTTCTAGGGGTGAATACTTTTCAGACGTTCTAGGGGTGAACACTTTTCAGACGTTCTAGGGGTGAATACTTTTCAGACGTTCTAGGGGTGAACACTAATCAGACGTTCTAGGGGTGAATACTATTCAGACGTTCTAGGGGTGAACACTTTTCAGACGTTCTAGGGGTGAATACTTTTCAGACGTTCTAGGGGTGAATACTAATCAGACGTTCTAGGGGTGAATACTAATCAGACGTTCTAGGGGTGAATACTAATCAGACGTTCTAGGGGTGAATACTAATCAGACGTTCTAGGGTTGAATACTTTTCAGACGTTCTAGGGGTGAATGCTTTCCTGAATTTTAACATAGAAGAGAAGAAAATGTAAAAACCAACATATATTTAAGGAAACTTGACGTTCTAAAACATGTCAATTACTGGGACATTGTATTCATTAGATATTATCACAATTATTTTGTTGATGCATAATACAATTATCAAAACTGTAATAATAATGTGATTTATCAGCAAAAAATAATCCAGAAATTCAATAAAATGATCGATGTTAATATACTAGTGGTTTATTAAAAACAAATAAGAAATATTGCTTTTTAACTGGTTTTAAATCCCCAAATTATACCCCTCCCCCCCTCTTTCCTGAATTATTTAGACAAGTAATAACCTCAGGGTATATATTTACTTAGAAACTAATAACCCCCCTGGTCCCCTTTCTAAAATATCTTATTTTCCTCAGTATACTGAGGATTTTTTCCCGAGTTGAGGAAAACAAATGTTTTTTTTAGGGGAAAAAATAATATTTGGTTAGAAAGTGGAAATAATTTTCCTGTCTAATCTCCTCCGCCACTCCCTTGAATCTTTAAAAATTATTTCCTTCAAAATATTTACCCCTGACTAACCTAGTAAGGATAAGAGTCGTCGAGTTTCTTGAGAATCTGAGCTGTTTAGCTACATGACAAGCTGTCAAAGGATTATCTCCAGTAATCATCATAACCTACAATCAATCACAATATAAATACAATCAACAACAGAATGTTCATGATTTTTGGGGTTGATCAGTTTTATTTAATGGTTAAATAAAGTTATTTTCAAGAAGTTTTTGGGTTAATCAGTTAAAATGTTAAGAGAAAAACAGGGGTCTGTCAGATACAGCAAATTAGCATTCTTACGAATTTTTGGAGAACCCTACTCATAGTTTTCTCAAATACCTATGAACTGATCCTTGAAATCTCTTTCATTTAAAATTTTAACCAATTGAACGCATTTGGCATCCAAGAAATTTAGAGCTTACATTTTTGTATAACACAAATATGGATGTTAGCGGCTTGAACCTGTACTTAAACCTCTTTAACATTAAACACAAAAAAAAAAAAAATATCCCCCCCCCCCTTTCCATACTACTTCACTGACCTGATGTGAGGACCCGACCAACTCCTTGATCACGGACTTGGAGTCAGGTTTCATCGGACAGGAGATTATCACAAACCCAGCAAATATCGCCTTCTGCTCTACACCTTCTCTTGTCAGTTCCTAGAATATATCAATTAATTTATCAACTGTCCAGTCTGGTTACATTGGTTACATAAAGAGACTCTTCACTCTTGATCCACGTAATTTTAATTTAATCTAAGCAATCACGATGAAAGATATTTTCGTTTTCCTATCTGAAAATTGTTATTTTTTAATTGCGGTTTTTGTGGAGATTTACTGTAGAGAGGGGATAAAATTGTCAGAATTTAACACATTTCACACTAAAACCTGGCAATATCTTCCTCACGGGTGCTCACTGGAATAGGTAGATGAGTAAAAGGTACCATTGTGAATTGGGCATGGAACTCTTAAATTGGGAGGTCACTTGACAGTCCATGTTAGCCATCANGATAATATTAGATTAAAAAGAATATTCTTATCAACTGGTTAGAAAATTAACTAATCTATTAGTCAACCCATCTTTAAAAGTTGATTAAATAAATCACTGTTTACTTTTAACAAATCATTTTGTCATTTTGTCATTAGCTGACATTTTAAATACAAATTAACTAATAAATCTATTAATATTACTTATATAATCAATTAACTAAAACAAAACAATTTTGAACCCAAATTATTCCATCAAATCAATCAATCAATTAAATGAATCTAACCTTAATATCCTGATGAGTGAGCCTGCCTAGATCCCTCCAACCTAGAGCTAGAACCCTGGCTCCCCTCCTTGATAAAGCCAAGTAGTTCTTGTCGTAGTCGGCCGGTACATCGATAAACATACCCTTCAAGGTTTCAGGAGCACCCTACATAAATATTTGACTCACCCCTTTTCTCGAGACTAACCTAAAATTTTACTGTAACTTTTTTCCAACAGATACAAAACTAATTTTTTGGTTAAATTCTCTGAGGAAGAAAGGATTTTAAAATTTGTAGAATGNAATTTAATTGAACGATATTAAAAAAATAGTTTGGCTTGACTTTGTTTAAGATGGTACGTTTATGGCATGCTTTCTCATTACTCAATGCTCATGGGTCGAATTATCCTCTCCCACTAATAGAGGAATTCGGAATTTAACTCCCCCATAATAATTTCTTTAAGCTTTATTTCACAAAATCACTGACCTTGATTGTAGCAATATAATTAGTGTCCGAGGTTGCAGGAACAGTATAACCACAAACCACGCTCATGCGCTTGAGCGCGGATGAAAAATGAAAACGCTGGAAGATCTTCAGTCCTCCATATTTTCCTTTGCGAGGTATAACAGCCTCACCCTGAAATATTTGTAGGTTAGGTTTACATAAGTATTTTCAATTTATTTTATTATTAATAACAGTCCAGACGGTTTGGTTCAAATTTTTATATTTGTTTCAAAGTGTTTCAGGTGTTTCAAATTGTTTTAAAGTGTATAGTTCAAAGTGTTTTAAAGTGTGTTTAGGAGTTTTAAAGTGTGTTGAGTTTTAAAGTGTGCTTAAAAGTTTTTTAAATTAATCTGAAGTGTTTAAAGTAATTTAAATGTTTCAAAGTTTTTCAAAGTGTTTAAGTGTTTCTACAATTTAATTTTTACTTTTTCTTGGTTTAAAATTATTATTTATTCAGTTTCAATTGTTCAGTCAACTGTTTGGGGTTATTTGTTCTTAACCTTAGTTAGAGACCAATCTACAGCCGCCAGGGTAGCTTTCTCAAGAGGATCTCCTACTAGTCCATCATCTAGCTGAACTAAACTGTGACAACTCGCCAAAACCTAAATAAATCATTCAAAAATTATTTCAATTCAAATTCTACATTTGAACCAAATATAATTTCATAATATCCTTCTTAAATCTCAAGAAATCTGTTAGAGTAAACGTCAATACAAAAAAAAAATACTGACAACAAATAATTTTGTATTATTTCTTAGAATCTTTAACGTACACAGTGCTGTCTAGAGCTAGACTGCACAATCATACATATTTACAATATACAATGGACATTGGACATTACATATAGTAGGGAACTATGGTCGAAACATCCTGTCATCAAGTCAGTGTTCAGAGAGGGAGGGAACCCCCGGACGCCATGAGCCTCCACTATGCAGACACGAGCCTCCCAGATTTGCTAGGCAGATCGAGCCTCAACTAAGAAGACCAAGCCTCCGCTATGCAGACCGTGCCTCTGCTATGCAGACCGTGCCTCTGCTACGCAGTAAAAGAGCCTCTACTCTTCAGCACAGCTTTTTTTAAATCTTGGTTTTTTATGTGTATAAAATATTAACAATTTTTTTGACGTAGTGGCATAAGAATACTTCTGTATAGAGGAGGCTCGTTTTGCATGGCGAAGGCTATTTACTGCATAGCGGAGGCTCGGTCTGCCTAGCAAATCTGGGAGGCTCGCGTCTGCAGGGTTGGACGCTCATGGCGTCCGGGGGTTCCCTCCCTCGTTCAGAATAGTGTACACAACTACACATGTTCATGTGTACAACTGTTGTACAACTGTACATGTGATGAATATTAATCTGTACAAACCTGAATACTCTGAAGAGGAGCTTTGTCTACTGGGATAACTCCGTACTTAGATTCTATCTATAATTTAAAAAATATTTAAGGACATTTTAATCAAGAAAAATATGTTTGGGGTGATTCTGATCGGAGAAACCCTATTTTGAAGAAATCCTGAAAAGATTAACATACTTGAGGCGGAGGGATCCTGTTTATAACAAATTTTTTAAAAAAATTATTTTTTGCCAAAAATGTACTGTTAAGTTTTCAGCAAAACAATCAGATGAATAACAATGATTCCTGAAGCCATTCCTTATCTTTTGGTGTGTGTTATTTTGATCTTTGGGATTTGTTTCATACAGTCTTTAAAAACTAAGATTAAGACAAAAGTAAAAAATAAAGAAAATATAATTTTGTGTGAAAAATCTGGATTTTGCTTGACCTTCTCCTGTGGACCAGTGCCTGGTTCCTGCGGTAGTCCTGCAATACCCTCGACCACCAGGTCGTCACTAGTCAAAGTTCCAGTCTTGTCAAAACAAAGAATTTCAACCTTTCCGGCAAATGGGATCCTGAAATAATATCAACATTGTTGGTCGAAAATTCTTCAGCTCCGGTTTTTCTTCATTTGCTCAAACTATCTTTATGTTAAAGTAAAAATAAAATAAATTTTTTTTATCAAAAACTAGTTTCAGCATTTTCAATCCTCAACCCTTAATCTTTAAATACAATTTTAACCCCCAATTTTGCTGTTGTAAAAATCAACTCAAACTTTCGTAAAATATAATGTTTAGTCCTTACATTCATTTCAAAACTTTTCTATTTTACAGAAATGTAAAATCCAAGTAATTATTTAAGTAAACCAAACTTTTAAGTAAGATAGAGGTAAACTACATAAACTTAGCCAATAATCTTTTGAATATGGGAGTTCAACTCTTAAATATAACAACAAATATTTTCAATTAATGGTTAATTCACAGAGAGATGGTGGAAATAAATTATGATTGGTAGATCCGTTAAAACCTAAGATCCTAAAAAAATGCTTTAAAAATCTAAACCTGAATGGTTCTGTACAGTAGACTTTAAGTTTAGAAAGAGAGAGAAGGCTAGTATTGACTGCAAGGCTGAGCTCTATAGGTAGTTCAGGAGGTACTACACTAGTCAGGATCAGTGTACACTCAAGGAACAACTTGTAACGATTCCTAAACACAAGATACATATTAACGTTAAATCAATTTTTTTTTTATATTTGAACCACGTAGCAGGGCTGGGTGTATATTTTCTCGAAAAATATTATTCTTTCCTTTCCCCCCCTTTTGTGTAAAGGGGAAAATTTCTGGGGAAAAAGTATCAATACGTATGAAAAAAGTTGCCTTTTGTTGACCAATTTTTCATTTCACCGAAAATCATCCCCCCCCCCGGTGTATTTTTGAAAAATATACATCCCTGCCACGTAGACATAGTTAAACCACATCTTTTGCGCTCTCATTTAAGTTGCCCAATTTTAAATTTTTCCCACGCTTCATCAAAAATCAAGTCAGAGGGGGGTGTAATTTTGACATAGACATAGTTAGACCACATCTTTTGTGTGCGTATATAAGTTGAAGAGAAGTGGTTCAACTAAATCTATCCGGGTCAACTACTTCCAGTTATTCATTAAATCTGGGCCCCGATTACTATGCTTTTTGTTCACCTGGTTGGGTCCATTGTGCCGTAGATCCAGACATAGCTGGCAGCTGCGATGGCGAAGATGAGAAGGAAGAGGATGAAGAAGAAGGTTTCAAGGTTGTTAGCCGTCACCCGCTTCACTCCGAACAGGATTGTCCGGAGAAGTTTACCCTTTACAAGAGAATATTAGATAAGTGAGCAAAACCATACGTGGAAATCATATCAAAACCATTATAGTGTAAGAACTACACATCATATTTTTTGTTAGTTTTATATGTCATTTTTTGGATGTGTATAAATAAACAATTTTTAAAACTTATCAAAATTGTAAGTAGAATATTTTCTTTTTTTGGCATTAGACTTAGAGAAAATTCAATACAGGTAACTTAATGATATGATAAAAATTTGACAGGGTCCAAGAAGACGAAGGCAAGCGCGTATTAAGGGGGGGGAGGTTATAACCTCAAACTTAAATTAAACCAACAAAAAGTTCTTCGCTTCCCAAGAATGCCTCAAAGCATTTGGCGCAATTTTTGGCCCTATCTAGATTAAAATCCTGTATATGCCCTTGAGAGATGACATGACATGCCGTGTTGGTTAATTACCTGTTGTGTATTGAACCCTGTCTGAAGAACATATCCAACACATCCTCCATCTCCAGCTCGTAGTCCTGCAGCTGTCTTACTCGGAGGAGTATGCTGAACTATTCTGTAGATACAGATACTTGACTTGTGTCAAAGCGAAATATTTCTAAAATTTTGAAATTATAAAATTAAATTAGAAGAGGTTCATTTAGGACTGTCATTTTGTATATAAACATATGTTATTTTTAGGGTTTTTATCCACTATGTTACATTAAACCAGATAATATTAGATTTAAAAAAATATTCTTATCAACATTAAACCAAAATACTAATTATCCGGAGTTTAGGGTTTGTATCCAGTATGTTACATTAAACCAGATAATATTAGATTAAAAAGAATATTCTTATCAACATTAAATCCAAAATACTAATTATCCGGAGTTTAAATGCCAGTTTCATATGTTTTGGAAAACTGAGCAATTTTTTGTATCAAATTCCGTAGAAATATAAAAATTTACCAATAACATAATAAAACAAGATACAATTGTCCTCAACTATCAATTATAAAATAAACATGATAAGCTAATTTTTATTTGAGGAATAAAGCATGTATCCCTGGTTCCAGCAAATAGAACATGTAATCTTGAATCCTGGTCCAGGTCTAGACATCTACCCTCGTCCCAGGAACTATTCTCCAGGGACTCCTTTACACACAGAGATATACATCACTTGTGATTATTTTAGAACCTTGTTTAAAAGAACTGTCGACGTAATTTAAAGAGACCCACATACATATCATCCGATTCACAACTTTATAGACTTTCATCTGAGCAAAAATAATGTAGATAATCCTATTTACTTTGAAGATCAGTTTATCTAAACTTGGCTTGTGGATTTCTTCAAAGAAAACTGAGAGACTTAAATCTCTTCACAAATCAAATCAAATCAAATCATGAATGTTAGGGAGAGCTTTAGGCTCCACTCTACAGCTTGGAGTTTCAAGTCCTGACTGAGAGGTGGGTTTTCAGCCCGGATTTGTTTTATGTATAATCGTTAATTAATCGAGTGTTTAAATTAATCGGAATGATCCCAGCAACACGACCAAAATTGTAAAAATTGTTACTCAGCTTGGGTAAACCTTTAAAAGACACCGCTGTGAATAGAGAACGCAATTTTTAATATGCAGGGTCTCTTAAAACAATGTTGACAGTCTCTTACTGGTCAGGTATTGTAAAATCAAAAGCCATTCACAAACAAGAGTGTTAATTCTGACTGTTAAAAATTATTTCTAAAATAATGAGACCTTAAACCTCCCCAAATGTCATATGTCGGAATTTAAGTCCTTTAAGTTCGTTTTTGTAGATTTTTTGAATTTCAAAAAGATTCCAAAAAATCTAAGTCTTATAAATTTTAGAAGCGTTAATTCTGAACATTTTTAGAGAAGTATATGCAAAAAAACGAATCAAAAGATTGATTTTTTAGTTAGTTTTTCCTTTATATTTTCTCTTGGGATACAAACACTGCAAAGTTTATCAAAATCAAACTCTAAAGAGTACAGTTTCAAAATGTTGGAAGTTTTTATTACAAGTTTTTAAACAAACGAAGCAAAACAATGAGTAATGATTCATTAAAACTGCGGGAAAATTATCTTTTACCTTCATCTGAGGAATACTCTCCCCTGTGAGCATACTCTCGTCTACTATACAAGGACCCCGGAGTAGAAGTATATCACATGGAACCAGGTTATCATTCAAACATCTACTGATGGAGATAATGTCGCCAGGAATCAGTTGATCGGTTGGCAAGGGTCTCCATCTTCGTCCACGATATACCTTGAAGAAAACATTTAAAGATATCAAATCAATCAATCAAATGTGCATCAACACCACCCAAGTTTGGGAAACAAAGACCAAGAACTGACGACAGTTCGTGAGACAGTAGCTGGGTATAATTTTTTATCTGTTGAAATAAAAGATGTAGGAGGATTGCTTGGTTTTAGAATCATAACGATGACACATTTGTTATGTGAACCACTAGTTCAAAATTAAGGAAGGTTTTGAATCAGTAATTAAATTTTGAACCGGCAGAAGTTCAGCGACTCCGCAAATTCATTAAATTCGGTTCCTAGTAAAATAAAATTAGTTTAAGAAATTATTATCAAAAATGTACCTGGATCATGTAAGGCTTGTTTCCCATCTTCCTGATCTCCGACATATTTCTGATCTGTTGCTGGACAAGGGTGCACTCAAACATTACCAGCATCATCAGGGTGAACACAGAGTAGTACCAGTACTCATCCAGGCACCATAATCCAACACAGAAGATCTGGAAATAATAAAAACTATACTTATTAATTTCAATAACAATAAAGGAAAGTGGGTCAACTACCAGGATATTTTACCCATGCAACTGCAAGATATACAAAGCACTATAAATTAATCAGAGCTTAAATTATATAATTTTATCAACTTGATTTTAAGAATTTTCAGCCTTTTATTTGAACATCAGAACAAACCTGGAATACGAAGAATGGTGCGGTTGCCCTCTCAAGAAACAGTTCCTTAAACTCTGGAACTGCCATCTCTACCTCGTTATTCCCATAAAACATTGTCTTATCATGCACCTCTTCCTCCATCCACCCCTTGCACTCACTGTACGTCTTTAGCTCCATGTCCACTGGAAACTGGATGGTTCGGAATATCTTCTTCTCTGTGTCAAACACGTATTTAATTTTCTGGAAGGAGAACCATAATTGATGTGGTCCTGTTCTAGCCAATCTGACAAGCTCAGAGAACCCGTGATTTTCAAGCGGAGTAACCTGGAGAAATACATTAAGAAGCTTTCAAGGAAAAACTGATTGAGAAAAACTTAAAGTGAGTTGTTGGAATATATTGACTAGGTTGAATGAGAGAAAAGTTAAACTACGGAACTACATCAGGAAAAATACAAGAGATAGGAGTGAAATATAAGAAAAGTAATTGTGTACGGACAGAAAAAAAAACAATAATTAGAAAACACAATATAAAAAGAGAAAATTTTGAAAGAACAACTGCAAGAAAATGGGGAAAAAATAACTGAATACTACATGTTGATAGGCTTTGAGGCACATATTGTAAAGAGCGAAAGTTTTTTTAACAAAGAGTCGAATTGTAAAATTATCAAAAAAATCTTACTTTAGCATATGTAGCATCTTGTTTGCTAGTGACAGGTACACTGGAGCACATCATGACAGCTTGTATACTTACAGACCAATAACAACTCAACAAAACTTAAAAGAAAGATAATTTATAAATTTATTCATTAACAAAGGTTTATTTAAAAAAATTTACAAAAAAAAATAAAAACCTTTCATTTTAATCATTAGAAAAAATATTCTAATTAGGTCTTAACTGCAAAATACAATTTTGGGATCAATACCTACAATGTGTTTTATTTACACGTTTTCACGTACTAGAATAAATGCTTACCTAATACATGAATAAGAAGAAGGACTACTCCGCAGACTGTACCGATCTCAACGTACTCATTGTACCCGTACACAACCAACCAATTGTACAACCAAGCTATGTACAAGAAGAAAAAAGGTGTGGTAAACCCGTAAAGGTACGGGGCTCTTTTCCTGAAATAAAAAATACTTTGTAGGCCTACTTTAAAGAATTAATCAATCATAGTCTATGTCTTATATTACTTTAAATAAAAAATCCTCTGTCACCTACAAAGTAAACGACATTGATTGATCATGTACATTGTGTATAATTTAAATTTTCCAAAACATTTGTTCGATTCTGTTTTTAATTAAATGCTTACACTCAAATGTACTCTACGAGGCTTTTATGGCGTCCATCTTCTATTTTAACTTTTTATTGGGGCTCTTTCTCTTTGAAAATTCATAGAACAAAAACAAAAAAAGCTTTACAGATTTGATATTATTTTTCGTGGATTTTCAAAATTTTACTTTTTAAAATACCATAAACCTTCCCTTGGGTCCTGTGACTTACAATGTTCATAACAAATTTCTATTTATTTTACAAGACAACTATAGCAACTACTCAATACTTACTTATATAACGATACACTTGAAACAAGATCATCATTTGGATCCGCCAAATTCATTTTCTGAAAATTTATAATAATATAAGTACCTAATATTTAAATATTAATATAAATATAGAAATTTTTACATTATAGCATAAAACCATTATGCGTAGACATACAACACATTAAAAGCATTTAATTATTAAAATATTATGACAATTTCTGTTCTGTACTATTTAGTATTTACATTTATCTGAGAGTATCTAAATAATTTACCAACATCAAATTTGTAAAAAGGCAAATTGATTTAAATTTAAAGCTGTTTCCGAATATTTACAATGATGCCATGTACAATGAACATTGTATTGTACAATGTACAGGTTCACGCATATTTTAAAATTTAAACCTGGGTAATAAAAGTTTTCTTGGGCACAATTTCATTCAACATAAAGGAGAGAAAAAAAATCTACAAATAATTTTCTTAATGGTTGAACAATTTTGTTAACCAATCACAATTTTCATAGTAAAATGCAAAGGATTATGCAATAGAGGTGCGTCAAATCTAGAATTTTTCTGGTAAATAAACATCTATTTAAACCAATAGGGCAAAATTTCCAAAATCGATAACTTTCTTGGGAAATACTAATATTAAGAAGGATGAGCTGGCGGGGGATTGAAAACGTACAACATAAAATAATATAGAAACTATAAAATGACAATGATAACTATCAAACAACCTAAATAAGCTTTTTGAAAGCGCATTAGTGGCAGGTGGCAACCATACAACTAAGTAATAAATAATATTTAAAAACTAAAATCCCCACATTCAGAACTCTTAATTTCCGCAGTTAGAAGAAAATATACGGAAGGAACTAAAACAGCACCGCCGAGCTAAATAAAGAACTGGGCCATAAAATTTGCAACTCCAAACACAATAATAAGAATGTGGATGATAAGAGAAGTCCATGACACAGGTCCAGACCGCTTACAACTGGCTAGATGAACAAGAACGGGTAGAGTGAATATCAAGGTCATCCCACAAGCAGCACCACTAAACCTGAAGAATAGTAAGATTTAGAAATTATTTCACATTCTAAATTTTCATTCAACCAGTCAACCAGTCAACCAGTTGTTCAATTGTTCAATTTTTTAATTGTTCAATTGTTCAATTGTTCAATTGTTCAATTTTCAATTGTTCAATTGTTCAATTGTTCAATTGTTCAATTATTCAATTGTTAATTGTTCAATTGTTCAATTGTTCAATTGTTCAATTATTCAATTGTTCATTGTTAAATTACTCAATTGTTCAATTATTCAATCCTTTAATCATTCAATCCTTTAATCATTCAATCCTTTAATCATTCAATCATTCAATCATTTATTAGTTCAATAATTTAATTGTTACAATTTTGCTCAATTATTCAATCAATCGTTCAATCATACATCCATTTGCTCGATCAATCAATCAACTTAATCTTTAATCCATGATATACCTGATAATAGTTCCTATCTTAGGCATGAAGATTGCAAACATCACACAGACTGCGATAACAGCAGTATTGAGTAGAAGAACATACTTTAGACCAGGCCATACATTACGGAATATCGGATACAGGACGGAAACTCTACAGAATACAAACAAAAAATATTAAATCTTTTCAGGAAAAATTCCATCCAAAACATTTTTTAGAAGCCATCCTTCAGGTATTGGTCTAGTTACCCTCCAATTTAAAAGTGCCAATTAAAATTCACAACAAAAGGTAATCAAAAATATATTAGGGAAAAATGCAAGTTTAACATTTACATAATAAACCCCAATAAGAAACTAACCTGAGAAGATACATTATAAGTGGAAACACTGTAGTCATTTGGAAGAAGAGAAATATTTTGGCAGCAACAGTTAAGCCATCATGTTTTAAGAAGTTATTCAGTAGATTATCCTCTATACAATTCTAAACAGTTAAACCATCATTCTTCCAGTGCTTAGGATCCGAATACGTTGGATCCGCAAGATTTTGGCTTCCTGGATCCGGATCCGTATCCGCAAAAATATGCGGATCCACGGATCCGGATCCAAGGGGTAAAATATCAACCAAAAACTGCAAAAAAAAAACTTTTTTAATCCTAAACTCAAATCTGAACTTTTGAAAAAAGAGATTTTAAAAATTTTCTCATTTCTGAATGGTTTATCAAGTTTTAGGATAAAAATAAGCGAAAAAAATTAAAACAAAAAATTTGAAAATTATTTTTTGTTAAAAAAATTCAGGAAATCTTAAAGAAATGACCTGGATCTGGATCCGGATCCGGATCCATTTTTTATCCAGTGTGGATCCAGGATCTGGATCAGCATCAAATGGATCCTAAGCACTGCATTCTTCATACTGCAGGGGCCATAATTCTTTATTTCTCAGGAAAAATTAGGATAAATCAAGATCTAGTTTAGCCTAATCTTGATGCTCAAAGTGAAACACTTAAAACATTTTATCAAGTTAGAATTAAATCTATTTAAGTTATATAATTATACTGTATATTCATTCTGACCTTTGGTAGTGGAAATGAGAGATAGAAGGCAGCTCCAATCGCCATATAGGTTGCAGTAACAAGAAAATATGCTATGGACATATCCCTGCCATTGTGCTCCTGCACCCTGTTGTTGGACATGATGGTGATAATGGCGTTGTGTATGAAGAGGCCGAGGGCAAGGATACCCGAGAGGCTGGGGAAAGAGGATCTGAAGAGAGGTATGAACTCAGGACTTGAGACGTCACTGAATTCAGCGTGAATCCCCCACTCATAGCATCTAGATTAGAACCATTATAATTTATAAGAAAACATAAAATGAAAATATAATCTCAAATTGGAGAAGCAAATCAATGCATAAGATTATAAAAATTCAGATGATTATTATGTGAATTATGTCAAAGAAAGCAAGTTCACAACATTTTCGTGGATTTGATTGATTTAATCTATAAAAATAATACATTTTAATCAATAAAATTATTCTATCTAATCTTTATGAGCTACGAAGTCAGAAAAAATTCAAGAATATTAGCATTTATCTTAAATAAGAAAAAATGGTGCTAGAGACCAGAGAAGTGAGAGAAAATGTGAAAACATGTAGAAAATAAATGAAAAAGATGGAAAACTATGAATAAAACTAAACTCCAACCTGTAGAGCACTGAGCAGAGAATAAAGAGAATAGAAACTGTTCCAAGGGAATTGAACTTGGTAAAAAACGTGGCAGATCTATGCGAGAATAATTATCTATCTATCTAAAGAACAGGAGGAATATTTAAAGGGACTTCAGATGTAAATTGAAGCCGATTTAAGGAGTGGCGTGTATAACTTACAAGGGTAACCTCTAAAACCTTTATCTGAGAAAGTTATCGCCACTTTTCTGTCTTGATGACAATTTCCATCATTGTCCTTGCAGCAGAAATCCGCATAACAATTGAAAATGATCAATATTCAGATAGATAACTAACTCAGACAAAGGTTTGAAGGGTACCGTTGAGAAACGACATGCCACTATTTTAAATTAAGCCAGGAGTTTCTTCAAGAATAAGAATACAGATAAGATAGATAGTTTCCTTAGGTTTACAAGAGGGAAGAGGAATAGAATAAGAAAGAGTGGAACAGTTGTAAATTGTCCCCAGATATCTTCCATAGGTATAGTCCATCCTAAAACATTTAAGTCTTGGTTCATTAATTCTTTCGTCTGTTTGACTTTGATTTTGTTTGTTTGTTTATTTTCTTTGTTAATCTTTCCATTTCATTATTCCATTATTCATTTCTTCATTTCTTTATTCCATTATTCATTTCTTCATTTGTTTTATTTGTTCTATTTGTTCTATTTGTTCTATTTGTTCTATTTGTTCTATTTGTTCTATCTGTTCTATCTGTTCTATCTGTTCTATCTGTTCTATCTGTTCTATCTGTTTAATCTGTTCTATCTGTTCTATCTCTTCTATCTCTTCTATCTCTTCTATCTGTTCTATCTGTTCTATCTGTTCTATCTGTTCTACCTGTTCTACCTGTTCTACCTGTTCTATCTGTTCTATCTGTTCTATCTGTTCTATTTCTTCTATCTGTTCTATCTGTTCTATTTCTTCTATTTCTATTTGGATACGTTGTTCTATCTGTTCTATCTGTTCTATCTGTTCTATCTGTTCTATCTGTTCTATCTGTTCTATCTGTTCTATTTCTTCTATTTCTATTTGGATACGTTGTTTCGACGGTCAGGAGCGCCGACCCCTATTTCATTGAATGATGGGTTGTCCTTTAATAATAATAATAATCTGTTCTCTTTGTTCTATCTGTTCTAACTGTTCTCTTTCTTCTATCTGTGCTTTCTGTTCTATCTGTTCTATCTGTTCTATCTGTTCTATCTGTTCTATCTGTTCTATTTCTTCTATTTCTTCTATTTCTTCTATTTCTTCTATTTCTTCTTACTTACTTGTATACTTTTTGTTCTATTTGTTCTATTTGTTTACTTCTTCATTTGTTCATTTGTTTAATTTTTTCATTTGTTCTAGTTGTTTATTTGTTTATTTGTTTATTTGTTTATTTGTTTATTTGTTTATTTGTTTATTTGTTTATTTGTTTATTTGTTTCGTTGATCATTTCTATAATCGTTAATTAATTCTGAATTCCTTTTTAAATGTTTGTTATTTTTTCTTTTTTATGTTAATTTGTTTCTACCTGAAGCTTCTAATAGACCAATATTAGGATTGTTTTCTGTGACATTGGAAGGACAGTAAACCCCTTTAAATATCATTGTCTAGTAATTAACATAATGTTTTACTTCAGTGCAAAATAATAAAGGCTTGAACTATTAGTTTTAAACTTAGTTGTTTTGCATTTAGCAAACATTTAATACATGCATGAAGTAAATTTTGAGAAGAAAACACAAACAATACAGTGAATAACTTTTAACTTTAGAATTTCAAATTTTAAACAAGATTACCAGACATAGTTTGAAGTTAAACCTTTTATTAATTCAATTCTCATTTTCCTCTTTTCTTTGTCCATTTTAGCATAAAATAAGAAAGGTTGGGACACCCCTCCACCCCCCATCTTCTATACCTGTATCTGTGATATTAACTCCAGTTGCTACATCATGTATGTACTCAACAGTGTTGAACAAAAAGTTGGACATCAACACCCAGTAAACTGAAGAAAAATCAAAATTTGAAGATTTGAAAATAAAAAATTCAAATTTTACAATTTTACTTTTTGGTATATTGTTTTCAAATAAACTATAAAAATCAGAAATTTTTATTTTTGTTATTTAAAAATGTTAATATTTGACGAGCAGATAGATAAAATTGTACAACTAAAATGCTACCTATTGCAGCCCCCAGCACTGCAAGTACAGAGAAAATAGTGGCAAGAATCTCTGCCCATTTTCCTGAAATAGATTAATATAATAATATCTGTATGAACAGATTAACAAGTTTTTCAGAAATTATTGTAATATCAATCAGCTATCTAATAGTAACCCTACCCGAAATAATAATATAAAAACTTAGAAAATGATCATCTAAAGTGAGATTTACTTTTGATTTGGTTTTTAAAACTTTTTTCTTGATCTTTTAAATATTTCCTAACTTGATTTTACCTAACATAAGTCCACACAGATCACTAAACTCGGATATTTTTACAGTTCTACTTTGCACAGAATACACCTATAAAAAGATTTTTTTGCGCTCAAACTCAGGATTTAAAAAGTTTAATATGTCTCAAATGAATCCGAAAGAAGTTTTCCACAACACTGCATACTCAGTTCAACTACCTTACATAGCCGGTCACTCCCTTTAACATATAATAACCAGCCACATGTTCACCTTGTGTTATCATTCGGGACAATGTGTTGTTGATATGTATTCATTTCAATCTTTTCATTTTATGCTGCGATTAAATTTCTTGTTACGTCAATAATTGAAATGATTTTTCTAAATGTACAAGAACAAAATTATTAAAACATCAATCTAAGCAAAACAAAATCGTAGCAAAAAAATTGTTAATAAACATTCAGTAGCTAAATAGATACATAAATAGATATTCAAAACTTTAACAAATTATAGACAAATGAACTGAATACTTTCCACAAACTCTCATCTTCTAATCCCTATTACTTTGCACTCTGATGGCGTAACCTTTGATATTTCAAACTTTGGCTATGTAACTTATGGTTTGAAATATTAAAGGTCCACGACATAAAGTTAAAAAGATATATAGACTAGAAAATTTAAGTTTATAGCAAATGTTTATTTGTTTCCCTATGAATGTTGTACCTGGAGTATTCTGTATGCAGTATAAAGACACAGTCCTGATATTATTAGCATCATAAACAACCCCATCACTAATCCAGCCTAGATATATAAGAAACTGAAACATGATTTTTCAAATGTTTTTGATAAAAATCAACAAGAACTTAATGTTGCAAATGCAAAGTTCCTGCAAAAAAAATAAAAAGAAGGTTTTGTGCAAAGACTAAAATTAAAAATGAAAAAAATATTATAAGCAAATTATTTTGATGATCGTGATAAGGATGAGGTTGAAGAATGTAAATATTTATTTGATAAATACGAAGTTGAAAATTTAATTGATATTGAACAGGAAGATGAGGGCGCAACTGCTGCTACAAATGATGTTTTAAATTCTGTAAATGATTATGAATATTAATTATGATTTAAGAATGTGAATGCTGTTTATGATAAACATGAAGTAGAAACTGAAAATCATGTCGATGATATAAACAATGATGGCGGACATGTTACTAATGATGAAGGAAATTCTAAAACTGATTTTGCGCATGATAATGATTTCAGAATGTGAATGCTATTGATGATAAACATTAAGTTAAGAAAAGCATTTATATTGATGATGAACACAACGATGATGACAGAAATGCTACTAATGATGATAAATATGAATATCATAATCGAAGTTTAAAATTTTTTTGCAAATGATAAAGATTCTGCTGTACTAAACATAAAATTGCAAATTATATTGAGGTAGATAGTTATGGTTAAACAAAAAAAGGACGACGATCAATGATTATATAAGTGATCATGCAAATACTGTAAATGATAATGATGATGAATCACTTGATTACCTGCTGCAAGGCCCAGGGCATACTAAGCAAGGATGTTCCCATCATTGTGTTCCAGATAGAGAAAATAGTTACTAACAACAGACACAGTTTACAAAAATATAATAGACTAGTTTGGGAACCCAGTTTTGCCTGGAGACTAAACTTTCCTTATAAAAATCGTCCCTCTCAACTTAGATTTTTTAAACCAAACTAAGAATGTTCATTTTGTTTCACCAAATTCTCCAATTTAAATATACGACAAATCGGTCAAGAAGTTAAAGAGTTATAATCTGAACCAAAACAAAAAACTTTTTATAAAAAGTAAACAAAAACTTTATAAATCTTCTTTTTGATAATTGTATGTAAAATTTATCCACTTTAAAAACATAAGTGAAATCGGAAGAAACGAAATCCTTGAGAGTTTTTTGAAAGTTTGAACCATTTTAAATGATGCTCTGTGTTGTCCCTATACTAGATTGTTTCCCCGAGGTCTGGACTCCAGGTAGATAGATCTGATAGAAGGAAGCAGGAACAACATGGTCCGGGATATTCAGAAGATCAAGATTAACTCCGGCCTGATTCTGTAATCTAGAATGCAATCGATCAAATGATCAATCAACTGATCAATCGAATTACTTGTAAAATCATCAGACTAATCATCAGTCAGATCATTGTGCAAGTCATCAATTAAATCAACAGTAAAATCATCAAACCAATTCAGTCAATTAATCGAATCAATCATAAATAATCATTGCATAAATCAATAAATCAATTATGTAATTTTTTTCAGCGTTGATTACGTAGAAAATATAAGTTTTAAATCTATTTTAAATCAATTCTTCAATCAGAAGAAGTAATAAAATATATCAAATGAAATGAAATACCTGGTATAGTATTGATATCTCCTGTAGTGAGCTAACTCTACTGGATCAGCATCTATTTGTCCAACCAGGGGAGTTCCTTCAGTAACATTAGTCTGGCTTCTGTTTAAAATACAAATTTAAAGGATTGGAGAGGTCACTGAACTTCCTACCGGCCGGTTTATGTCTTGATTTACCAATTAAAATCCTCATGATTCACGATTTGAACCGGCGACAGGTAGTTTAGCAACCTAGCTCAAATTAATATAAATCTGTGCTTGATTTTTTTCGCAAATCCTTAGAAGGGTCAAATTTGTCGCAAATTCTATTATCTTTCTTAAGGTCAAAAAATGTCATACTTCCTTTACATTTTTTTGTGTTCATTTTTTCCATTATCAAGAAGTCTGCAATGTTTTATTTGATGTTTTTTTTTACTTTTTTGCCTTCTCGCTCCTGATACTTTAATGAATAGTACTTTAAAAACATGATTTATCATTATCTCAGCCATGTCAACCCAGGTAATTTGTTGTGCTGTATAATCTAGACCTAGGTTACTATGAATTCAAACTTCTGTTTTAAATATGATTATTTTCCTATAATGGTATGGTCGTCTTTCCGTGCCTTCTTCCTCTACGACAGGAGCTATATTCTTATCTCTGGTCCGCCTAGAAATAGAAGAATAATTAGAAACTTATTAAAAGAGGAGATGAGAGTTACACAAAAATAAAATTTATTGCAAGAAAAGTAGTATTTCAAAACCTTTTCTGTAGCAAATACAAAACAATGCAGTTCCGTGAAGAGTGAAACTAGAAACAAGCTTTTTATATAACTTTAGCATCGCATCACCTCAATTTCAATTGCTCGACGTAAAATATAAGGAATCAGCGATTTTATCTCATTAGTTTTTCCTATTTGAACTAGAAACAGAGAACGTAACTTTTGATCTTGATATCCAATGTGATCACTTATAAATTTGGAAATGAATGCTAAATCCCACAATTAAAGTTATCCAATGGAATTTCGAAGAGGAATTAAATTAATCTCGAGCTCTGCATTAGATGGAAATCAATACTAGATCCCCAGATAAGCAACACAAAAATTCCAGGTTCCAAATATCTAGGTTTACTTATGATATTGTCAAAGACCTACCTGGCTCCAGAGGCTCCACTGTCTAGACTTGAACCTAAAGCTGAAGTAGGACTTCTAGCATACTCGTTCAGTCTCCTGTTCCAACTTCCTCCTCCAGAAGACAATCCAACATTTCCGTATCTAGCTTCTCCTCGCCTATAATTATATATCTAAGGTTAATATTGATAAAAGTTATGATAAATACTCATAACAAAAATAACAATGATAAAAATCATTATAATATCAATTGTAAACGGACAACATTGAGGACTAATGTCCAAATAATCATTGATATTTAACTATTATCTATTATTATTTCTTATTTACATATTTACACTAAAGATGACTAACAGATGATCTTCAACAATTTAAAAATTAAGCTTAATGTGTGCTGTTGGAGTAATTTAAAGTGACCCTTTTCTACAGAGCAGCAGGTCAGATTCACAATAATAAATAGTAGAAAGTAGATATATCACTTCCTGAGACGAAAAATGTTGAATTCTGACAATTATAGTCTGGGCTGCTGTTAATCAACAAGATACTTTAACAGAAAAAACATAAATTAAAAAAAAAAATTTATTCAAATATAATTTATTCTAGACCATTCTAAGGTTTAGAGGGTTCCGTTGAGAACCGTCTAATCCTCTGTACCCTCTACACAAAATGGAGGGTCACAATACTTCTTTAATCCCTTTGAGTAACAATCTTTGCAACCAACGGACCCCGTGCCTCAATAGTCACCGCCGCATTTTTGTCATGTGTTAAATATATTGGATGAAAATTTAAGAATCGGTATTTAATACCTAACAGGGAGCCCTGTAAAGCTGGAACTATCCCCTCTGTTCTCAGACAGCAAAGAAACTCTCTCCGATCTACTCATCTTTTAATTTAGCATTCTAAAATATGATAATATTTATGGTATATTTCTTTAGAGTTCATTTTTAACGTCACAAAACCATTAAAAGGAGAAAAACTTATTGTATAAAATGTTCGTTTATTTTTTAAAGACAGTTTTTGCTAAGAATGATTAAAATTTAAAAACTTAGTCGTTTAAGCAGTGTTGAGAATGATAATAATTAAAATTTTTACTTTTTAGTTGACGTAACTGGATTTTGATAAAATTTTGTTAAGCGCACATGCACAGTTCGGTTCTCAACCTTAACTCCGATGGAGTTTAAATCAATAAATCAAAGAAATATTTTTCGAATTTTCTTAGCAAGAATAACTTATTAATTTAATACAAAAGCCATTGTGATACTAGATAAATTTTTACTCGACAATATAATGATCAAAATGGCGAAATTTCATTTATTTTATCTAAATTCAGTCCTTTTAGTTTTCACAAAGCGAAGACGAAAACAATTTGTTTGAAATTATTCCGCGGTATTGTAAGCGCATATTTCGAAAACAAATAATTCCGCCAAACTAGAAAAATAATAATATTACGAATCAGGTGTTTTCATGTGGTTATGAACGTATGAGACTACTTTTAAATAATCTAGCTTAGCATTCTTTATTTTCAGATTAAAATGTCAGATATACATTTAGATTTGTACTGGAACGAAATTGCTGAGGTTGGAAATATTTTACTTAACCCTTAGATTATCTTGATAGATTTGCAGCCTCTAAAGGCTTGGAATTTTAATTCTGTCCGGAACGCTTACCTCTAAAAGTGTACGACAAAATTGTAAGTATTGTCAATTTTTATTTCGGCAAAGAGTTATGGATTATGGGATCCCTCATTGGAAACTATTATTAGTTCGCCTCCTTTTCAATTTTTGTATATGATACTTTTTATCAAAACANTCTACTATTTAATCTTCCAATTTTACCAGACATTTTTCAATTGTATAATCATGTCTCTCTCTACTATTTAAGAAAACATATTTTATGAAATCTAATTTACAAAACAAAGTCTACGGAGAGATATTCCTGAACTAGATATTCATCTTAAGTTGATTGTTCCTTCAATTACTGATCAATTTTCTTTGAATGTTCTTGATTGCTTGGAACTGCTCATTGTAAGCCACACGAGCAGTGTTCACGATGGCTTCGAAAGACTGCCGAGCTTTTATCCAAGGATTCGGATCTTCTTAAACGAGCATATTTGTTGTGCTCTCAGCGGTACAGACAGGGGCGAATACAGGGGGGCTGCTGGACCTTCGCAGCCCCCTCCCCTGAGATTTCAGAATAAAAACTTTTTGATTCACGAATATTAAGACAGGATTGAAATAAAAATTTCAGAAAGCACTTAATTTTCCTTTAATTAAGAAAAAATAATCGTTTATACAAAAAAAATCTCCTTTTTTTCTTCTATCTTTCATTTTTCGATTCCAATTCTTTTTCATCTTTTCATTTTCTTCTTTTTTGTCTCAAAAAGTGTACGGGACTGCCAAAATAATCTGCATACAGGAACAAAAAAATCTGAAAATAGAAAGCTGAAGACTTGTATCATAATATTGTTCATTTAATTTGCATATGCATATTAATGTTCATTACTCATTAATTAAAGTTTAAATAATGTTCCTGATTTTAAATTTACATGCATATAATTTTCCTAGTAACTTCTTTTGTTCTTAACTTGCTTTATGTTCCTATTTTTGACTATTGTTCCTAATTTATGAACAGTATGAATGACATTTTTTGCGCATATTTATATTTCCTTTTTTACCTTCATGTGTTGATCATTATTTCCCAAGACCCTAAATCCCTGTCCTAGATGCTTTATTTTTGTTACTATTTCCTAACCATCTTTTTTTTGTTCCTTAGATTATGTATTTCATTTATTGTACTTATGTTCTTGATACGTGTCTGAAACTCCTATTTTTTGCTTGTTTTAAGCTGGTATAATAGTCAATGTTTCGTTACCCCTCCCCTGAGTCCGCCAGGCGGGGCGAAGGTACCCCCCCGTATCCGCCCTTGGCTCTATGTACAAATTTTATAGGAGAGGAGGGGGGTGGGGTCCAAAAATATTTCTCTAGAAAATTACCATTTTATCTTGTAATTTAAAAATGTAGAAATTAAATAAATTTTAATATTTTTAGTTTACTCAAAATTCTTGCAAACTTGCATGAATTAAATTATAATTTAACGCGTATGTGCACTGATTATCAACAAGGTAGTTTCAGTAAATTGCTTCGATATTTGTACTTATAATTTAGTAATACAACCTCTTACTGTAGAGAAAGTTATTCATAAACTGTCTGTAAAAACACTATACAGCCTTCATCATTGGAAGTGCATCATACGCTCTGCATTACAGCCTAAATATCCCCCCCCTTTATCCTTTGTGTAATGAATTACATAATCATGATGTTTAGTGATGAGACTCTGACCTTTCTCCGAAATTCCACGGAATATTCCGAGTTTGTTGAAGATTTTATTCTTGATACTTACAACATTAAACTCAGGTATTTTTTAATCTATAGATTCGTCGTAACATCTGTAGACGCTTTTTCCAGCGATCTAATTTACAACAGATCCTTGTAATTGTTAAAGTCGTTTCCTGGCTTGAAAAGTGTCAAGTTCTGACCATTTCCTATCATTGGTCTGAAGCAGAATTGCGCAAGTTACTAATGTAGGGAAACCAAAAATTAAAATAAAGTGTTTTATAAAGTTGAATATTGTTTTTTCAATCATTATTGATCAGACAAAGCTTTAAAGGGTACCTGTGTCAATCAAACACGCCGATCTATAAATAAAGAGTCATTTGAAATTAAGACTACAGTTCCTTTCAGTTATGTACTTTGTTTTAAATATCAGCAAATCCTGGCTTCAATTTGGTAAATCTATGATTCAAGAAAGAAAAACTGGGCTTATTTACAACTGAGCAAAATTCTCTAAATTTATCTAATAAACGTGTTTAATCAATTTTCTTGTAGAATTGGGACTATCCGATATTTTGAAAATTATTGACTGATATTTTTTCCAAAAAAAGGGGTAAGAAGTATATTTTAAACTCTAACTTATCGATAATGTCAAAATCTGAGATAAATATGTAATATGTGTGTTCCTAGTTTTTTTAAATTTAATTTTTAGAGAAGATATTGTTCCTGACTTTTGGGGAAACTTTGATGTCCCTGCAAATCTGGATTGCAAAACCGGTTTCGACAAGTTCGAACGCGCAGTGACGCAACTCTACGCGGGCGCTGCGTCATTCGCCCCTGGTATTCAAGAACTTACAAGGTAAACCCATCTTACCGTTCAAAGATGTGCATGAGGGTTTAGGGACCGAATCATCAAAATTTTCGTGGATTTCATTAACAGATTACTTTCTTAATAGGTAATTTCCTAGAGAACGATTTTTGAACACCCCCTCCCCCCCTCATATCAATTTTGTGCATGGTATATCTATAATCATGCGGCCGCAGCGCCCGGCCCCCTAGCCTGTCCTAGCCGCGGCGCTTGGCCCCTTAGCCTGTCCTAGCCGCAGCGCTTGGCCCAGAAATTGTCTCAACCTAACCTAACCCTAAAATAATATTAAAAAATAGTAATCAAAGTAAACATGCATTTTAAAAAATATTTTATATTTAATCAGTATCATTAAGAATGAAGAAGAAAAAAATTTCAAGAATTAAAATTGGACCGGGTTTCCAAAAACTCCATGATTATTTTGGCAGAAAATATCAAGGTTTTTTTTAAATCAAAGAATATTGAATCATTCCTTTAATAGTATAGTTTTTATTTTAGGATTCGAACATTAACACAGAATTCAAACCGAACAATCTACGGGTTTTCAGATCTTGAAGATGTAATTAAACTTCAGATTAAGGTGATTAAACTTCAGATTAAGGTGATTAAACTTCAGATTAAGGTGATTAAACTTCAGATTAATGTGATTAAACTTCAGATTAAGGTGATTAAACTTCAGATTAAGGTGATTAAACTTCAGATTAAGGAGATTAAACTTCAGATTAATGTGATTAAACTTCAGATTAAGGTGATTAAACTTCAGATTAAGGTGATTAAACTTCAGACAAGGAGATTAAACTTCAGATTAAGGTTATTAAACTTCAGATTAAGGTTATTAAACTTCAGATTAAGGTGATTAAACTTCAGATTAAGTTACAACTAACTAGTCTCTTTGCCCAGCTGCCAGCCAACTATCCATGTTTCAGGGTAGTCTGATAGTCCAAATAAATATCTATGTTGCAGGGTAGTCTGTTAGTTCAACTACCAGTCAATTATCTGTTTTTAAGGGTAGTCTGGTAGTCCAACTACCAGCCAACTATCCATGTTTCAGGGTATTCTGGTAGTCCAACTACCAGCCAACTATCCATGTTTCAGGGTAGTCTGTTAGTTCAACTACCAACTAACTATCCATGTTTCAGGGTAGTCTGGTAGTCCAACTACCAGTCACTATCCATGTTTCAGGGTATTCTCTTTGCCCAACTACCAGCCAACTACCTATGTTTCAGGGTAGTCTGTTAGCCCAACTACCAGCCAACTATCTATGTATCTGGGTAGTCTGTTAGTTAAACTACCAGCCAACTATCTATGTATCTGGGTAGTCTGTAAGTTCAACTACCAGTCAACTATATGTTTCAGGGTAGTCTGTTAGTTCAACTACCTGTCAACTATCTATGTTTCAGGGTAGTCTGTTAGTCCAACTACCAGTCAACTATCTATGTTTCAGGGTAGTCTGTTAGTCCAACTACCAGTCAACTATCTATGTTTCAGGGTAGTCTGTTAGCCCAACGTCAACTATCTATGTTTCAGGGTAGTCTGTTAGTCCAACTACCAGTCAACTATCTATGTTTCAGGGTAGTCTGTTAGCCCAACTACCAACTAACTAACCATGTTTCAGGGTAGTCTGTTAGCCCAACTACCAGCCAACTATCTAACTCTGGTAAAACTATTCTACAGTCAAGCATTTCTAGTCTACTATACCAGCGTAGACAAGGTTAGTTTAAGTTCAGAATCTATGTTATGTTTTCTCTATTTTTAGAAATTTTGGCTACAGCAGTTGGGTTCTTACACAAAAAGTGTGAACAAGTAGATGTGGGAGGGACCTTAAAGAAATATAAAAGTTGACTTTCTCTTCAGTGATGTCTCTTAGATTTGATGTTTTGTTAATGATTGTTAAATGCTAATTGTAAAGCGTATACAATTTAACATAGTTTTAATATTTGTATTACAGAAACTAGCGGAGGAACTAGATGAGGATCTTAGCTGTGAAGGATGTTATTACTCGACAGATCTTTGTATTTGTTCTTTAATCCTTCAATCCTTCCATCAGGTACTCCTACATAACTACTCCACAGATCTTTGTATTCTTTAATCCTTCCATCAGGTACGCTTACCTAACTACTCCACAGATCTTTGTATTCTTCAATACTTCCATCAGGTACGCCTACATAAATACTCCACATATCTTTATATTTGTTCTTCAATCCTTCAATACTTCCATCAGGTACGCCTACATAAATACTCCACATATCTTTATATTTGTTCTTCAATCCTTCAATACTTCCATCAGGTACGCCTACATAAATACTCCACATATCTTTATATTTGTTCTTCAATCCTTCAATACTTCCATCAGGTACGCCTAATTACTTCACAAATTTTTGTATTCTTAAATCCTTCAACTCTTCCATCAGGTACTCCAACATAACTACTCCAAAGATTTATGTATTTATTCATTAATCCTTCCATTAGGTACTCCTGCTTAACTACACCATAGATTTTATAACGCAAGGAAATATTAAAGATTGCATTTATTTGTTGGATTATATAAGCCTCTTAAAAGAGAAACAAGGGGGGGACTAGGCTTGTAGGGTACAAATGTGAGCGTTATGATACGAATTATTAATAAACTAATTTTAAGTAGGAAATGGGAGATTATACAGATTTCCAGTGTCGACAAAATAGCACCCCCAGTCCCAGAGAAAGTGTCACCGATCTAACAATGCCTTTTTATCGAGCTACCCTTTCTCTAGGTGAACCAGATGCTGGGGGATCTAGGTTTACTACGGAGAATAAGTCAGCAGGTCAGTTTATGTTGGCCTTTGGGGTTTTAAATAATTTTCCGTAAAATTTGGAAACTTTCTTTATTAAAATTGCATTCTCGTTTCTAGTTTAATTTTTTTAACTTTGAAATTTGGGGATTGTGTTGGAGTGAACTTAAAGTAAACTTGTATTTATTTTTCCAATTTACTGTACTGCACTGTATTGTTTTGTATTGTTCTTAAGGCTGTACTGGAGATCCTGAAGGAACGAATATATACTCATGTACAAGAATCTTGCAAAGGATCATTTGAGGTGAGAAATCAAATCAAATTTTATCTTTATTTTTATCATTCATTTATTCATTCATTCAATCAATCATGCTTTTGTACAGTTATCCATTAATCCTATATGTCATTATATCTGTTATTCATTCATCCTTTCATGCAATCCATTAATCCATTCATGTCTTGTAGGAATCGTACCTGGAAAAGCTGGTACGGTGGTTGGAGGACTCTGGTATGGGTTGGATCAGATCAATCTACTCCTCCTCTAGAACCTTCTCCAACCCAACCTACCCCACCTTCTCTACCCCGCCCTCTCCACACTTCAAGTCCTCTGACTCCCCTGAGATATCTGAGTACCGTGAGAAGTTGCATCAGCTTGTGTTTGAAACATATACCAGAGCCAGGATAGATCAATTATATAATATTATTATTGAGTTTCCTGACTCCCAGCCTGCTCTAGAGGATCTTAGGGATTGTCTGGTTAAAACCAACCTTAGGAACTTTCTTACTACCAACCTTAGACAGGTATTAGACAGGGATTTCTTTTTAACTACCCCCCACCCCCCACCACCACCATCAATGAAATATTTCATTCAGCAATGAAAACGCGTATTGGAGGAAAACTGATTTTTGAGGGGGGGGGGAATCTTAGTCTTATTCTTCAAGAAAATCTTAGTCTTATTCTTAAAGTAAATGTTAGTCTTATTCTTAAAGTAAATGTTAGTCTTATTCTTAAAGTAAATCTCAGTCGTATCTCCAAATAAAACCTCTAGATCTTACACTAAGCGTAAAATTATTTAGTAATAAAATAAGAGTCATGTTGATGCTTTAAAAAAAGTTTATCCTGATAATATAACAGGATTATATTAAGGATAAGAATATTTTGTGTCTAAATCTGAAAATTAAATATTTGCCACAATAAATGAATAATTGAACAGGGTTATTTTGTGCCTAAACCGTAAAATTAAATATTTGTAATAATTGTATAACCTTTATTTTATAAGGAAATTTTCTGCTTAAACCTGAATTAAATATTTGCCACAATCAATGAATAATTGAAAAGGTTCTGGATGCAAAACTTCTTCATCCTGGTGTTAACACTGGAGATATCCTTACTGCCTACATCGCTGCAATCAGGGCGCTTCGTGTCCTGGACGGCAGCGGTGTTATCCTAGAGTTGGTCTGTGTCAATGTGAGGAAGTATCTGAAGACGAGGGAGGATACCGTCAAGTGTATTGTGGAGTCCTTGCTCGACGAGTCCGCCATGGAGCTCAGGGAGGAGTTGATGAAGGGAGGGGGAATATTCTTACCTTATCCCCCCCTACCCAGGGGAAATATCGTTAAGATTTAATATGTCTCGTAGATAAGATTTACAAAGTTTTTTATTATTGTACAAAAATTAAGGGAGAGAAAATGTTCGCTGAAAAAAAAGCAGTTAAATATATTTCTAAAAGGGACTGTATACATAACCATAAGTAAACTTCCATTTAAAGAGGGGCATCACCGATTCACAACGGTACCCTTTAATCCTTAGACTGATCAAGGATGACTTTTCCCCATATTTATCAACAAAATTAAACTCTTGTAATTTGTAACACTTTGTTTGCGAGCTGTTTCATATTAGATTTCAGAGTAGTAGCGATCAAAAGCGCTTATTTTTCGCCGTAAGCCTATACCCCCTTTCATTTTTCGCGAATATTCCCTATAAATGGAAGGTCACTTGAAATTACGATTACAGTCCCTTCAAAAGGAAAGGCGCGGAGGGTGCGCAAAGTGATTAATTGAACATAATTGTTTGGTAATTAAAGATAATATTGTTTTATTAATTCTGAAATAGCGGAAGGTAGAGGGGAGGGGAATATCCTGGTATAAGGTTAGAATGTTTCTCCTTAACTCCAGGCTGAAGGTCTACAGCTAGATGATAATATGGAGGACGAGGATGTCCAGGAGGGTTGGGAACTCTGGGAACCTGATCCAGTGGATGCAGATCCTAATAAGGAACGGAAATATCAGTTTTAACCATAGATTTTCATATTTTTATTACTAAAGCATTTAGATTATTGTTTTAATGAAACGAATTTTTAAATTCAATTTCGAAAAAGTATTTGAAACTCGGGTGTACATTTTCTTGGAAAATCATTCCTCCCCCTGTTTTAAAATCTCATTTTTTCAAAGTTACGTAATACGTCTGTTTTTAGGAGTTTATTCGCTGAATTACGGTAAATAAATGATTTTTTTAGGAAAAATGAATAAAAGAAATTTTTTATTTGAAAAAACTGGCCTTTGGAGGTCTAACTTTTCAGTTTTTCCCTCAGATCTTCTATCCCTGATTTGATATTCCTGTAAAAAGGTGTCCCGGGGTCGTAGGTCCGCAGATATCATCTCCATGCTGGTCAATATATACGGAAGCAAGAAGATATTCGTGAACGAGTACAGGAGCATGCTCAGCAACCGTCTCCTCACCCGGCTCAGCTATGAGACTGAGAAGGAGATCAGGTACCTGGAGATGCTGAAGCTTAGGTTTGGAGAGATGAGAGATGATTCTCTGGTTCAGTGTGAGGTTATGCTCAAGGATATCACGGATAGTAAGAGGATAAACTCACATTTACACTCCGAGGACAGTGGATGCCCGGAGCTAATCACTCAAGCTATCGGAGTCAATGCTCTAATTCTCTCATCCTACTTCTGGCCTCCGTTCAAGACCAGCGAACCTGTAGAGCTTCCGGAACAGGTTAAAGATGCTCTTGCGGTTTACACAAAAGCGTTCCAAACTCTTAAAGGAATGAGAACTTTAGAATGGAACTCTGGGTTTGGAACGGTTCACATGGTCTTGGAACTTGGAGACAAGAAAGTTGAACATCGAGTGAGTCCTGTCCATGCAGCAATCATTGTTAAATTCCAAGAGAGGGAGGAGTGGAGTATGGCAGATCTCTCCTCCGCCATTAAGGTTTCCTCCGCCACTGTCCGCCAGAAAATGAGTTACTGGTTGAGTCAGGGTGTTCTTAATGAAATATCTCCGGATACATTCAGCCTAGTGGAGGAGGGTCATCAGCGCAGACCTTCCGGTCATTCTAATCCGTCCCAGCGTATGGATGGGATGGATGAGGGGGATGGGGAGGAGTATACATCAAGTAGATCTGACCAGAAGGATGCAGAGCTATCAGTTTTCTGGTCTTATATCGTTGTCATGCTTACCAACCTGGACTCCCTTCCCATAGAGGAGATTCATCAGAAACTTAGAATATTTGCCATGCAGGTATTATTATTATCATTTATATCAGTTTTATTATTATCTTTCTTTATGTTTAGTTATTATTGTTATTTTAGTGATTATTGTTTTCATCAATATTATTGTTATTGTTTTCATCAATATTATTGTTATTGTTATTGTTATTGTTATTGTTATTGTTATTGTTATTGTTATTGTTATTGTTATTGTTATTGTTGTTGTTATTGTTATTGTTATTGTTATTGTTATTATTGTTATTGTTATTGTTATTGTTATTGTTGTTATTTATGTTATTATTGCTATTATTATTATACGCATTATTATTATTATTATGATTATTGTTATTATCGTTATTGTCGTTCTTATCGTTGTCAGTATCATTACATTTATTATTATTACTAGGGACCATCAGCTGGTGAGTGTGATGTATCTGAGCTCCGTGAATTCCTAGATTCTAAAGTTAGACAACAGAAACTATCCTTCTCAGGGGGACAGTATAGACTACCTAAATGATAATTTAATCTTATTGAAAGATTGGGATCATGCCGCCCCCCCCCCTTTTCGTTATGCTTATGTAAGGATAAATAATGTGTATGTTATGTAAACTGTAAGATCATCCTTTCTGTTAACATAATTTATATTGTTTAATTTCAGAAAAAACTATGTGATTATAAATTGTTCAGAAATTGGTCTAGAAGTTCTTCATTTAGGTATTTACAATTATAGTTAAAATTTTAGAGATATATAACAGAAAATAGACGAGGAGAAAGGTAGTGAAACAAAGATACAATGAATTAGGTATGAATAACGAATATTCCCTGCTATGAAGAAAGGTAGTGAAACAAAGATACAATGAATTAGATATGAATAACGAATATTCCCTGCTATGGAGAAAGGTAGTGAAACAAAGATACAATGAATGAGGCATGAATAACGAATATTCCCTGCTATGGAGAAAGGTAGGGAAACAAAGATACAATGAATTAGGCATGAATAACGAATATTCCCTGCTATGAAGAAAAGTAGTGAAACAAAGATACAATGAATTAGGTATGAATAACGAATATTCGCTGCTATGAAGAAAGGTAGTGAAACAAAGATACAATGAATTTGGTATGAATAACGAATATTCCCTGCTATAGAGAAAGGTAGTGAAACAAAGATACAATGAATTAGGCATGAATGACGAATATTCCCTGCTATGAAGAAAGGTATTGAAACAAAGATACATAGAATTAGGTATGAATAACGAATATTCCCTGCTATGGAGAAAGGTAGTGAAACAAAGATACAATGAATTAGGTATGAATAACGAATATTCCAAGCTATGAAGAAAGGTAGTGAAACAAAGATACAATGAATTAGGTATGAATAACGAATATTCCCTGTTATGGAGAAAGGTAGCGTAACAAAGATAAAATGAATTAGGCATAGGTAGTGAAACAAAGATACAATGAATTAGGTATGAATAACGAATATTCCCTGTTATGGAGAAAGGTAGCGTAACAAAGATAAAATGAATTAGGCATGAAAAGGGATTTAAAAATGAGCAATGACAGAATGAAAATAAAATGGGGAAATAGAATATGAAATGTAAAAGAAGTGGATAAAATGTAATGTGGAGAAGAAACAGAGACGAATAATTTAGAAGAAATGAAATAAAGATATTAAAAAGAGAATAATATAAGATGATCAAAAGGACTGTTTAGCTTAATTTTAAGTTATCCTCCCTCGATGCAAAGATGTCACTGCCCGATTCACAAGGGTACCCTTTAAAGCTTTGTCTGATCAAGTATGAATTAGATATTTATGTTTATAACATTAAAAAAAAATTATTTTTTATTTTGGTTTCTTTACAAAAGCAATTTGCGCATTTCTACTCCAGGGAAAAAAATAAATTATCCGAATCAAACACTTATAACCAAAAAAAACGACAATATCTTCCGCATTACCGATTTACTAAAGGTCTCACGGGTACTGTTGTGAATCGGGCATTGCTGTTTTTGAATGGAGAGTCACACGAAATTACGCTTACAGTCCCATTAAGATGATAAGGTAGGAAAGATTACTAAAGGGTTAAATGAATAAATAAGAACGAAATTTTAATAAACAATATTTAATTATTTTTCTCTTCTTAAAATACCTTTATTTAGTGCTTTTTATGATCAATGTTGTTCCACTGATTCATATTTTATCGATTTTTCCTTTTATTCCCCCTTATTCTTTATTAATCGGATATCCTATCCTATATTAACCCTCCCCCCCCCCCCCCCGGCTTTCCTTGAAGATCTAAATATCGATTTAAAGTATTCCAGGTATACCAGGTATGTCAGGTATATAAACATATTCCGGTAATCAGCTAAATGGTGTAGTAAACATACTTCAGCATATATCTACAGTTTATACATACATACGTACGTACGTACATGCATATATTATGTACTTAACTAGGGTACCATAATGAATCGGAAAGCGACCAGGTCTGATTGATAGTAATGAGAATCATGATGGACCACTGGGCTATAGAGGAGTGATCCGGCCAGGGGGTTGGAGGGAGTTAATTTCAAGAAAGAAAAAACACTGCTACACTCAAGTTAATAATCTGGTACAACTAGTTTCTAAAAAATGCATTACACAAACATAAAATTGCTCAAATAATGTCTTCCACTGTTTTATGGGTCCCGCTGTAGTATAGTGGAAGAGTGGAAGAGTAAATGGAATAGTAGTATAATGGAAGAGTGGAAAAGTGGAGTAGTAGTATAGTGGAAGAGTGGAAGAGTAAATGGAATAGTAGTATAATGGAAGATTGGAATAGTGGAGTAGTAGTATAGAGGAAGAGTAGAAGAGTGGAATAGTAGTATAGTGGAAGAGTGGAAGTGAAAAAAGGGATAGTAGAGAAGGAAAATAATAAGGATTGCTGAAAAACTGAACATTTTATTTACCTTCGTAATTAATGTATACTTCACTGAACATAACAAGTCTGTCAGTTTTTAATTATTTTAATCCTGAATTTGTCAGGTATGACGTAAGAAGAATGTATCTCTAGTGTATCCTATCGATTAAACAACCCGGAGTAAATTCAACTTAAATCAGAACTATGGGCTCTGCTACAGGTATAAGTTCAAAATGCATTTATTAACTGTTCAATGATTATACAGGGTGACCCATTTTGTCTTGTTCTTAATTGTTACATGTTTGGAATTATTATTTTAATTTTCACTACAAAAAAAAAAACATTGTGAGTTATGGAGTTAGACGTATTTGTATGTGACAGTTGATTTAACAAACATTTTATACAGTTTGTTCCTAAGCAGAAGTGGGGTTGTCATGAAGAAAAAAGTTTATTTTGGAGCATAGTGCAACCCTGCAATTTATATTTACATACAGGGTTACCCACAAAAGATGAGACTGTAAATTCGATCTGAATCTCTTATTGCTTGACGATTCAAGGTTATTTCAGTCTTCTGTGTTAAATGGTGCTTTTTATTAACTCATTTAATGACTTAGCAAAGAAAGAAACCAGTTTACAGTTGCATGGATTCTTGAATATTAGGAAACAGACGGTATAAATTTCATACAGTCGTCTCTAGAAGTCTCTACCTTAGTGGATAACCCTGCAGAGACATTTGATTTGATTTGATTTGATTTGATTTGATTTGATTTGATTTGATTTGATTTGATTTGATTTGATTTGATTTGAGATGGTCCAGATGAGGATGAATGTTTGAATGATTCGGATCAACTAGAACACGAGAAGCAGGCTCTGAATCTTCTAAAGAAACTGCAGGATCTAAAGGTGAATTTAAGTCCACTTCTACCATCTATACTTTGTTTGTCTGCTTGTTTGTATTTTTGAAGCAAATCGCATGACCCCAGGTAAGGTTTATGGTTTGTATCTAAAATTATTTTTGGAAGTACACCAATTTTACATAAAAATCCGCAAAAAGAGAAATTAACAATGGCGACTTTCAGAGTTCAAATCTAAAAAGTTTAAAGAAGAGAAAAACATTAAAGCCTAGTCCTATACAAAATATATCATTGTTCATTTAACATTCAATTTATATTTTACTTATTACATTCAAGTTTTGTTGAATTAAAAACTAACCAATTTTTTTAACTTTGATAATTTATTTTAGTTAAATTTTACAATAGAGTTAAATATATTTTAGATGGAAATATTTTGAGATTTATATAAATTTTGTTCTTCATTTTATTCTTGTAAAAACTAACAAACAAATGTTTTCATGAATAATGGAATATATGAAAAAGGAAAAGTAAGACTGAATAATAGTATGAAAAAAGTGAATGAATGAATGAATGAATAAATGAATGAATAAATGAATGAAAGGATGAATGAAAGGATGAATGAAAGGATGAATGAATGAATGAATGAATGAAAGGATGAATGAATGAATGAATGAATGAATGAATGAATGAATGAATGAATGAACGAATGAATAAACGAATTAAAGTACTATCTGCCATCCAGGTCTGGCAAAATAGACAGGAGGAAAGGTTGTTGGAGGAACAGAAAAATCAGATCCTGTCCTTGGAGCAGCTCGGTCTCAAACCCTATCCTGGATCTAGACCTGGAGCTAGACCTGTTGCTCCAATTCATCCAGGACCCCGGTTACCTGTTACAAGGGAGGAACTTGTTGAAGAAGATGATGATACAACTGTGTCAAGTCTAGCTTATGATGAAGAACTCTCAACCCTCTCAGAGGTAAATTCATCTTCATATGATGTAGGTTGTAGCCATAATTAAATCAATGGATTTGCGTATTTTTGACATGATTATTTGCAGATTTGCTTCGTAAATTACAAAACGTGGCCGATGACATTAATCTTAATTGTTTTTGTGTGGGACGGCGCTTCCCATGCCTGCCGGCGGTCTGGGGGGTTCATAACGGGACCTCTTTTTCAGATTTCTTTTCTTATAGTTCTTAATAAAGGGCTTTTATCCCAGGAACCAGAGTTAGATGAGTCAGAGCATACCTGGGCAGATAGAAATACAAATAGACCGGAGACAAAGGTAAACATAAAAATAATCAATAAAAAATTCTTTTTTATTTCTGTAATTTGATATGTTGAACTTTTATGTGGAGTATTGTTTATTTTGAAGGCTTGGTCCGGATTCTGGATATCCAATGCGGGCACTTTTAATGAAAGGTCGCTTCAAATTACGTTGACAATCTTCTGTTATACAGGCCGCAGGGTGTTAAAGTATTAAAAGAATGTAAATTCTTTATTAGTTTAGTTGAAGGGTCACTTAGTATTACGTTGACTATGTCTATAGCAAATCTTAGTCTGAGATGTTTCCAAGGATTTGGAACGATAAACGAAATCTCGACCACGGATGTTCTTTTTGCATACCAGAAGGCCAGCGTTTCTCAATCATAGACTTAAATTTTATTTTCTGAATTATTCAGTTGACAATTATTAGATCAAGTTTCACTTAAATCTTCACCAACTAACACGTGAGACACTTGAACTGATAAAGTACTCAAAAATAAAATGTTATTGGAGTGATCTTTTAGTCTCTAGTCTCTACTTAGATTGAAAAGCATTGTTTCTGTTAATAAGAAAAGTTCAAATTACTAGGGGAAAAAAGGGTTTGGGTAGATCATTTGTATTTCATAACTGAATTGAACTGCGCCCATTGCAAATAATTACAAATCGTAAACCCATATTCCTTTCAAGAATTAGAATTAGCTATTACAAGATTGTTTAATATGTGGTCGTAGGGCGTCCCTAAGAGTCTGATTTGATTTGATTTGATTTGATTTGATTTGTTTTGTTTTGTTTTGTTTTGTTTTGTTTTGTTTTGTTTTGTTTTGTTTTGTTTTGTTTTGTTTTGTTTTGATTTGATTTGATTTGATTTGATTTGACATAACGTTTAAAGAATTTGAATGTATCCAACGGGTCCGTGATGACCCTGAGTGATGATGCAGGAGGACGGGTTCAACCTCCTCAACAGCATACAGAGGAGGAACAAGGTTAGTTTCTACTTCTAGTTAGATAAAAGGATTTTTCATGAATTATTTCTTTTTCGCATTTAATTACTGAAATTGTAACTTTATACATTTTTAAACATTCTTTTACACAATAATCTTTAAATATTCTTCAGAGATGGATATTTTGTTTAAGAATGTTAAGCTCTTTACTTCTTAGCTTATCTCTATGGCAGTGAAACTTATGATTTCAGGAGTTTAGCTGGTAAAACTAGATGTACGAATAATAAGTTATTTTACATCTTGCTTACATGAGAAACTTGCTTTAAGATTTCCCGGGGTTGTAAATTTATTTTCATTTTGAAGTCCAAAACTAATACTCATGATTTCTGGAGTTCAGCCTTTGATATTTTTACAAAAAAGTTGTTAATAAGATGTAAGTAATATTTTTTCTTTGATTTCTATTTTCTAGTTGGTCAAATTCCATTCATCTATAAGTTACCAACTCGTAAACAAACTTTATTTTCCCCCGTTTAATCTGTTAAGATGATGAAGCTCTGGAAGATAACGAGGATGAGGAGGAAGAAGAGTACAGAGAGAACCCAGAGAACCAACCCGTCCAGGGAGCAGGACGAACCTTTGCTCAGCTTCTTGCAGATCAGGTGAGATGAATCACTACTTAATCCAAGTCCTGATGAACCAACTCCATGAATCTCCTATTCATTTTATGCTTTTATATTTCTTATTTTGACCTTTATCAATTTTATATTATAACCAGTGCTTAGGATCCGTTGGATCCGCAGGATTTTGGTTTCCTAGATCCAGATCCGCAAAAATATGCGGATCCGGATCTAAGGAGCAAAATATCAACCAAAAACTGCAAATAAAAATTTTTTAATCTAAACCCAAATCTGAACTATTGAAAAAAAGAGATTATAAAATTTCCTGATTTCTGAATGGTTCATCAAGTTATAGCATAAAAATAAGCGAATAAATTGCGACAAAAATTTGAAAATTTAATCCAGTGCAAATCCAGGATCTGGATCCGTATCAAAATTAAATGGATCTTAAGCACTGATTTTAACCGTCGAATCATGGAAATTATCCCAATTTTAAATTCTGTGAAAAAGATCCTAATATTTAGCTTGGAGTGGAATCACTACCTGATCCAAGTCCTGAAGAACTTACCCCACCCAGGAAACCTGTTGTCAAGAAACCCTTCCTTCGTCGGGGAGCAGGGTTAACTAGGTAAACTTGATTCGATTAGATTTGATTTGATTTGATTAGATTAGATTCGTTTCCATTCGATTCGATTCGATTCGATTAGATTTGATTAGATTAGATTAGATTAGATTAGATTAGATTAGATTAGATTAGATTAGATTAGATTAGATTAGATTAGATTAGATTAGATTAGATTAGATTTGATTTGATATGATTTGATTTGATTTGATTTGATTTGATTTGATTTGATTTGATTTGATTTGATTTGATTTGATTTGATTTGATTTGATTTGATTTGAGGGAATTGTTTACTTATTTCTAAACGTTCATAACATTAATATCCCTATTTTTTTATTATTTGGAATTACAACTCAGTTTCAAAGACCTCACTTCATTATTGATTTTGTATTGTCACTTCAATTTTGGGGTGTGGGTGTAGGACGTCCCTAAAAGAATGATTTTATTTGTTAAACTAGAATTTCTTTATATTTTTTATTTTAAAGGGACTGTAAGCATAATTTCAAGTTGTCCTTGCCCCCTCCATGTAAAGATGGCAATAAATGTTTGTCTGATCAATTAAAAAATTATTATTCATGTTTTGGTTTATTCTGGTTTCTGGTTTCTCTGCAAAGGTGGCTTTAGCATTCTCTCCTTAAGAGAATTAATAAAGAAATTTACAGAAAATTTTGATTTTTTGATTCAGAAAAAAAAACTACGTTATCTTTCACATTTTAATCAGATAACTTGGTTTCAAGGGTTCAAGGGCATTCCTATTGCTATCTTTGCAATAGAGGGTCATTTAGAATTACGCTTACAGTCCCTTTAAACGGGTTATAGTGAACAATCCCTTTAATCGAATGATATTACAAAAATCATGGTTTACCGATGTAATCAAAATCAATACTTTAAGTTGAGATCACGGAAACTAAATATCTCATGTTTTACGTCACTAACTCTGGTCAGGCTTATCTGCAGAACGATTTAAGTCAGTAAGTGTCAGATCTACAAGGTTTAAAAGACCTAAGCCGAAAGTTTACAAAAGAAATTCTATGATTCTACAGTTTTGGGATGGTTGATATAACCAAATTAATGTCTTAATGGGTTAAAAATAAATTCTTCAACAGTTTAAACCAAATCATGTACTTTTCTACAATGATAACATACAACGAATGTTGCAAAAATAGAATACATTAACATATTACAATGTAAATTTTGAAAGAATCTTAAGTCGGATTTCAAAGGAATGATGGTTGGCTGCATTTATTTTTATCATTTTCTTTTAATAGTTGAAACTTAACAATTGATATTTTTTAATTCTTCCAATTAAAAAGACGACATTACACTTTAGGCTCAAATCCTGTTTTCCAGGTTCAATCTTGCTCCGGATCCATCCCAGCAGCCGAGCAGAGTCAAGCGGAGTAAATCCCAACCTAGATTATCCGACTCGGATCTCAGGAATCCGTCCAGACTTAGGTATAACATTTATAAAATTTTACGAAAATTTGACAATTAGAACTATAACACAATGCTAGAGATAATTAATCAACCTTTTTAAAGAATTGCCTTACACCTTGGGTTTTAAAATGTTGACATGTTTTTGCAGATTTTTCTACTGAAAACTATTGTACTCGAAATGTAATGTATTTTTGACTTTAATTATTACTATCGTAGAGGTACAGATTACTAATCTCAACTTTAATTTTCTAATCTTTGTATCTATACAACCTGATTTCCAATGTAAATGTCGTCTTTATTGCAATCGAGACTCTAAATCCTCATATGACGTCACTGATAACTTAACTAAAACAATCGTCACATTTAGTAAATACTTATTGTGCTAACAAGTTTGAAGCAAAAAAATACAATTTGAAATAAAGTTTTCAATTTTCGAGTACGTTTACATTTAGTAATTTGTTATTCTTTAAAGTAAGCAGTGACATCATATGAGGATTTAGAGCGTCCTTTGCTCTAAAGGTCGTCTTTACCTACATTTGAGCGCATTCAATGTATCTACCTTATTATACAACCTTGGTTTTATGTATGTTTCATTGCAGCCAGGAGACTCTGTCCTACTCCTGTAAGAAAACTTCTCCTAAACGTATTGTAGCGTCCAGATCTCTGAGTAAATTAGAGGATTCTAGTTCAACAGGTGAGAATATAAAGAGGGGCGTAAACAGGTGGGGTAAAACTATTATTTTAAAGGGAGTGACCGGCAATGTATGGTAGTTGAACTGAGAATGTGGTTTTGTGGATTCATTTGAGACATAAAACATTTTAATGATTTATAATTATCGAGTTTGAGAGCAAAGCCGACTTTCAAAATCATCCATTTAGGTGGTTAAGTTTTGAGAATAGATTTTTTTTAATTATTAAACAACGACGACGAAAAATGTATAAAAAAATTCTACAGAAATGGTCATCCACAACACTACATTCTCAGTTCAACTACCATACATTGCCGATCACTCCCTTTAAGAGATTATTCAGTCCTTAATGACTAAGCCCCCCCCCTTTTTTTAATCTCCTAAAAGGCTAAGGTATTAAGAAAATAAATGGCTACCCACTAACAAAAGATGAGACTTAAGAGACAACCGTACAAACTTTTTCAATATTTTGCCAATCATTATTATCAATATAATAAACAGTTATTGGTCGTGCTAAAGTCTCATTCCTGTGTTTTGTGTTTTGTGTTTTGTATTTTGTGTTTTGTATAAGCAAAATGAGCAAGTGGGAAACAATTAACTCTTAACTCTTACAGTGGCTTCCTTGAAACTTTTATCTAATCAATAATGTGGAAGATATTTTCGTTTTTCTAGGCTTAATTTAGTTTAATTCTGATCATTCCAAAATTTGTTCAAGCGTAAAAATTCGCGAGTCACTTCTGTAAAGAAATCACAATTAAAAATAATCATTTTTCAAAATTATAAACATTGAATTTGATATCTAATTTATACTTGACTAGACCTATCTATTAACCCTGACTCCTAAGGAATGATGGTTGACCATTTTATTTATTTATTTATTAATTAAAGGTAACATTGTAAACCAGGGATTCCCATCTTTGCTTTATTTTGCTTGTAAAATATTAGTGAAAAAGCATTTTTGCAAATCATTTTTTTTACGTTAGGAGTCCGACATTCTCCCCCAGCCAAACTAAAGCTGAAATCTCCTCAACTCAAGTCGCCTCCGGCGAAGAAGAAGAGTTCTCCGGCTCTACAGGCTCCCAGAGCTGCGGCTCCGAAACCCAGGGAGATCGGAGCTAAAGGAGCAGGTTCTTTCAACCCTGATCTAAACCTGGGAGACTCCGTGGAAAATAGTTTCAGAGAAAAATTACATTTTCAGGTTAGTCTTGGCGAGCAATGAAAACCATTACATTTTTAGAAAATAACATTAGTTTTCCTTAATTAATTAGACTTATAAAAAAATACTTTTACAAGCTTCAATGGGACCAATTAAAAAAAATTTATTTAAAGCTAACTGCTGGGGTTATTCTGGACCCCAGGCAAGTTACACCCATCAGGACTTCCCCTAAACGATATGTGTGCAACCACGCCTATAGGGCTGTCTGTTGTTAATCACCTAGGGCATTTTCTATTATTGAAACCTGGATGTAAGCGCGCCGGATGTATAGGGATGAAAGTGACATTTAAGCAATCTTTTGTGTATTTAATCTTGTTATAACAAAAATAGAATATAAACATATCAACTTCAGTGAAAAAGGGTCTGAGACACTGCACAATTGCTGTTTCATGTTCATTAGGCTATTTAAAAACATAACTTGGCTCTAACAGTCGTCATCTTTTTCCACATTTTCTGAGCCCCACTAGTTATACCAGCCTGCTAAAGTCAATATGTCTGAAAATCTATTTTGAAATGTTTTTAGGAAAAACGTCATGAGAAAGAACTAAAAGAATTGGCTGTTTTTGAACTGTTGGAAGACGCAGCTAATGATACATCTTTTTGTAGGTAAATAAAAATGTTTTATTCATAATTTTTCGAATTCAAGACTACAAATTAAATAGATGTTTGATACAGGGTTTCACAATAAAAATCGGAAATAAATAAATACTTTTATACCGTCTTTGTTCCACGCGGCAATATTTCGTAAACACAATTTTTGTAGCATATTCTAGTTTAAACATTTAACATCGAAATCTACAAGTCAAGAGATTTAACAAATTTGGTCTACCAATTTGTTCACCCTAAAATTTGACGGAGATATTGAGTAATTTTTCTAGATTCCAATTCATTAAATAGCATCAATATTGTTCAAATGTTAAATATCTTCTGTTTTTAAGTTTAAAAGAAGGCGTCCCATAATTTTGAAAGATTATAAGACGTACAATCTTTTTTAATTAACTTTTTGTCATTTATCAATTATCAGAAATCAAAGACGTTTTTCGAGTCATATTTTGAAACTATTAAAATAAATTATATAATTACCTCTTTCTCATTATTTCTTAAATAATTGTATTGGACATTTTCAAAAAAAAATAATCTGAAAAGTCCAAAAATTTGTTGTTTTTTTAGTACAAGTTCCCGGGTAAAAACATTAATGGATAATTCAATACTTCCATCCCCTAGTCGTCCAACTCCACTTCTAGCACACAGTACTCCATTCCAGTCCACTAGTACTCCATTCCAGTCCACAAGTACTCCCTCATCTTTCAAGTCGACCAGTACTCCTGCCTCCTTTCACTCCTCAACTACTCCTATTCTACATAGAGACAACACAGAAGTTGACGAAAGTAAGTTAAAAAAAAAAAGTTTATTTTTAATATTTTGATTTTTTTGGTCTTTGTAAACAATAGGAATACTACTTTTAGACTCAAGTTATGATTTTAAAGAGTTAATGAACATACGACACTGCAATTGTGTAAACAGACCCATTTCACTGAATATGTGATTTAATAAGTTAATAGTAAAATTATTAGCTTTGTAGCAACATCAAATTCACTTAATTATTACTTTAATGTCGTCTTCCTATTCCAAAGTTTTCTGGTTCTTTAAATGCCAAAAACAGAAGTATAACCCAATATTTTTGGAATCTAAACTAAGGAAATATTTGATCTGTTCCCAGGATTGTTTTCCCATTATTCGTATTGGATTATTGTATATTCCTGGAGGGTGTAAAATAATGGTTTTAAGGAGAAAAATAGGGACGGAAGGAGGGTGGGGGGGGGGTTAAAGAGCTCTTTGAGTTTATATAAAGTTTTAAGAATTTGAGCCAGGTCTAGACCTGGCTGAGCTGCCTGGATCACCGATTCAAATCCTTCCCTAATCGGTGGTCCAAATTAAGTAGTTCAGCGAGGCAGCTTAAATTCTTTAAATTTGTCCTCTGTTTAAATGTTTTAAGTTAAGTTTAAATCGGAGTCTAGAAAAACCTTCGGAGGTTTGTATTGTAATATTGCTTAACAAATTGAACGATGGTTTATGGGGCTCTGAAAACAATCTAGAGTTCCACTAAAGGTTTACTTTTAGATCCACGATGGATTTGATTTCATTTCATTTTATTTTAATTGATTTGATATAGATGAGGATCCTAGCCTAGGACGGAGTCTAATGGAGGATATTCGGAGGTTTATTATGGGGAAGAATGAAGAGAAGAATCTGAATGGCCAGGTAACAATTTTTGTATGCATAATTCATTTGATACGTGCTCACAGTCGGAAATATTTGAAACCGCAAAAGCCTTGAATTTGTAGTTTAAAGTTTTTCTTCCATAAACAAGGAAAATCTTTTTCTTACTGGAAAGCCTGGCCTGTCAACATTTTGTGCAAATAGAACATTTTGTAGTTTTGTTGTCCGATTTTCTTGCTTTCAATCAATCAATTCGGAGGGGAGTAAAGTTTTAACCCATATTTAATTCCAAAATATAACTCAAGATTGAGCACTCAAAAAGTTTGAAATCAAATTTATGAATGACCCTCTATAAAATTTCAAATCTGTCTGAATGAAAAAATGTAAATGTCTATCTGATGATATTTGAATATATTTTAAATGTTTCGCGGTCAAGATGTTTTACCATTGCAGAGGAGCAATTTCCCATTCCGCCAATTGTCAAATGTCCGCTAACTTCTAAATGTTCTCTGTCTGACACTTTCGGAAATATAAACATGAATGAAAAACATATTCTCAAATGTAAATTTTACCAAGAAAGTTGAAGTTGTACAGATGAGAAGTAGAAGTTGTACAAATGGGAAGTAGAAGGTGTACAGATGGGAAGTAAAAGTTGTACAGATGGGAAGTAAAAGTTGTACAGATGGGAAGTAAAATTTGTACAAATGGGAAGTAGAAGGTGTACAGATGGGAAGCAAAAGTTGTACAGAGATGGGACGGGGAAGTTGTACAAATGGGAAGTAAAAGTTGTACAGATGGGAAGTAGAAGTTGTACAAATGGGAAGTAGAAGGTGTACGGATGGGAAGTTAAAGTTGTACAGATGGGAAGTAAAATTTGTACAAATGGGAAGTAAAATTTGTACAAATGGGAAGTAGAAGGTGTACAGATGGGAAGTAAAAGTTATCAAAGATGGAAAGTTAAAGTTGTACAGATGGGAAGTAAAATTTGTACAAATGGGAAATAGAAGGTGTACAGATGGAAAGTAAAAGTTGTACAGAGATGGGAAGTAAAATTTGTACAGATCGGAAGTAAAAGTTGTACAGATGGGAAGTAGAAGGTGTACAGATGGGAAGTAAAAGTTGTACAGAGATGGGAAGTAAAATTTGTACAGATGGGAAGTAAAAGTTGTACAGATGGGAAGTAGAAGGTGTACAGATGGGAAGTAGAAGGTGTACAGATGGGAAGTAGAAGGTGTACAGATGGGAAGTAAAAGTTGTACAAAGATGGGACGGGGAAGTTGTACAGATGGGAAGTTAACACTTTTTTAATGATCCACAAGGGAAATAGTATTCTTTTGTTGTCATTTTAAAAAATGTGTTAAATACCCAGCCTAACAATTTTATATCTAGGATTGTGAACATGATGATGAAGATGAAGATAGATATAAAGATGATGAGTATGAAGAGGATGATGATGATGAGTCTACAGTATGTGATGAGGATAATGTCTCCATAGGTAAAGGAAGATCCAAAAACATGGAAATGTGGAGAATACGGTTTAAATCCATCATTACTTATGTATTTTCCTTTTGACAAAGATATAACCAATATTTTTCTGAGATCCAAGGAATGTAAACTATAATTTAGAAGCTGTAAAAATTGTTATTTATGAAATCTTTTGTTATTATAGCAGGAAACTTATAACTATGTTTTATAATCTTTATTGAGCTTTGATGTATATTATGAAAAATCTGCAAAAAAAATTTAATTTTTCATTGCTAAAATTATCAGGAAAAAACTGGCGAGAACGAATGGTGGAGTGGGACAAGGAGAACCAGGAGAACCTAGAGAACGGGTTACCGACCAGGGACATCATGGAATTCTCGCCGCCGGCCAAAATGCCGAAAAATAGTCCGTCCTATCTTATCTGGAGTATATTCACAAGGTCAGAAATAATTTATAAAGAATTTGATTCTATCATAAAATGAAGAATGACCAATCGGAGCTTCATGTAAAAAAGAATTAATTTGTCCTGACAACAAAAATGTCTCCCTAAATTAGTTAAAATCCTTTTATTTTGAAACGTTTTGATCCTGAGTACGCCAAATGCTCTTTGAATGAGTAACGTAAAATCCAAGAAAAAATCTCAATGGACCATTTATTATATTTGTGAAAGGTAAAACATCATTTTTGGCATTTTTTTAACTTTCTAACAATATTTCTCATTGGTAAGGTAGAACTAACCCCCCCCCCCCATAAAGTACAGACCAGGTGTTTAGGAAACTATTTGTTCAGGGAACGGGAAGAGCGTAAGCAACGGAACCAGGAACGTCAGCAGCTCTCTAGCAAGGGTAATAATGTTCCAAGATCTAAGGACGGGTTGGAACCTCCTAGATCAGCTCCTGCTAAGCTTTGTCTTGCTTCTAAACCTGGTTCTACACGATCTCCTGCTCCTAGTACACCAGGAGACCAGGAGCTTAATTATCAAAGCACGCTTCTTCAAATGCGCGTAGTAGGTCAGCTTCACTAGTTTAAGACCTGAGGTCAAATATTTTGTGTTGAAATTCCCTGGATAAAGAAGTATTGTTTGTCGTTCAAATGAATAATTCCTCTTTGATATCACATGGTAGTTTCCTATACAAATTAAGGGATCAATCGCTTTTTCCCTCAAGACAAATCAGTGGATATCAAGATTAAACAAATTTGACCTCTGATTATAAATATTTTTAATTAACAATTATATTGGACTTAAAAATCTGAACTTTTCTGTAAAACTTAACCTTTTACAGGGTTGACTTCACTTTCTGGTTGGATGAAATATTTAAATTTTTTTTTACTTGTTCCTAGTCAAGGCAGGTTTTAATCAGACTTGCATTTATATAAATATTTTAAATAAAATCAATTTTATTTATTGGGTTTTCGACCACAATTGTTTGATAATTTTTTATTCTTTTTGCTTTTCTATGAGTTCTCTTGGAAAATGGACAAATTGCTATTACTGTAAACAGTGTACGCTTAAACCTGGCTTTGCTTTTTGTTGCGCAGCTATACTTAACGCTTATTGCATAAAAAATCTATTTGATTGGGGGAAATGGTATTTCTTTACTTCTTGTCATTTGTCAGATTTTAAACAATCTTGACAATATTGTAATAATTTTAGAAATTGTTTATTCTCCTCAAAGTTAAAAAGAACATACCTTGAGAAAATCAGCTGATTGAATACAAATAGAGAGCTCTAAACGCATGCAAATTTAATTCATTCATTCAACCCAACTTGAATAGTGAAAATAATGTAAAAAGAAAATATAAAGGAAAAGGTTAAAGGATACAAATGTGAAACGTTAAATGTAATTAGGAGGTCAGAGGCAGAATTCAAAGAATTTGAGCCGCGGCTCAAATATGGTTGGTTCCACTTAAAATTGTATTCATTTTTTTTAGATTTAAGCCGGCGCTAAATTGAAACCGGTTTTTGGGGGATTTGCGACGCGACTCAAATTCATTAAATTCGGACTCAGTATTTATATTTTGTGTATTTTGTGTACCCACTCACACCGAACTACCTGAGTAGTTTGTTGAACAAGCCATTATTTTTTCGAATAAATTAAATCTTTATTTGGGAAAATTTTGCTAGTCACCCTAATTTTATCTTATGTCTTATGTCTTTAAAGTTACTCTTGCGTCAAATTTTTTAAAAACATTTTTTAAGAGAAAGAAGTTAGTTGCTAAGTAGAAAGGTTTTTAAAACTATTTTTCAAATATTTTCGGTCTCGCCTTTTCTTATTCAGTATATTCGTATTCAGTATATTCGTATTCAGTATATTCGTATTCAGTATATTCGTATTCAGTATATTCGTATTCAGTATATTCGTATTCAGTATATTCGTATTCAGTATATTCGTATTCAGTATATTCGTATTCGGTATATTCGTATTCGGTATATTCGTATTCAGTTTATTCGTATTCAGTATATTCGTATTCAGTATATCCGTATTCAGTATATTTCTGAGAAATTTTTAAAATCTTTTAATCAATCCATATTGTTGATGTTTAGAGTTAGAGCAGGAGATAGATACGTTTAAGAAGGAGAACGCTAAGGTTCTAAACCTGAGGAAAAAGCTGGACGAGGAGAAGCAGAGGCTCACCAAGGACTGGGAGGAGTTTGAGAAGGTAAATATCTTCATTAAAGGGACAGGTCACGAGCTCTTAAACTGATAAATTAAATTATCAAATTTGACTTCAGAATTGCTTTGTAAGAATGAAAATTACTTTTACCTGACCAGCTGTGTATTTGTGAGGGGGGGGTAAATATATTTTGTTTTAAAGATGGTTTTTTTTTTACAATCTCCGGGGAAGTTGCTTCTTTGTAAATAATAAGACAAAACATAAAGTCGTTCCATTAGAAACTATAATATTTTCTTCAAGTCATGATTTAGTCAGTTCATTTTGGTCTCAGTATTTGTGGCAGTAGGACGTCATAGAATTTGATTTGATTTGATTTGATTTGATTTGATTTGATTTGATTTGATTTGATTTGATTTGATTTGATTTGATTTGATTTGATTAGGTTCGAGATGATGGCAAGAAGAAGATAGAAGAGGAGAGAAGAAGAGTGAGAAGAGAGAAGATGCTTCTAGATAAAGCTATCAAGGAGTCTACTACACCTAAAGGTTAGAACAATTTTTTTAAATAATAATTTAACATACTGAAATCTGAAAAGTGTCACTAAGCCAAGAAGAAAAAGCTATTTTCCATACTAAGAGAAATTTTTCATTAGAAGAAGGTTATATTTTAATTTTCTCTTCCATTAAAAGCTGTGTACTTATAAACTGCCAAAGTTAACGATTCTTTAAATTCTAATTTACAGAATTTCAGCAAGAACTATTTAATATTGTAGTATGTTTTGAATGTAGAGAAACCTAGAGTATAATTTACAAGATTACAACAAGATCTATATGTTTAAATATTAATATTGTAGTATGTTCTGAATGTCCAACAAGATCTATATGTTTAAATATTAATATTGTAGTATGTTCTGAATGTCAAGAAACCAAGAGTAAATATACAAGATTACAACAAGATCTATCTAAATATTAATATTGTAGTATGTTCTGAATGTAAAGAAACCAAGAGTAAATATACAAGATTACAACAAGATCTATCTTCTAAAGAAAACAAGTGGACTGCTGCTCTTGTAAAACTTCAAGAACAGGTAAGAAGATGACGAAAGTAAATTTTCTTATAAGAGCAAGAGAAATTTCATAAATAATAAAAAATATTAAATATATATTTAGGTTTTTTTAAATGCTTTGATTAAAGAAAGTTAAATACAAAAATAATATTATTTGAAAAGAAGTTTAATAAATTTTCAAATGTAAACATTAAATTTACCTTTAAGACACTCAACCTTATTAATATGTTTCATAAATGAAATATTTTGTTTACGACTGCTCTTAAAGTAATTGTTCAAAATTAAAAATCTGATTGTTGTGATTTAATATTTAAAGTTTTTTATTTTTAGTTGCAAAAAGTTGAGAAGGAGAAGAATAGTTTACAGAATGAAAACCAGAAATTAAGAATAAAAACTGTGTCCAGCAAGATTACTACAGTTAGCTCAGCCACAGGTAAGAAATGGACTGCAATGAGAACTCAAATGTAATTTCTAGCAAAGAGGGTTATGTCCAGTTCACAACGGTACCCTTTCAACCTTTATCTGGTCAATGATATTGAAGATATTGTCGGGTTTTTAGTGTTTGGCATAACTTTAATTTTTGTTTATCGAGAAACTGCAATTAAAAACATTTAATTTGTTTTAAAAAAACAGTTTTGCCAAGATAAATGTTTCAAAGGTACCTTTGTGTATCGGACATGCCTCTCTATAAATAGACCGTCACTTGAAATTATGTCTAGAGTCCCTTCAAGTAATGTTTAGAATTTAGATTTTTGCTTTCATTTTCAGCCTTCACTTTTGAAATTTATGAAAAATCGTGATTTTTATCATAAAAATGGCCAGATTCAACCCAACTTTAATTTGAGTTTGTTTCTAGGTTCTAAAACGGATGTTAAAGTGGTTTCACATCCCGGAAGTGGAAACGCCGGAAGTGACAAGACCCCTGACTCTGGTATCCGGAGTATCCGGAGTAGTGGAACCAGTTCTGAGGATGAATATCTGGACCAAGAGCTCCGACAAAGTATTTCAAGTTCTGTGTACGCAGCTCTGAGCGGAGATACCCCGAGGTTATTTTTTATAGTTTATGAATTATTGAGAAGCAGTTGAACTAGGTCTAGCTAGTTAAACTACTTTTGTCAAGTAGTTTTGGACAATCTAAGATTGTCAGATTTTCTGATCTCCCGTTGGCTCCTGAGGCTCTTATGTAGTTTAAAATTTGCATTGATTTTAAGCTTGAATCATTGGGAACCCTAGATTCAGTCAAAATTGAAACCAGCCAAAATTAAACAAGTTTTTTAGTTCATATTTATACGGTGGTAGGCGATTATAGCAATAAAACGAAGACGACTTTTTTATTTAAGTTTCAATTGTTAACAAGCCTTTTTCAAATTACAAGTTTACAAGCAATTAAGGAGAAGCTTTTTTAATTGACAGCTTCATCCTTGTTCCATGTTTTATGTGTATCCATGCTGTTTAAAAGCTTGATAAAAATCAATGCTAAAACAGAAAGTCGTCTTCATTATATTGATAAAATCGCTTACCGCTGTGTTGTTGCACATCTTTTGGCTTGCAATTTTGCTCGATAAGTTACTTATTAATGTTTTTTTCAGCATTACTAGTTTTTTCAATTTTGTCCCCCCGTAGAGAAATTCAAACAATTGTAGATTAATGACGAGTAAAACATCTTTATATTGTAGATTGAGCTACAGTCCTGCGGACTCCTTGGATTCTAGTGTAACCCTAGTATCCGGGTTCGCTAACATTACTCCAGGTAGAGAGGATGATTTAGCCCCAGGAAGAGAGTTTGACCAAGAGAATGATGTTGACCTACCCAAGGTTGTGAACAACTCTGAACGTGGAACAAGGGAGAAGAGGTTTCCCGATGGTAGGCTAGAGATATGGTACGCGAACGGAAACAGGTACATTTTTCAAATATTTGAGAATTAGGAACATGGCTACATACAACAACCTTATAACCACCCCNGGACGTCATTTTATTTTAAAATGTAGGTTTTTACCATGTTATTTTTAATTTTTAATTTTTAATTTCTATTATAAAAAAATGTTTATTCTTTGTGCTGTCTTTGTTAATTGCGTAATTCACTATTTAACCTAGTTCTGTTTCTGTATAATAAATATATATTCTAAATACATGTACGTGGCCTTTGTACATCAGACAGTAATATAGGTCATTGTATACATTATACAGCAAGAAAAGTAGACTGAATGCATATATACTAGTGCACTCGTATACATTTTTAATTCTCAGAAGACGACTTTCATTGTTCTATTGTAATTCTTGTTTAGGAAGGAGGTTAGCGCAGATGGTAAAACAGTTAAAGTTTTCTACTATAACGGCGACCTCAAGGAAACATAACCTTTTTCAACTTCAGTTTTAATTTTATTTAGCATTATCATTCATTTCAAGCTTTTTTGGAAGAAAAAATGTTTATAATTTGGTTGCTATAAGTTATTCTTACTTTTTTATTATTAGTAATAATAAACAATAAATGACGGAAAAATCTGCAAATTTCTTTTTGCTTAGAAATAGTTTTTTTAAGCATGAGGGGGAAATCGGCAAATTGTGGTTTTTTTGTAAGAAGTCCCTTTTATGAGTTGCTTGCTGTTAAATAATGCTTACTTTGGTCTTTTCCTAAATATACTCAATTGTGGTAAATATCAGCACCATCTTTTTACTTATAAATGTATGGTTTTGATTTGGTTAGGAAACGCATAGTGATGGTGTAGTAAAGTATCTTTACAGTCAAACACAGACTTGGCACACTACTTACCCAGACTCAAGGGAGGTTCTGCACTTCAGTAACGGACAGGAGGAGGTATAATGTTTATAGATTTGTTTCTACCAATCAGAGACAAGATACATTCAACCAATCAGAGACAAGATACATTCAACCAATCAGAGACAAGATAACTTTAACCAATCAGAGACAAGATAACTTTAACCAATAAGACAAGCTACATTCAACCAATCAGAAACTAGATACGTTCAACTATTCAGAGACAAGATGCATTCAACCAATCAGAAACTAGATACGTTCAACTATTCAGAGACAAGATGCATTTAACAACCTGCTGAGTAGATAGATTGAACCAATCAGAGACGAAGATTTTTGAGAGATAGATTAAACCAATTAAAGATCAGAATTTAGTTCTTTACAGTGGACTCTAATTTGTTTAGTTATATGGATTGCATTGCTTAGGATCCGGATCTGTTGGACCGCTACATTTTGGCTTCCCGGATCCGGATCTGAAGAAATATGCGGGTCACAATACCATACAAAACCTGCTAAAAAAAAACCTTTTTGCTCTCAAAACACTTATCTAAACCGTTTACTAATGAGCTTCATAATCTCCGAATGTTTTGGCATAAATTAAGCGGGAAAAAAAGAAAAAATGTGAACATTTTTTATCTGTTAAAAAATAAAATTTTTAAAGAAATGTTGATCACCTGGATCTGGATCTATTTTTTCAAAGCGGATCCAGGATCCGGATCCGCATAAAATGAATTACCTACGCACTGATGGATTTTTTAAATTTTAAGTCATTTTTATTTCCAACACTCGCTTTTTTATTCAGATTCGATATCCGGATGGATCTATGCAAATCTCCTTCCCGGATGGGTCTGTGAAGAAAATAAGCCGGGACGGATGTGAGGACATTCATTTCCCTGATGGTACCCGTGTGGAGGTGGGTGTGTCCGGTGATCGAGTGCTCCACCTACCCAACGGGCAGAGGGAGGAGCACAGCAAGGACATGAAGAAGCGCGTTTATCCCGACGGGACGCTCAAGATATTGTACACGGACGGTAGACAGGAAACAAGGTACTCCAACGGACGGATAAGAATTAAAGACGGTCTTGGTAAACTTATCAAGGACTCGCACAGTTAACAGTTATCAATTAACAGACGTTTACAGCTGGCAAAACTAACAACTATAGCTGTTCTGATATAGACAGCTTCTAGCTAAGAAGGTGATTTTAATCGCCTTTATCAATATTAGCATGACTCATTAGATAAAAGTGTTTAATCGCCGTTATCATTATTAGCATGACTCATTAGATAAAAGTGTTTAATGACAATCATGAATCAAGAAACTAAGCTGCAGTTAGTTTTCATTATTAAGAAGAGGTTTTTTAAATTAATAAACAAAATTATAAATAATTCAGAATTTTGATTTAAAGCATGTAATTATGATCATGTTCTTTTATACTATATATTGGCCAAATAAAACATGTTATGATCTCGTGTCACTAGCGTTAACTTGCCTACTTTTATATTTGAACCTTCTAGTTATCAAATTTAACAAGAATTTTGTAAATATTATGTACATTCTACATAGTATTGTGTACACTGTACACCGTGTATTGTATACACTAAATTACTATGCAGTACACTATCTCCGAACATTCAATTCAACCGGTATTTCTGTAATTTGTTATTTCTTTGTAAAATGTTTCATCTTTTTTTACTTGACAAAAAAGTGTCTTTCACTGTAATTCATTATTATCATAGATTATCCAAATGTTAGACAATTATATTGATAAAATATATGTAAATTTATGTTCGTAGTGAGATTTATTTTTTTATTAAATACTAGGATAATGGACAAATATCTTCTACACTACACGTGTTTTATCTATCTATCTACTTTTTTCTACTCGTGTTTTTTCTCTTCTATCCAACCTCTTTTTTTCTACACGTGTTTTTTCTCTACATATGTTTTATCCATCCATCTACATTTCTCTACACGTGTTTTATCTATCTATCTATCATTTCTCTACACGTTTTTTATCTCTTCTATCCAAGAGAAAATATTTGAAAAAATGAATCGAAAACATTCTGATTTTTTAATTAGTTCTCGTTTTATCTTCTCTTAGGATAAAAATTGTGTATAGTTTAATAATAACCTTCACATGGATACAGTTCTAAAATACTGGATCCTTCACAAGTTTACAGTATTTGTGAGCTGCCTCTAAAAGGCCAAAAACCCCTAAAAATAGTAAAAAACTAACTAACCCAGTATTAATCGTGTACCTTGGTGTATCAAATATACAACTTTAAATACATGTTCACTCGTCATTAAATCAACAGTCTCTTCAAACTATTAACATATTTTCCATGTCTTCCCAGTGGCGTAAATAAGGGGGTTATTGGGGTAACTTATTACCCCCCCCCCCCCTAGAATCTTGGGGACACAAACATCCCCGTTTAGTAACTCGATCTCCATTCTCCATGTCCATGATTACCATTAAAAGAAAAACATATTAAAATTTTTTTGCCGCTTCGCGCAGATAATCTTACTCATTCAACTTTAACAAAGTAACAGATAAATTATTAGGGTGTTTATTTATCCATGGATATCATATTATGTATTTGATATAATTTATTATCCAGGTGTTTATTTATCCATGGATATAACATTATTTATTTGATATAATATATTACCCGGGTATTTATTTATCCATGGATTTAATATTATGTATTTGATTTAATTTATTATCCATGTGTTTATTTATCCATGGATATAATATTATTTATTTGATATAATTTATTATCCAGGTGTTATTTATCCATGGATATAATATTATTTGTTTGATATAATTTATTATCCAGGTGTTTATTTATCCATGGATATAACACAAATCAACCACTTTTACATTTAATGAATAAAATCTATGAAAACCTTAATAAATCTAAACTAGAATTTACTCTTGGAATATTCCTAGACTTAAACATATCTCGAATAAAATAGCTAGCTCAATCTTTGCTTTGTCTCATATTACGACATTCGTCTTCTTGCTTATAACTCTCTTGTAAGGCCTCATATTCCTCATATTGAATATGGAATTGTTACTTGGGGAGGGAATAAAAACTATAAACTGCAAAAATCAGATCTTTGCAAAAAAAAGACAATCAGACCGGTAAATAATAGTACTTTCAAAACACATTCAAATCCATTATTTTCAAAACTGAAAGTACTTAATCTTGATGATACATACAAACTTTGTGTTCTGACATTTATGCATGGATACTTTAATGATAACCTTCTCTCTTCCTTCCAAAATATGGTTAAGTCTCTAGCTGAACCAAATAGAACAAAATTATATAAATTAGAACGGGTTTTAAACAAAAATCTAGAAAGCTTTCAGTCCGCAATGTTTCCTAATTTGTGGAATGCATTTGAAATTGACCTTAAAGAAAATAAATCTGCAAAAAATATTTAAACAAAGAGTGATCAGTATTTATCTTGAGAATTATAAGAGGTCTAATATGAAAAATGTATATCATGTGAGTAGATTTTATATAATATTTTTTTAAAACTTATCCACCATCCTTTATACCCTGTATTTTAATTTATCTATACATTAATCCCTCTGATCTCATCCTGCCACAGATTACAAAGTAATTGTGATTGCTTATTTGTAATATTTTATGCTTTGTAATTGAATAGAAATATGAAAATATATCTGTATTTCCATATATTCCTGTATCCATATAAACATATATCACTGTATCAGTATAACATGTATCACTGTATCAGTATAACATATATTCCTGCATCCATATAAACATATATCACTGTATCAGTACAACATGTATCACTGTTTCCATGTGTCCATGTATCCCTGTACCATTCATGTATCCATGTATCCGTGTATCCATGTATCAATGTATAAGTATATTCATTTAGCCGTGAATCAATGTATCCGTGTATCCAGGTACCCTGTATCCATGTATCCATGTGTAAGCGTATCCCTGTATTCCTTTATCACTGTATCCCTGTATCCTTGTATCCTTGTATCCTAGTATCCCAGTATCTCTGTATCCTAGTATCCCTGTATCCATGTATTCCTACATTTCCATGTATCCCTGTTTCTATGTATCCCAGTATTTATTATTCATGTATCCCTGTATCCCTGTAACCCTGTATCCATGTATCCATGTTTCCATGTATCCATGTATCCATGTATCCCTGTATATATCCCTGTATCCTTGTATCCCTGTATCAATGTATCCCTGTATCCAGAATCCCTGTAGAACTGTATCACTGTATCCCAGTACCCTTGTATCCATGTAATCCTATATCCCTGTATCCCCGTATCCCTGTATCTGTTTATCATGCTATCCCTTTTTCCATGTATCCATGAATCTATGTATCCCTGTATCCATGTATCCCTGTGTCCATATATACATGTATCCCTGTATCCATATATTCCTGTGTCCATGTATCCCTTTATTCATTTATCCATGTATCCCTGTATCCATGTTTTTATGTTTCTCTATATTCCTGTTTCCATGTATTCCGGTTTCCATGTATTCCTGTTTCCATGTATTCCTGTTTTCATGTATTCCTGTTTCAATGTATCCCTGTATCCTTGTATCCCTGTATCCTTGTATTCCTGTATCCATGATACCATGTATCCCTTATCCATGTTTCCATCTATCCCTGTATCCACGCATCAATGTATCCCTGTATCCATGTATCCTTGTATCCCTGTGCCACTGTATCACTGTATCCATGTATCTCAGTACCCCTGTATCCATCTTCTTCTATGGGTTTGACCTACTATTGCCTGGGGTTAAAATATAATGCAGTATAAAGTGTTGTAGTGTTGCAGGTTGCAGGTTAAATTTTCATACTTTGTGAGTGACTCTTTCTTGTAGTACAATTTCATCAATCACTTCATTAAAAGTGTGACAAAAATGTTGCATTGTTATATTCTACACTGTTCATATTCAAATTCTCCTTCTTTAATGCATCTTTCTTTTCAAGACCTTTTTAATTAAGATTTTATTCGTGGAACTAAAATCTATAAAATATGTTTAGAATTTTCAAAATATTTTTTTGTAAACTTCTGGACAACTTGGACCAATACTGGTTTATTTAATTTTATTTAAGAGAAATTTTAAAAAAATGTCAGAAAATTTAAAAAGAAAACATTTTAAAAGAAAAAAGTTTTCGAAAAGGTATTTTTAGCAGTAAAAACATGGGAAACGAAAACTTGTGTTGTTGAATTCGTTTCACTTCGACTTGGAAGATAATCTAGACTTAAGTGTAATATCATTTTAACTTCTGGACTCTTGAAAAATTGTTTCTCGATCCGGGAATCTTAGTATTCTCAGTTTTAAAGAATTCACGCAACCTCTTGATATTCTGGTTTCCATGTATCCATATCCATGCATTTCTTTATATACATAATCACTCACAAAGGATGAGACTGTAAAGACGACCTGAAACTCAATTCTGACGATTCTTAGGTTAAATTATGTCTTGAGTATAATCTTTTATGGTTTAATAAATGTTTTTTCAAATAGAGAAACAGTTCAAAGCTGTTGGGAATCAGGAAATTAAGGAAACCAAATAGATTTTCAAGTACAATAGGTGGCAACAGAGAAATGAACCAATTATACACAACGTCCCAAGTGTCAAATATAACAAGGAAAACGAAATTGTCTCACATAGTTGACATGTTTTCCAAAATTAAGTAAAAAAGTGTAAAAACAGAAACTAAAGAGCACATAAAATTGCACTTATTTTATTGTAAGATAAGCACTTTATTCACTATAATTTAAGTTTTGTCGAGGCACAAAAACTGAGTTGACACTTGTGACGTAAGAATACAGCTGTACTGAGAGTACAAATTCTACGTTGCCAACTATTGTACTAGAATCCATTTGAAGGAAACAGACAGCATCAATTCTGTAAAGTCGTCTCTGAAGTCTCATCCTTTGTGGGTAACCCTGTATCTGTATTATTGTATTCCTTGTATCTTTATATGTCTGTATTCGTGTATCATAATATCCAGGTATCGAAGTATATCTGTATCCCTATTTTCCTATACCTTTGTATCCTTTTATACCTGTACCTCTGTATCCCCGGCTGTATTTCTGTATCCCTGTAACCCTGTACTCTTGGATCCCTGTATCCCTGTATCCCTAGTATCTCTGGTATCTCTGTTATCTCTGTATCCCTGTATCTCTGCATATCTGTGATCTCTGTATCCCTGTATCTCTGTGATCTCTGTATCATTCACTATTTTCACTATTTTCACTATTTTTACTATTTTTACTATTTTACGGTCCAAAAGTGACTATCCCTTTATGTATCCGTTTATGTATTATAAAGGGCCTTTTTAGGCAAATATTAGACAATTTAACGGAGAAAGAAAAAGGCTAAAGATGAAGAAGGTGAATAAAATGTTAAAGATTTTCAGGTTTGAAAAGAAAGCAAAAAGGATTATTTGAAGAAATGAAGAAAAAGTTTTAGAAGTATTTGATATTGTGTGATATTATGACACCAATGGAGAGGAGCTATCAAACAAATATATTTTTTGTGTAAAAAAGGGGAAAAATATAATTTTACAATACTGCAATATTAATTTTAATCCAAAGAAAAGTTTATTGAGAATATTTCGAACTTTTGATTTATCAAAATTAAATTTTTTTGATTTTTATTATCTAAAAAAATTCGCGATGTTTATAAAGTAAAGTCTTCTTTCTTTTGGTAACCCTGCAGCTTCATGAATTTTTATCATTTGTCTGAATCTTAAAGGGACTGGAGACGTAGTTTTGGTAACCCTGCAGCTTCATGAATTTTTATCATTTGTCTGAATCTTAAAGGGACTGGAGACGTAGTTTTGGTAACCCTGCAACTTCATGAATTTGTATCATTTGTCTGAATCTTAAAGGGGCTTAAGACGTAATTTTGAGTGAACCTCCGTTTATAGAGAAGCATGTTCAACTCATCACGGTACCATTAACAATTTTATCAAAATTAAAAGAGATATCCATAATTTCTCTTTTAATTGTGGTTACTTTCAATTCTGGTTTCTCTATGAAAGTGTGTCGCAGATTTCTAATTACAGAAACAATGGATGAAATTGTGAAAATTAAACATTTGTGAGGCAAGAAAACGACGAAATATTCCACAGTTTTGATTAGATAAACTGGGCCTGGTTGACTTGACCACCCTGTATCTAGTTTATCCTAGGATCTTGATAAAATTTTGCATTTGCTTGACCACCCTGTATCTAGTTTGTCCTAGGATCTTGATGAAATTATGCATTTGCTTGACCACCCTGTATCTAGTTTGTCCTAGGATCTTGATGAAATTATGTATTTGCTTGACCACCCTGTATCTAGTTTGTCCTAGGATCTTGATGAAATTATGTATTTGCTTGACCACCCTGTATCTAGTTTATCCTAGGATCTTGATGAAATTTTGTATTTGCTTGACCACCCTGTATCATAGTTTATCCTAGGATCTTGATAAAATTTTGTATTTGCTTGACCACCCTGGATCTACTTTATCCTAGGATCTTGATGAAATTATGTATTTGCTTGATCACCCTGTATCTAGTTTATCCTAAGATCTTGATAAAATTTTGTATTTGCTTGACCACCCTGTATCTAGTTTATCCTAGGATCTTGATGAAATTTTGTATTTGCTTGACCACCCTGTATCTAGTTTATCCAACTAGTACCTATCAGCTATCTATCCTTCGACTGTTGTTTAGATAAGTATAAGCTGCAAACTGGTTAAAATAAGTAAGCTTTATGTTTAAAACTAGCTAGCAGAAGTATCTATAAGCTAGTATATGCTATCGATCAATTTATCAATCTATCTATCTATCTATCTATCTATCATTCTTTCTATCTATCTATCTATATATCTATCTAACTATCTATCTATCTTTCTTTCTTTCTATACTATCTATCAAACTATCTATCTATTCCAGGATGTGGACAATATTACTTGGCTTTAAAACCAAAATTGCAGTTCAGCAGTACACCTCTACAGTCTACAGTCTGCAAGCATATCCCCCCCCCATCATACCACCTGTTAAAATTGTTTTTATCTAACAAAAATTAAAATTTAAGACAATTTTTAAAATGAGCATATTTTATTGTCTAACTTTACGAATACATTTAAACTTGACCCGCGCGAATCCTTCAATGATATAAATCTGCCAAGCCCTGCACATCCTGCATATATAAAGAGTGTAGACAAATGTGATGGAGAAAGAAAAAAGATACACGAGTGTAAGGATAGAAGGATACTGAAGATATATAGAAGGATAAAAATAAACGAATGAAAGGATAGAAGGATACTGAAGATATATAGAAAGATAGAAGGATAAAAATAAAAGAATGAAAGGATAGAAGGATACTGAAGATATATAAAAAGATAGAAGGATAAAAATAAAAGAATGAAAGGATAGAAGGATACTGAAGATATATAGAAGGATAGAAGGATAAAAATAAAAGAATGAAAGGATAGAAGGATACTGAAGATATATAGAAAGATAGAAGGATAAAAATAAAAGAATGAAAGGATAGAAGGATACTGAAGATATATAGAAAGATAGAAGGATAAAAATAAAAGAATGAAAGGATAGAAGGATACTGAAGATATATAGAAAGATAGAAGGATAAAAATAAAAGAATGAAAGGATAGAAGGATACTGAAGATATATAGAAAGATAGAAGGATAAAAATAAAAGAATGAAAGGATAGAAGGATACTGAAGATATATAGAAAGATAGAAGGATAAAAATAAAAGAATGAAAGGATAGAAGGATACTGAAGATATATAGAAAGATAGAAGGATAAAAATAAAAGAATGAAAGGATAGAAGGATACTGAAGATATATAGAAAGATAGAAGGATAAAAATAAAAGAATGAAAGGATAGAAGGATACTGAAGATATATAGAAAGATAGAAGGATAAAAATAAAAGAATGAAAGGATAGAAGGATACTGAAGATATATAGAAAGATAGAAGGATAAAAATAAAAGAATGAAAGGATAGAAGGATACTGAAGATATATAGAAAGATAGAAGGATAAAAATAAAAGAATGAAAGGATAGAAGGATACTGAAGATATATAGAAAGATAGAAGGATAAAAATAAAAGAATGAAAGGATAGAAGGATACTGAAGATATATAGAAAGATAGAAGGATAAAAATAAAAGAATGAAAGGATAGAAGGATACTGAAGATATATAGAAAGATAGAAGGATAAAAATAAAAGAATGAAAGGATAGAAGGATACTGAAGATATATAGAAAGATAGAAGGATAAAAATAAAAGAATGAAAGGATAGAAGGATACTGAAGATATATAGAAAGATNTGTTTTAAAAAACTAAGTTATGTCCCATCTTTATGTGCAAGTACTATTGTTTGTTTACGAAAAACTGGTTCTTTAGCTGTCTGTATACGTTACAAAATGTAAACACAAATATGAATAAAGAAAAAGATATGGCAGACAGATAGATTAATACAGATTTTTAGATTTAGACAAATGTATACCTAGATAGAAGAAGAATAAAATAATAAAACAGGAAAGAAAGTAGAAATGAATAAATATTAAAAATGTGGATGAAGAGAAAAGGATAGTAATACTGATAGAAAGAGAGACAATCCACTATATTTTGACTTGAGATTGCTCAGGGGGTTCAAAAGGAAAAAAATACAAGATACGTATTTTTGCTTTTAAAAAAAATAATTCAAATATTACTCTTCTACTTTCTAACATATATTAAATATTTATTATCTCCCCTCCCCCCTTCATCACCCCGTTTCTTATACGCCCCTGGTTTATCAGCGTGCCCGATTCTCTTTTTATATTGACAGCTTCTCTTTTTATATTGACAGCTTCTCTTTTTATATTGACAGCTTCTCTTTTTATATTGACAGCTTCTCTTTTTATATTGACAGCTTCTCTTTGTTTCCATGTTTTTGTGTTTCCATGGTGTTTAAAAGCTTGATATAAATCAAATTTGAAATCGAAAGTCGTCTATATTATATTGATATAATCGCTCACCACCGTAATTTAACTGTATTTATTTTTATTGTTTGAAAACTAAAACAATATATACTACCTATTATGATTAATTTTTTAAGCAGAAACATATTTATATTTTAACAAAAAAAAACTTTCATGTTTTTCTAATTGAAGAGAATACAAGGCCAGAACCCAAACTCGATATTTGAAACAATTTCTGCATGAAGAGTTTAGGCGCCAGAAGACTCTTAGACTGACAGTTTCCCTATGACAGGGCGCCCCAGGACCCCCCCCCCCATCCTACTCCCCTTCTTCCCCCTAGCTTGGAAGACTTGGAACAGGACGGCCGATATGTCTTGTCGCAGATTTTCAGGTGAGAATTCGGCCCGGGCCATTAGATCTCCGTACCGGGCCGGAGGATTCTCCGAGTAGGGTCAACAAACATCCGGGACGGTTCGGGAGAATACAACAGTCTTCATTCAACCTGCCATGGCGACACGTTGAACTGTTAGACAATATTTCTAAGAAAATACACGGTTTTCATTAACCACGACTATATCAGAGAAGATATAAAACCTTTATCCATCCCTGCAGTTAATTTTCTACCCGGAGAAGCTGAAGGAATACGTCCTGGAGCTAGTGAGGAGAGAATAGTTCGGAGTTAGATTTGAATTGAAGTTTGACGTGTAGATTCATAGATGCATGCTACACATCTAGAATCACACGAAGGAATGAGATTAGACAGGCTTAAAGATAAACTCAGAGATATCCTAGAGTCTCCGTAAGGTTGGATATACAAGATAAGGATGGAAGGGGATATCCAGGATATCCTGCTCAGGATCGAACCTGAACCCTGCTCCAGTCCAACAGGACGAACTGGAAACGTCAGTTTTAAACCCTACGATGATATCCGTTTATCTCCTGGGACGAAGAAGTTTAAGTTTCCGGATAGTACCAAGGTACAGGAGCAGGGGGTGTCTCTGGGTATTAGAACCATAGAGGATCTGTACCCGGAGCTACTCTGCTTGATCTTCTCTAACCTGGATGTTCAGAGCAAGGGCCGAGCAGCGCAGGTACTGATTTAGTCTTTCCATCTTCAAGATTGTAAATATAAACAGGTTTTGAATAATCATTTATGGCAGTGGGAGGGAGAGAGTTGCATCTACTGTGTCTTTTAATTGTGTTTTTTATATAATTTTTCTCTAAATATCAATTTGATCTTTTATTTGTTCAGGTGTGTATAAAATGGCGTGATGCAGTGTACTCCAGGTCTGTATGGAGAGGTGTGACTGCTCGACTCCATCTCCGTAAATCAAACCCTATCATGATCCTCTCCTTGGTTAGACGAGGAATCCGTCAGGTTCAAGTTCTCTCACTGAGAAAATCTCTCCGGGACGTGGTTCAAGGTATGCCTGCTCTCTCCCTTCTCGATCTCTCCGGGTGTTACAATCTCTCCGACTCCGTCCTGGAGACGGGGTTCAACCGGACCATCTCTAGCCTTACATCCATTAATCTTAGCTTATGTAAAGAACTGACGGACAACAGTTTGGGGCGGATAGCTACACACTGTAAGAACCTGGAGATTCTAGATCTAGGAGGATGCACCAAGATCACAAACACGGGTCTTCTACTTATCTCCCTAGGGTTGAGAAAACTAGTAAGTTTAAACCTCAGATCCTGTTGGCAGATTACAGATACGGGTTTATCTCATTTATCCAGGACGGACGGAGAAGAGAGGACGGAAAGGTTAGTCCTTGAGAACCTAGTTCTCCAGGATTGTCAGAAACTAAGCGATGAATCCCTAAGATACATCTCTGAGGGGTTTAAATCTCTCCGACGGATAAATCTAAGCTTCTGTGCAAGTATAACGGATACAGGAATGAAATTCTTGTCAAAAATGTCTTCCATGTCGGAACTAAACCTTAGGTTTTGTGATAATATCAGTGATATTGGAGTAGGTTACTTAGCTGAAGGTTGTGTAGGACTTCACAGTTTGGATGTCTCTTTCTGTGAACGTGTTACCGACGGTTCTATGGCTCATATAGCAAGCGGGCTCTTCAGTTTAAACTCTCTAGCTATGGCTTCATGTCGGATACAGGACGAGGGAATAATTAAAATCTCTAAAACCTTACTGGACCTGGATACTCTAAATATTGGACAGTGTGCTCGAATAACGGACCGGAGTTTAATAAGTTTAGGCAGCCAACTCAAGAAACTGAGAAGTATTGATTTATACGGGTGTCCCCGGATAACTCCGATAGGGTTAAATTATCTTAAAGACAATCTTGAACTTAAAACAATAAATACTGGACTCTGGCAGGCAGAGCTTTAAAACTAACCCGGAGATTTAGTCATGTAAAGGTTAGGTGGATATTCGGTTAGTCATTTTATGACACCCGGGAATCCGGTTATTGTCACTTTATGACACCAGGGTATTCGGTTGGTCAAATAAAGATGAACTCTAAAATTTGGTTAGTCATATTAAACTACTGTACATGTACATTGTACAACGATCAAATTAAATGATTTACATCGTACACACAGCTGTGATATTCATATATTATAATGGTATATACTGTTTATCCAATTACTAGAACTAAAATAAAAACTTAAATTTTATTTCTTTACTGTTAATTTAATTTTAGTGGCAAACAATATAAATAATGTGTAAATAGTGTACACAGAAATCTTAAAATTCATTTTATGGGGTTACTAGTGGAGGCTTTGTACCCTTCTATCACATCCAGACTTAATTAGAAGAAAATTATACTAAATCAAGTTTGAAGAAAATTGTAATATTTTCAGCATTAAAACTCAAAAGGATAATTAGAAAAATATTTAGTGAGTTCCTTGAAATTCAAAACATTTCTTCTAGGATTAATCAAAAATACATTCTTATTTTTCTTCTTCTCAGTTTTAATTTTTTATCATTAAATAAAAAGACATAAAAACATTTATATGCAAAGGTCGCACATTCTGGAATATTTTTAAAAAACTCAGTAACCCTTTTTATTTAGAAGAAAATGAATATGAGACTGGTGATGTAGTTTTAAGTGCACCTTTATTTAAAAAATAAAGGTTCATCCTATTCACAAAGGTACCCTTGAACCCTTAATCTGATCAAGATGACGTCTAAATCAAGAAATGCGCAAGTCAATTTTGTACAGAGCCCACAAATGAAAAAAACAAAATTTAAAAAACATGGATATCTTATTAATGTTTGATCAGAAAAAGCTTTTCAGGGTACCGTTGTAGATCGGATGTACTGCCACCCTATAAATGTACAGTCCATTAAAAAGAATAAAGCATTAAAAGATGAACATTTCTAAAAGCAGGAGACGGAAATTTCCCGGAAATACGGAATAAGAAACTTGAAAATGTCCCCCCCTCTCCCCCCCCCTCCTTATCACATAATTATATCTTAGGCTGCAGCCCCTGCTGCACCCCGGTGAAGGAAAAATGTTAAGAATTTCCGTAATCTGAGCGTTAATTTTACCCCAAACCTTTACACTGCCGATATACATTATACATATACAGTGAGACCGTGTATATATAAATTGAATTAGATTCAGAGAATACACAGGTAGGAAATAAGATGTACATAATGTAATATTTCTATACTTATGCAGATAACCTTTCAGTGTGCAACTTTACCTATAGTATGCACCACGAATCAATTTTTTCATGGTTAAATCGACTGTAAGCGTAATTACAAGTGACCCTCCACACCAAGATGGCAATTAATTCCCGATTTACAATGGTACCCTTAACATTTTTGTCTGATCAATTATGAATTTTATTTAAATGTTTTTTGTTTCTTTGAACTGTTTATTTTCATTTGCTGGTTAGACAAAAGTTGGTATCTTCCACAGTATTTAACAGGTTAAAGGGAGTGAACGGCAATGTGTGGTGGTTGAACTGAGTAGTGAGTATGCAGTATTGTGGACAAATACTTTATGATTTATTTGAGACATAAACCGTTTCCATGGTATAATTACTGGGTTTGAGTGCAAAGTCGACGTTCATCATAATCGTTTTTTTTAAATTGTTAAATAACGACGACGAAAAATAAAGTAAAAAGTGTACAGTAAACTTATTAGATGTTTAGGAACATATTTCTCAGAAGAATGTCAATTAATCAATGTTAGAAACAATTATTTCGTTTTCATTGAATTTCTTATTTTCAATGAATTGTTCGCAGATTTCTGCAAATTCTTCGAATGTCGCCTTTTCAATAAAAATTTCAGAAAATCTGCAGAAAATCTTTATGAATAATGAGAGATTATAAAAACTAATAATAAGATTACTTATTTTCGATGATAAGAGATAATTTTTATTTTCTTTACCTGTCCTAAACAACTAAATAGTTTACTTTAGTGTAGACTTTTGTATACATTTTTTGTTCTTGTTATTTAATAATTTAAAAAAAACTAATTTGAAAACGTACCCACCCAAATTCATGATTTTGAACATCGACTTTACGCTCAAACTCAGTAAATATACGTCGTTGAAATGTTTTATATATCTCAAATGAATCCTAAATCTGTCTACAATACAACATATTCAGTTCAACCACCATACATTGCCGGTCACTCCCATTAAAGTTTCAATAGTAACTATTGCCAATCAGACCTTTGCCATCTTAAAGGATCGCTTGAAATTACGCTTACATTAGAGATGGTAGTTTAAATGTTCTTATTTGCAAATGGTGAATTTAAGCTAAACAACCTATTATAGCAAAGAATGTACTGTCTTCATTATCAAAATATTGATAAAGAAAAGGTATGATATTAACCATCAAAATATTAATAAAGAAAAGGTATAAACCATCAAAATATTAATAAAGAAAAGGTATGATATAAACCATCAAAATATTAATAAAGAAAAGGTATGACATAAACCATCAAAATATTAATAAAGAAAAGGTATGATATAAACCATCAAAATATTAATAAAGAAAAGGTATAACATAAACCATCAAAATATTAATAAAGAAAAGGTATGATATAAACCATCAAAATATTAATAAAGAAAAGGTTTGATATAAACCATCAAAGTATTAATAAGGATTAATAAAGAAAAGGTATGATATAAACCATCAAAATATTTATAAAGAACAGGTATGATATTAACCATCAAAATATTAATAAAGAAATGGTATGATATAAGCCATCAAAATATTAATAAAGAAATGGTATGATATTAACCATCAAAATATTGATAAAGAAAAGGTATGATATAAACCAAAAAAATATTAATAAATAAAAGGTATGATATTAACCATTAAAATATTAATAAAGAAAAGGTATGCTAAAAATCATCAAAATGTTAATAAAGAACGGCTGAACCGATCAGGCCAAAAAAAAATTAGGGACTTTTTAATAAAAACTGCGAAATTTTTTATTTGTTTTTGTTTTACAATATATATATATAGAGAAAATATCTAAAATTGAAAAAGAAGAAAAACTCTAGTAATTTATATTTTTCTCAAGAATCAACCCTCAACTTTATAAATGTCCATTGCATGGATATCGATATCTATCAAAATCAATGATACTCCCACCTCTTTAGATTCTTTGAAATATTTTAGTTACAATAATTGAACATTTTGCGACATTTCTAAGGTTTCTGGTCCTCGCTGTATTTCCGTTACCATGCTCATGCATTTTGTGTTACTGATATGCAATAAAAACTTTTCTTTTGATGAATTTTTAAAATAAATTTACATTTACGCCAGATAAATTATTTCTTTTATCCTAATCTAAAATTCTTCGAATTTATTCTGTTTAGTAAATGGTTCGGTTCCAATAATTACAATATAAATTATATATATAATTATATAATTGTATATATTATATATATAATGATATAAAACATGATATTGAAGGAAAACCACCAGAATTCTAGTTTGAATAGAAAAT